TTGTGGAGGTGGTTGTTGTGCAGGGTTTTGAACTGTTGGTTGTTGTGTTGGTTTTGGTGCATGCCTGTGTCTGTGTCCATGTGACGATGTAAATGTGTTAGGTAGTCCTGGTGCAGGTGCTTCTCTTGGAGGGTTTGGTGGTATATAAGTTCCACCAGCTGGCACATATGTTCCATCTGCAGCGTAATGTCCTACCTGACTTTTCGTTTTTAAGAAAGCATTTACTAGGTCTGTTTTGGTCTGTTGTAACTCTTTTTCTTGACTTTTCACAACAGTTGCTCTAACGGCGTCATAGGCACTTTGAACTGCCTGTCTCGTTGCTGCATCTGTTATTTTCGTCATATTTTGTGCTACTTCTTTTAACTCTTTGTCGAAACCTTCAGACTTCAGTTTCTTTCCAGATGAGAAGTCGTTCACTGTTTCACCTTACTATGAAGAGCTTCGAAGGCGTTCTTAAAGTCAGCATTTGTTAAAGCTTCATTTGAACTGTCTTCATCCGCTTGTATTTTTGTCCTTATTGACCCTATGAGTTGGGCTGCTTTAGCGTTGGCTTGGGCATCTAACCAGTCATTGTTGGCTTTTATATATTCTGCGCTTTTCATTGCCTTTTGCATAGCGCGTCGTTATTTTTACTTTCTTGTGCTAATTTTCATACTGTACGGTTTGGTTTTGCAACTGTAAAAGTTTTTCTGCCTTTACATTTGCTTCAACTTCTTTTTTATACTCATCGCTATCCATATATGTCTTCAGGGCTTTTTGTTTTATCTCTTCATCTTTCAGTACTTTATATTGAGTAGTATGGTTTTTCAAATTTATAACATCTTGTTCCATTTTTGCTACTTCTGCTGCTTTTTCTGACACTTTTTTTGCATATTCCTCTGTACTTAGTTCTTTCAGTTGTTCTTCTTTCTTCTTTTTCTCTACGTTTAACTCATTGAGTTTCTTTGTGTGTCTGTCATATTCTAGTTTCTTTTCGTTTTCACTTATTTGCTTCTGTATGTCTATGTTTGACTTTTTGACATCTGTTATTTGATTTTTGAGTGAACTCAAATTCATTTGACTTTGAGGGTTATATGCTGTTCCGTCTGCAGCTCCACCATAGCCTGCCATTTTCGCTAAAAGTGCCGCTCTTAAACCTCCACTCTGTGCACCAAGAACTCGGTTTAAAAGCATAGGATTGCTTGACATTTGTTGCAACATAGTGGGGTCATTCAGCATTTGTTGTTGCAACTGTTGTTGTGGTGTGTTAGTTTTACTATTGGATGTTTCAATGCTCTCTTCCTCTTACGTATATTCTTACGTAGCTTACGTGGCATTTTAAGTGAAGTAAAAAACGGTTTTTGACAGATGTTTATATGACACTTTTTGTTCAGCACAAAAAACTACTCGGTCAAAGTGTTGTCAGTTTTGTAAAATAACCGTCCTATCTCATTCTATAAGGGGAAAAGGCTTCTCAAAGTATACTTCCTTGGAACGCCTGTAACTTTTCCTGTAGCAACGATAGACCCTTACTTGTCCGGACAAAGTTATACTATTTTGAGTGCTCTACAAAAAAGTCAACGGCGACGACTCTCAAAAACCGTTGTGTAAAAAGTTTTACCGTTGGACAAAAAAGTATATATAGAAAACAAAAAACGTTTATAGTTCATTCAATATTTGAGATGGAACGGTTTGCCAACGGAGACTTTTCAATAAAATAAAAAAATAGAGGGGGTTACCGTTGACGAAAACGGTTTATTTTAAACTCTTATTTGAAAAAATAAAGTGGTTGGTCTTTTTCACTTCATTTTAGCTCAATGTCATACCAAGACAGTAGCGATTCCGATTCAACTATCCAGGAAGAGGATTATCATCCTACACGGTCACTCCCAGTCCCAGATGACACTCCAAAGACTCGCTTTGACCCGAGCAATCTAACTTCCAATTGCGCCAACAATTGCAGTCAAAAGCTGATGAATACATGGCTTCTTCTATAGAAGAAAGTATAGAACAGACCTCAGAGTATTCTACAGCTCTTGGTCAACTAGTTTCGGCGACAGTCCAATTCGAACAAATTTGTTCGAATTCAATTCAATATGCAGACGAACTTGTCCGCTATTGTCCCACTCTTGTAAGAGTACTTCAAGAACGACTCTTCAACCAGTTGCTTCCTACCTTACGCAGCCCAATTCAAATTCAATTTGCCCGTGCAGCCATAAACTTCACTCCGTACTCATACAGCTATGACCAGGATGAACTAGCTGACGAGTACGGAGCCGAAAATGTTGGCTGGGTTTTTCGCACAACTCCTTGCGAATTCCAAGTTGAAATTGTCAACCATTTCCTCGTTCGTACTATTTCGTTACAGAATGAAGACAACGAAAAAGATGGAGTCATTCCAGGTGACCGTGTGAGAGTCATTTTCCAACGCAAAAGTGGACAAGAAATTGTATTCGAAGAATTGGTTTGCATATTCTTTAGCAATGGTCAAGCCTACTGGGAAGGAAACTTGGTATTAGTCCCCGGTGAAACCATTTCTGTTTCATCGGATTTGAACCATCCATACAAGATATGGTTCAATTACGTTGCATATAACGCAGAAGACCCGAACTTTGACTCAGAATAAAAACTTCATTTATACTAAACATCTTCAGGGCTAGAAGGGGCGCAGCCCCTGGAAGCCCCACTTCCTTTTTTTTTTTTTTTTTTTTTTTTTGAAATAACAGGATCCCGCATCCAACACGCAACAACAAAACACAAAACACACTTTTTGGTTCTTTCATCGTTTTAATCGTAATTTATGTAGGTAAAAAAGGGGGTTGGCGTCCTAAGGCGTCCTAGTGTAAATTTCTCAAAATTGTGATATTTACATCACATTTTTGAGAGGTTTATGGGCGTCCTAAGGGAAAATTGAATAGTTAGGGCGTCCCGAATTTTCATTCTAAGATTTAAATATATTATATACTTAAGTATAATACAAGCAATATAAAAATTAAATTTTTATTATGTTAACTTATAAGAAATTTTTTTGAATTATCGTTGATTTATTGTAATCTTTCCAGGCTATACTTTTGAAATCAACTTTACCTGTCATACGCATTAATGTAGTAGATGTCCGGGTGTAGCTATTATATCCCACAACATTGGTATTTTATCATTGTAAGATATCAAAATGAAGCGTTTTTTCAGATATAATTTTTCGTAAATTTTTCAAAAATAAGATGGTAAAAAAGCCTCGACTTGCTCGAAAAATAACAATTTTTTTACTTGTAAAAATAACCCTTTTACAGCATGGGCAGCTATTCAATCACTATTTCTTTTTCTAAAAGTATATTTTTCAAAAAAAATTAAGATCAAATTCGACAATTTCTTGATGAAAGCAAAAATATTACACATACTTCTAGATGCATGGGATAAAATATGCAATTATCCAATCAATTCGCATGATTTGAAAAAAAAAATCTAAATTTGATAAAAATGTAGAAATTTTTTATTTTTAACTTGAGATTCGATTTTTTTGATCCAATTTGTGAATTTTTTTTGATCGGAATTTCAATTAATTTGTTGATCAAAAATGACCTCACAATGTTTGATCATAAGTGAAGTCATCTTCATGGGTATTTAGAAATTCCAAGAGAAATTGCTTATTTCTCGCAGATGTAATATCTGAGAAAATCGAATTTAAATATTCATAGAAACCCAAATCATTCTCCGGTTCGAATAATTCATCTGTTGCTTTTTCTGTTTTTTCTATGAATTTTAATAATTTGATTAATAAATCTTCATCAGGAAGAATTATTGCTGCATTTGTGATAAAATTCCATATTGAGGTAATATGGCAATAATTACATTTATAAAATGTAATTTTATCCAAAATTTTTTGGCAAATTCGCATAATAGCATTAATATTTGAAGCTGAGATTAAACCTGTGATTACTTCTGTAACTTTTGGAAAATCATCGCAATTTAATATCTCTTTATATTGAATTGAGAAATAAAAAAAATCAAATGGATTCATTTCTTCAATTTCAAGGAGATTGTAAAAATTGATAGAAGTGTTATTGCAACAAATTGTATTTGCAGCAAAAAATATCATTTGCTCGATTCCATTTTTGGAATAAATTTGCTGGAACAATGTTAAATTAAAACAGTTGCTTAATTTTTCTTCATTGTTTTCATAAAAAAGTAACAAGTTTGCAACTGAAATTTCAAAATTTTGATAATTGCCAGTTATTTCAGTAAATATATATATTTGCTTTTCTTCATCTAAAAATGGCAAATATTGATTTGCAATATTAACTAAAGTTTGGGATAAATTGTTCCAGTTTGATTTTACAATTTGTGAGCACATTATGTAATATGTAAATTTATCCGCTTTGTAGGAATTTAAAATTGTTTGTTGTTCTGTTTCAGTTAAATTACTGAATTTTTCAAGATTAATATTGTGATAAAAAATAGAATCCTTGAAACATTCTGATATCTTTTCAATGTTTAAAACGGATGCTAAAAAATGTAAAAGAACTTCATCAGTCACTGTGATTTTTTTGAAAAATTTATCCCAATTCAAGCATCCAATTGATCTTTCTGTCATTGTACTTATGCATTGATAAAGTTGATTTAATGAATCCGAAGAATAATCATTATGCTTGACTAGTTGAGTTAGTTGATACAGACTGTCGTCAGCCATTTTAAAAAAATGAATAAAATTGTATAGTAAATTATATTTGTGAAATTTGTGACGCTACATTCAATCTAAGACCAATATCTCAAAGAATTCCTCATTTAAGTATTACTTTTCATTGTTTTTTAAAAAATATCTTTGCTTATTTGTTCACTTTTTTGACATTTATTATATGCTTTTTATCATATTTCCGATGATATGAATATATATTCTATATAAGAATGACGCTACATTCAATCTAAGACCAATATCTCAAAGAATTCCTCATTTAAGTATTACTTTTCATTTTTGATTCAATTTTCGAACGGTTTTCGTAAATTTTGCATCATTTCATTTTTTAATGGGAAAATCATCTATATTTAATCAAAAAAGAGCAAACTTTACAGACGAAAATAAAATATTTATCAGGGAACAATCTGATAAATACCAAAAATCAACATCGAGAGATGAAAAAACGAATATAATCAAACAAGTTCTTCAATATTTTAATATTAAATACGCCGAAAATGAATCTAAAGCTGTCAGAAGATATTTTAGTTATATTGCAGTTAAAAATATTCCCGCAGTTACTGGAAAATATCCTGATACAATTGTTCGCAAAGATATGCTTTATTCGCATGATCATACAAATATTATTAATTCAAATAATATTGAACGTTACTACCGTTGCATCGATCATTCTTGTCAAGCACGTTATTTAGTTAAAATTGAGAACAGTTCAGTTTCCGAAGATTTACAAAAGGAACATATACCCGAATGCAGACAATTTAAAAAGTTACAAAATGAAAAAAATGATCTTCATAAATCAATGACTCTGACAGAAATATACAATAAGGCAATGGCAAAATTTTCTGAAGACAACGGCACTTTTCAGCAGATTAAAAAATTTATGACAGAACTTGCTGTTGGTACTGATGAAAACCCATTAATTAAAGATTCATTGGTCAGGGAAGTTTATAATAAGTCCAGAAAATTTTCTGTTGGAGAAAAAATTACAGACGATGAAATTGCTAATTTTTGTTTAATAAATGGCGAGCAGTTTTTCATTGGCCATGATTTTCAAGCAAATTGTGAGACGATGTTTTTTGGTTTTGAGAAGGCAATTCAATTTGCAAAAGAAGCCACAGATTTATTTTGCGATGGAACTTTTAAAATTACACCAAAACATTTTCAAAAAGGACAGATGCTAACAATTATGATTTGTGAACCTTCAACAAATCAATATCTACCACTTTTATTTATATTCATGAAAAACCGCACATTTGAATCTTATAAGAAGGCATTTGAATATATTTTTACTGTCAAGGGTATTCAATTTTCAAAGCTAATTCAAATTCATTGTGATTTTGAAAAGGGAATGATAGAGGCACTTCAACAAATTTTCCCTAAAGTCCGTATAATTGGATGCCTATTTCATTTCAAACAAGCTTTACACAGGAAACTTGTAGCACTTTATACAAAAAATTTCAATACTTTACAAAATTCTTTATTTAAGCTATATTCTATTACTCCATTCATGTCTCATGAAGAATTTGTACTTACAATGCATATAATTAATCAAAATAAAGTTGATTCGATCAAAGATTATATTGATTATTTCAACAAAGTTTGGTTGCCGCACTACAATTTAATATCTCAATATAATAATGCAACTGCAATATTCACTAATGATTGCCTCGAGAGTATGCATTCAGAATTTTCTTCGTTAAAACATCCAAACATTTATGAAGCTATTAAGAAGATATCTCAAATCCAATTAGATAAATATAACGCCATCAAAAATAACCAGAAGATCGAGCGCCATATAAAAACCGTTATCACTGATAGCTACAAAAATTATATTCTTGACTGCTTTCAAAAAGAACTTGAGAAAACAATTTTTTCTATCAAACAATACAACGTAAGTGATCTTTCTTTGGCTCAGAACGAGATTTCTCCATATGGTTCCATAGAATCGAGTTCATTGTTCGAAAATATTCCAGTTCATGATGCAGATATACTCAAATCGATCGATCTAACAGATAAAGATACAATAATCACTAAGTTTATTAATGAAAAAAGAGAAAAAATTATGGCATTATTTAATGAAACATTAAATCATCCAGATTTTAATTCATCCACTCCAATTCAAACTAATTTTGAGCAAGCCGATACAAATCAAGGTTCAGATGCTCCAATTCGCTCCGAAAATTCAAATATTGCAGACTCTACAGATTTAGAACCAGAAAATCAAAACCATCCTTCTACAAATCAAATGTCTAGTAATCTAGAACATAAGCTGGACCTTCTTGATCATATTGAAAAACAATTATCGAAAATGCGCTCGTTATTGGGAATTCTTCCTACTACAAATGCTATTGTTGGGCCGTCAAAACAAGTTTCAGTTAATAGCAAGCAAAATTCTGAAAAAAAAATAAGAAAAAATCTTCCATAACAACAAAATCAAACAATAAAAAACATAATTCATCCGACAATCCTCCTAAACGTAAAGCTCCTATTTCGGAAAGGATTCTCAGCGATAATAACTTATATTTTCAAGTTCATCGAAAGAGATCGAAAAGCAAACGTTCCACATCTACAGAGAAAAAGAATTGATATATGAAGTCTAATTCCTTTTATAACTACTATATTTTTATTCTTATGACTAAAAAATAATATATTATTTAACAATTTTCATTTTTTTCTTTTAACAATTTCGTTTTATTTCCATTTATTGTTAAATGATTTTTAGCATACACCTTTCTTTGTTCATCTTCTAAATACAATTTATTTTTTCTTAGATATAATTCTATTCATTCAATTTGATCGTCATTTTTCAGTACATGATCGTAATTTTCAACTATTGATCGCGATTTTACTTCAGAATTTGTTCGCAATATTGCTTATCAAAATTATATCTCTATTCTCTCATTTCTGTTTAGTCAATATCATTACACTCCTAATGTCTAATAACATGCTATTAATTTTCTTAAAATTAAAAAAAAATATCAACTTTTAAAAACAGAAACTTAACATCCTTAGGTCAATGGATTTTGATGTGAGATACATTTAATCTGTTTTTCTTTTTTTATTTTAAATAATTGAATATTTATAGTTGTTATGGGTCTTACATCATGTAAAACGAATTTTCTTAAAGTAAATTTACTTTTTCTTCAATCTTTCTTACATATTTATTAAAAAAAAATTATCCAAAAAAAGATGTTTTAGAATGAAAAAAAATAGAAAAATCTTCATTTATAGTCTTTCTTGAATGTATACGTTTTGATTTTTTTCTTTTTTAAAAAATTCAATTTCTAGAAAAATCGAGAAAAAATCATTTTCTTCTATTTTTTAGGACGCCATACCCCATTGAAATCTCCTCTCAGGACGCCATAAACTATTCAATTATGGTGTAAACTTCTCAAAAATTGAATAGTTTACATCAGGACGCCTTAGGACGCCAACCCTTTACGCGCCCATTTATGTAATACATGATTTGGATAAATTTTACAAAAATAGAACCTATATTATATTCTTTTCAAAGATTCTTGCAAATCATCAAAAATAATTGTATTTTAAAAAACGATCAAATTATCCTTTCATTATTTTAAACTTAAATTAGTTTTTATGATTGACTAAAGCAATCATATTTATTCATCATTAAATAAACAAAAAAATAATATTTGAGAGTTATTTCAAAAAAAACACTATGATGACACCAGGCAAATCTTCCAAGACACCTATCGTCGGGAATCTAACAACCCTACCGTTAAGGCTGTTCTGAAAATATTTTTTTTTTCGAAAAAATTCGAAAAAAATTCTTAAAATTCAAAAATCCCTTAATTCCTGAGGATTTTGGAAAAAAGTTTTTACATGAACATGTGTATATTATATGAAGTATATTGATAAGGTAAAAATCAAATTTTATTGCATATTCATCGAGAAAATAAACTAACGAATCCCTCAAAATTGAGAGGGTAATCCTCCTCCTCTCAAATAAACGTACATACGGGTGCACCCTTAAATCATTATTTTTATGACATTTTCTTCCTTTTCGTATTAATCATTATCTTATAGCATTCTCATTCGTTTAATATGAATCATTAACTTATTCTTTCTGTTACTTTATTATATTCTTTATCTTTCCATATTAACCATTAATGTATCATATTACTTTAAAATTAATGAACGTCCTCTCGGTCTTGCTTGTAAAGTTCGCTCACTTGAAATCGTTAGATATCTGGTTACAAATGGTGCAAATGTTGATATCATAATGCTTATATTTCTTTTTATATTTATCATTGATTTATAGTATTCCCTTTGTTTACATATATATCATTATTTTATAAAATTACTTATTTTATTATATCTGCAACAAAGTTATGATCATATTTTTTTACTTTATATACAATTTATTTGTACTTTCTGGATTTCTCTTTCTTTGCATATATATCATTAATTAGTGATATTTTTTTGATGTTTATCAATGCCCTCTCACAATTGCAATTAAAGAAAACTCACATGATATTGTTCATTACTTAGTTGAACATGGCGCAAATGTCAACCCAACACTTTTTTCCTACCTTTTTATATCATTCACTCTTTTATTTAATTTTCTTTCTTTAAATATCAATTAATATTTTGTGACATTTCCTTTCATTTTTTAACAATCATTGTTTTATAATACTATTCCCATTCCTCTCATATTAGTCATAAGTTTGTGGAATTTTCCTTTTTTTAATGTCTCTCATTTCGTTATATGAGTCTCTTTCATCATATATCTATCATTATTTTATAATAATGCATTTTTTTATAAGTACATCATAATTTTATAGTTCTTCTTTTCATTTCAAATTCATCATTATTTCGTCATATAATTTTGCTGTAAATGCAAGCCCATTAACTATTGCAATCAAAAGGCACTCACTTGAATTTGTCAGATACTTAGTTGAACATGGTGCGGATATCAATACATTTGTAATTTGTTGTAAACAGAAATTCATCAAAAGTGACACCTCAGAAAAGCTAAAATATTGAATTTTTGGAACTTTTGATAGAGCACGTTTTTAAATATTAATTAAAGTAAATGTATATTTTGTAAAGATTCTTTTTAATAAAAAAATAAAATTTTGAAGAAGAACACAAAATCTTCTGAAAAATAATATCACATAAACTCATATTATTTTCTAATATATAACTATTTTATATAAAAATCAAATTCAATGATCTTAAAAGCGAAGGATAAACCTCAAAATTTACGAATATAATGAGTGGGAATATAATGCTTATCTATCATAAAACCATATGAAATATCAATTTTTGCTTTACGCCTAATTTTTGACGACAATTAGCAAAAAATGTTAAATGTTAACACTCAGTCCATTTGAATATGAAAAATAAAATTGACTTTGATTAAATGTTTTTATTTATCATGCAATTCTTCTTGCGACCAAAGATTTGAATAAAATTTCAAAAAATAAGATAGCTTAAAAAATAATATACGGTAGTGTTTACTAATAGATGAATAGTATATAAATTCTATTAAAATGTATTTGATCCAAAAAAAATATAAAACCAAAAATAATTGTTATAATTTAAATGAAGAAGTAATTTAAAACGATTTTATTTATGATCAAATTTTATATATTTTTTTGGATCAAATCCATTTTAATAGAATTTATATACTATTCATCTATTAGTAAACACTACCGTATATTATTTTTTAAGCTATCTTATTTTTTGAAATTTTATTCAAATCTTTGGTCGCAAGAAGAATTGCATGATAAATAAAAACATTTAATCAAAGTCAATTTTATTTTTCATATTCAAATGGACTGAGTGTTAACATTTAACATTTTTTGCTAATTGTCGTCAAAAATTAGGCGTAAAGCAAAAATTGATATTTCATATGGTTTTATGATAGATAAGCATTATATTCCCACTCATTATATTCGTAAATTTTGAGGTTTATCCTTCGCTTTTAAGATCATTGAATTTGATTTTTATATAAAATAGTTATATATTAGAAAATAATATGAGTTTATGTGATATTATTTTTCAGAAGATTTCATTCTATATGCCTATGAAAAGTACTCTCAAAACTAACTTTTTCCTAATTATAATTAAATCTAGAATATTGTATTATGCTTAGTATTATTTCATTTTTCTCATTCAATTTAGAATTTACAAATGTCAAAAAATTGAGAGTTGTCACTTTTGATGAATTTCTGTTTATTACAAATTCTCTTTCTTTTTATATCTACTATTCTTTTAAGACATTTTCTTACATTTCAAATATAACCTTTTCTTATGATATTTCTCATTATATTATTATATTTTCTTCCTTTCTATATCTATATCTATCATTGCTTACTGGCATTCTCTTTGATTTCAGATCATTCATTATTTTATTACATTAATTTGATATTCAGAAACACCCGCTCGGTATTGCAATCAAAGAACGTTCTCTTGAAATTGTACAATATTTAGTTGAACATGGTGTTGATGTCAATATAGAACAATTTATATTTCATTTTTTAACAATTATTTCTTTATGGAATTTTCATTCACCTTATATCAATCATCATTCTAGACAATTCTCTTTCTTCTCATATCTATCATTATATTAATGTAAATTTTTGATTAAGGAATGCTTTCTCATTATTGCAATTAAAGCGAATTCGATGGATATTGCTCAATATTTAGTTGAACATGGTGCGGACGTAAACAAAAATCTTTTTTTCTCTCTTTTCAAATTACTCAATAATTTATAAAATTCACTTTGTTATCATATTTTCAATAGTTTTACTATAAATGTCCTCTCAGTATTGCAATTGAAGAGAATTCATTTGAATTTATAAGATTCTTAGTTGAACATGGTGCAGATGTCAATATGAAAAATTTTAGTGTAGTTCTTTGCTTTTAAAAAATCTCCTTCTTTTTATACTGAACATTAATTTATATAATTCTCTTACTTTTAATATAAATTATTGTTTAATCAACTTTTCTTTCTTATTATATCTATCATTATTTTATAAAATTTTCAATTTTTGCATATATATCATTTTTTATATCTGTTACTGTATTATGCAATACTCTTTCTTTTTATGCTTACCATCATTTTATTATATTCTTTTTCTTCTCCTATCCATTACTGATTTATTGCATCCTCCTTCTATTCATATCAATTTTTGCCTCATGTCTGCCTTTAAATTATAAAATTATTTTTCGTATAAGATCAATTATTTTTTCATTTCATTCCCTCTCAATTCATATAAATCATTGTTTTATGAAATTGTTTTTCTTTGGATATCTATCATTGTTTTATATAATTCTCCGACTTTTTACATTTATCATCGTTTAATATTGTTCTTTTGATTTTAACGATTGCCCTCTCACTATCGCAATCAAAAATAGCTCCTTTGAAGTTGTTCAATATTTAGTTGCACATGGTGCGGATGTAAATATGAAACTTCTTTTCTCGCTTTTCATATTAATCATTGTTTCAGGAATTTCTCTTTTTTTGCATGTCTCTCATTATTCATTGTAATTTTCTTTCTTTTCATATTAATTATAGTTTTTCAAAAATCTTTTTCTAAATATATCTATCATTATTTTAACAGATCCTCTATCTTTTATTATCTAATGTTGTTTTATGTAACTCTCTATCTTTTATTATCTAACGTTGTTTTATTTAACTCTCTATCTTTTATTATCTAATGTTATTTTATTGGATTCTCTGCCTTTTCATGTATATCACTGTATTATGATATTCACTTTATTCATTGTTTTAAAGAATTCTCTTTCGTTTCATATTTATCCTTGTTTTAAATAATTCTCTTTCTTTGCATATCTATCATTATTACATGAAATCCTATTTATTAACATATCTATCATTGTTTTATACAATTTCTTTTCTTTTCATATACATCAATATTTCGTCGATTTCTTTCTCTTTTCATATATATTATTGTTTTATTTCGTTCTTTTGATATCAATGAATGTCCTCTCAGTATAGCAATCAAAGCAAGATCAACTGATATTGCTCGATTCTTAGTTGAACATGGAGCAAAAGAAGTCCATTAATGTTCAAAATATTATACTAAAAGAAATGGGTAATTTAAAAACATATATAATAAACAAATTTATCAATCTGCAAAGGTTTGTGATCTTCCTATGTAATTATTTATTTTTAAAAGCAAATATTGGATTGTTGCATTTAATATTGCAGAATTTAGCATCATATGATAATAGATATAGCATTCTTTTTTTTTCAGGCGTTTTTACATAGCTTTGTATCAGGTAACTCACAAATATCTTTGTTTTTCAGCTTATATCGGCGCGCAGCGAAGCTGCGCGCCAATAGATGCGCTATATTAATATAAGACTAAAAATATTTTTTTCGTTGTCTTTAATTTTTAATCGTTTTTAAACTAATAGCATATATCAATTTGGGTTATGTTATACTGCCGATTGATCCAGTTAAATTTACGAAAATTACATGATCAATTAATTTCAAAATTAAATCAGGTTCAAAATTCGATTCCAAGCGGTTGTCTTTGTTCCTAATCATATAAGATATCATAAGCAATTATAAAAAGAAAGGTACAAAAAGTGACACAAGACACTCACAAAAAATATTGAGAGGAGATTTGCTTTTTACTTCACATTCTCCAAATTTGTGAACCACACTTTTAATTCAGACATGATATAACTGTATTGGTTTAATTTTGATATAAGACAGATTCTCATCTATAAATATTCATTAAATACCTTTTTATTTGGAAATAAATTTCAAATATTCTTCCCATTCTCAATGTATTTCACTCATATCTTTCTATTATTAGGTGTATAAATTGATTACTTAAGGAAATTCTTCTAAGTCATACTCTTGCAAAATTGAAATCCAAAATTCATTGAAATTGTTCAAAATCGTGAATGATTAGCTATTAATACATCTCAATCTACATACTATCTACTAATTTTTCTATTTTAATTTTCTGACGCAAATTATAGTTCATTGATATCTGCTTATAATAACATACTTATACATCAATTAAATATATAAAAATCTCATAATTAACTTCGAAATGATGGACTGCTTGTCTATGTAATATAATTAAAATCTTTTATTATAAAATGATGTTATAATAATCCGAACTTCATAAATTTTGAAGTTAATTCGAGGAGAGGTACAAAATATCAATAAGAAAAATTAAAAATGAGATGCATATTATCAGCCGAATAATTAAAAGATTGTTTTAAATATTTCATTATAGCCTTTGTCAGATGAGGAACAAAGTCAATAATCAGATGTTGATTATTTAATAGAATTTTCTTATTTCATTGGTGTTTGCACCATGTGAAATAAGAAGTTCTTTTATTTCTTTACAATTTTCCATTGAATAATGAAGTGCTGTTTTCCCATCATTATCTTTTTCATTGATATTTATACCATGCGAAATAAGAAGTTCGGCTGTTTCTTTACTATTATGTATTGCTGCAAAATGAAGTGCGGTTTGTCCATCATCATTTGTTTCATTGATATTTATATCATGTGAAATAAGAAGTTCGGCTGTTTCTTTACTATCATTACTTGCTGCAATATGAAGTGCGTTTTGTCCATCATTATCTTTTTCATTGATATTTATACCATGTGAAATAAGAAGTTCGGCTGTTTCTTTACTATTATTAATTGCTGCAGTATGAAGTGCGTTTTGTCCATCATTATCTTTTTCATTGATATTTATATCATGTGAAATAAGAAGTTCAATGATTTCTTTATTATTTCCATGTACTGCAATATGAAGAGCTGTGTATCCACATTCATCTTTTTCATTGATATTTATATCATGTGAAATAAGAAGTTCGGCTGTTTCTTTACTATTATGTATTGCTGCAAAATGAATAGCGGTTTTTCCATCACTATCTTTTTCATTGATATTTATATCATGTGAAATAAGAAGTTCGGCTGTTTCTTTACTATTATGTATTGCTGCAAAATGAATAGCGGTTTTTCCATCACTATCTTTTTCATTGATATTTATATCATGTGAAATAAGAAGTTCGGCTGTTTCTTTACTATTATGTATTGCTGCAAAATGAATAGCGGTTTTTCCATCACTATCTTTTTCATTGATATTTATATCATGTGAAATAAGAAGTTCGGCTGTTTCTTTACTATTATGTATTGCTGCAAAATGAATAGCGGTTTTTCCATCACTATCTTTTTCATTGATATTTATATCATGTGAAATAAGAAGTTCGGCTGTTTCTTTACTATTATGTATTGCTGCAAAATGAATAGCGGTTTTTCCATCACTATCTTTTTCATTGATATTTATATCATGTGAAATAAGAAGTTCGGCTGTTTCTTTACTATTATGTATTGCTGCAAAATGAATAGCGGTTTTTCCATCACTATCTTTTTCATTGATATTTATATCATGTGAAATAAGAAGTTCGGCTGTTTCTTTACTATTATGTATTGCTGCAAAATGAATAGCGGTTTTTCCATCACTATCTTTTTCATTGATATTTGCACCATGTGAAATAAAAAGTTCTGTTATTTCTTTACTATTCTTACGTGCTGCAATATGAAGTGCAGTTTGTCCATCATCATCTTTTTCATTAATATCTATACCCTGTGAAATACATTCATCATTTCCTTCATTATTGTTGACCATAATTTGATTGTATGACTCAAGTAATAATCTGCAAATATCAGAATTTTTCGATTTACATGCAAAATGAATAATTCCACATTTAGTGTGATTATATTTGTTAGAAAATGTATTGTTTTTGAAAATATCTATTGTTTGCGGAAATGCTGCACCCCATGGAAAGATGTAATATTTGTTCCTTTTGAATAGAAGAAATACAGCATTAAGGTTTTGATATCTGATGATATCTTTATATACAGGTTTATACTTTACATCTCCCATACAATTCTCTTCTTTTCCCGATTTCAAAACCTCACCGTATAAATCATCAAGCTCGAATATCTCTCTATCTAAAACATATTCAAGCAATTCGTGATTGTGTGATCTTATAATGCTTCTGAGACAATCAATATCCATTTTATTTTCTTTCAAGCATTCATTGATGATGTCTTGATTTCCTCCAATTACTGAGTAGCAAAGACATCTTTTAGTTATTTTACTGATTTGATTCGAAATCAAGAAATAAAAAATGTTAACAGATCCAAAGTAGGCACATGCTTCAATTAGTGATAAATCTGCATAATATCCATCATCGTGATAAGCATTGTACCTGAAATTAGGAATTTCGAGAAAAATATCACCAGATATTGAATTTTGAGTTAAGTATTCCTTGAACTTATCAATTTGATCATGCATAACTATAAATTTAATCGAACCCTCCTTTTCAAAATGGTAATCGGAAACTCCGGTTAGGTCAGCCCCGATCTGTTCGAGTATTTTGACGTAATTCGCTCCAGATGCATAATTGTATCTAATTGCCCCATGAATTAACTTTGTAAGTTGATTGATTGAAAGTTGATACTTCGAAATCAAAGTATTTGTAATTATACTGCACATATCTTCGATAGGTCCATTAGATTTTATGTGGAAGAGCTTTTCAAGCGCCCCTATAAAATCCGCATATTGTTTTGAAGAGTCAGAACTCATAATGAAAAAAAAAATCTAGCAATTGCTACTACACTCATTTTATTTACAATTCGATTTTTTTCCACAGTTCAAATTTTTTTTCCACAATTCAATTTTTTTTTTTACAATTTGAAAAATCCAGGATTTTTCCAAAAATAATTAAGGCAATATCAGATACCGTAGCTATGAAGTGCTACGTTGTGCCCACACTTTTTACATTATGAATTTACAGTAAAAAAAGTGTGGTCATTAATATTTTGGACAAAACTTGGGTGAAAGATCGATAGAGCTCTCAATTCTCACAAATTATGAGGGCTTTTGGGCGAAACATTGCCAAATTTGAGAGGTTCGGGCAAAAGATCTAAAATGAAATATATGAATAAACGCTTTTCCTATAATCGATATATGTTTATTTTGCCGAAGGTAGCATGCATGCCCGAAGGGCAAACGTAGCCACCTGAGGTTAGAAATTATATTATAACCAAGTTGATTTTGTGGACTACAGAATTGTAGTAAGTTTGTATCTTCACACAATAGATCATAAAACCTTATTAACTCATTCGGACAATTAGAAACATGATATGCTTGTTTTTTTTTTTTATGGTAGGTATTTTAAAGGTACATTCACTAGGCGATAACAGTAAAATGGGATGAAAATAGGATAAATAGCATCCCTATATAGTGCCTAACAATATTTATACGGGCCAAAAAAATTTGGCTAGAGATTTGGCGAGTTATAAAACTTAGAAAATTGAGAGGGATTTTTATTTTTGAATTTTTTTGGAAAGTTAAAATTGCTATTAAAAATCGATTTCCAGGAGAACTAAGCATCTCATCATATATTTAAATCGATAAAAATATTAAATAATAGTTGAATAGTATAACAACGTGAAATTATGGCTGAATCTACAGAAAAAATGAACATATTTGACATTTTTGAAAATTCATACGTTAGATGGTGACAGACTCATAAACTATACTTTAGCTAAGATTGATATATGGTTTCAACAACACATGGTTAAAATCGTAAAAATATTTTAGATTTCAAAAAGATATATATGGTAATATAATGGAACAAAGTCAACAAATAGCATGTTAAATATGTTATAATTAACTTTTTATTAGATCCAATAGTAGATATCGAATGGTTTCCAGCTTTATGGTTAAATATTTTCTTTTCGAGCTTCTCTTTAACTGTTGTATTAAGGTTGTAAATTTTTGATGCTAGAAACTATGGAATCTTCTTTGCTGCTGCATTTTTCTTGAGAGTTCTTGCAATTTCGAATAGATCTGCGCATTGTATGAAATGGAGGCTTTAAAATATCTTGAAAACAGAATAGGACTGCTTTTCCAAAGGAATGCTTACTTGTAAATCAGAGAGTTTCAAAATTGACAGCAAGATTATCATCATAACTTTCGATTTTGCTGCGAAAAAGGAAGACAAGTAATTAACAAATCATTTACTGTTGTTCATCAAAAGAAGAAAACTTTGATAACAACTAATGATGATAAAATCAAGCTATCTTTTAATATTTTAAATTGATAAGACATTCAAAATATTTGAATGGTTTAAAATATTTTCTTTTAATTTCTATAAGATATTATCATGATTATATAATAAAATTTAAATTTTTATTCAAAAAGGCAATATTTCAAACTTTTAATTTCAAAAATCTTAATTCTGCAATAAGTGTATTTAATTGTAGCAAATTTAATGATCCTTCGTCATGCTTAGCAATTTGGAACTCATAAATTAATGATTTCTTCAAGTAAAATTCTGCATTATTTCAAAAGTCAATAATTCTCTAGTAACTTTTCTTCAAACCCTAACCATTATATTATATGTATAATGGAGAATAATTGCAAAGAAAGATAGCCGAATTTACTGGGTAGTTCTTGTGATGCGAAATAATTGCAAATTAACACCTAGTTTTAACAGCATCAATCTATTTTTGCTCTCATTTAAATGCATTCGCACACTTTAATTTTGAAATATAAGAGTTTTGGAAATTATCAAATTTATCTGCTAAAATACTATAGATCTTCATAAGTGTTAATAGAATCATTAGCCTTATATATAGTGTTTAATATAATGATGCACATTATACTGGGATTCATTCCTTATTCATCTAGTTATTATAAGATTTACAACCCCATGAAAATTTAAAATTTTGTCAAAAATAGTGAATGTACCTTTGGTATTTTTCATTTAGTATTTGTAAGAAAATATAATTTATAATATATTTTCAAAATTAAATTTGCTTAAAACCCACTAGTCACTGAGAAAAATTATGAAATGTCTCCTCTAAATGCCGAAAGTTAACCTCAACAAGAGCTCCAAGAGGAAGGAAGGAGATTTTAAGAGGAGAAAGAGCACTCTCGGCAGGGGAAAGCATCAGCATCTTAGCCACACTAAAATTGATTTTAGAACAGCTAAGATTAAATTATTAAGAGATGCAAGATTCGAAAATACAGAAGTTGTCAGCGAAGGTCCAACAATTGAGCAGCTAAATAACCTTCTTAACATGGCAAATCATGATACAGAAAAGAAAATCATTCAAGGATTTTCCGGAATCCAAAATATCATTACAAAATCGCCAGGGTTGTTCGTACAGAACTCAGGAACAATCATTTCTGCAATTATGAGGAAATTTAATTCTTCTTCTGAAGAAGTTCGAAAATCAACCCAAAATCTTCTGCAAACTATCTTCAACCGTTTCAACGATATCATGCTTCCATCAGTTCCAATCATTTGCAGATACATTGCAGTTTTTTCTGTTGCAAATAGCGAAATTAGCAAAAATTTATCTGCCTTGCTTCTAGAAAAAGTCTCAACACTGCATAATTTACAACCTATATATCCTTTATTCCAAATATTCCCGCAGTTAATTAAGTCATCACCTAATCCAAAAGTTTTTATTCAAATGATTAAGCCAATGACAAAGATTATTCACATTTTCGGTTCTAAAAAGAAATATTTACCCTCAGATTACCCACAACCACTCAACTTCCCAATGCTTTTTACACGTGATAACGCTACATTTTCAAAAAGATTCTCAAGTAGCTGTATTTTGACTCAAGACATACTTGCCACCATCGAAGACTTAATTACAGAGCTTATTAATATCTTACCAAAGATTCAATACGATGAAGGACACGGTGCATTAATCGAAATATGTCGTTTCTTAACAGAACTCAATCTTTTGAACCATATTGACCAAATCAAACCATTTGTTGACTTCGTTATCGCATGTGGATGGCCATTTGAGAAAGTTAGCGCTCAAAGAAACACAATTGTCGCAGAATTTTTGGCAATTGATCCAGAACAAATAGATAACGTTCGCTCATTCCTTAAGGATTATCCTGGATCAGGTACTTTGCTTGCAATCGTTGGTGGAGAACCAACATCAAATTGTCTTGATGATGTTGACCCTCTTTCGCTTTGCAACATCAAGATATCTCGAGAAATGCAGCCTATTGCATTCACCCAACTCATAAATTATTATATTAACGAGGAACATCCGTCAAAGAAAGTTCTTTCCAAATTGATCGAAATTGAGAACAAGCCAGAAAATTACCAAACAGACTTGTTCAATTTAATTGAGAAGAAATTGGTCAGAAAAGTTCCAATCCAAGTCGAACAAAAAGAAGAAGAACAACCACCAAAAGAAGAGAAACAGCAAGAAGAAACTAAAAATGTCGAAGAAAACAAAGAAAACAAAATTAAATTTACTGTTGAAACAGCACAAGAAGAAACAGTTGAAGAGGAAGAAGAGGAGATGAACGAAGAGCAAATAAGACAATTAGTAGTCTCAGAGAAAGAAAAAGAGAGACAAAATTACATTGTTATGCTTATTGCTTCTTGCAACAACTTTGAGAAGGACTTCTTCATGAAATTAGTCGATTTATTGACAAAGAAAGAATCTGATGATACTTATTTTGTTCCTTTGAATGTCGCTGAGTCAATCGCACAAGCAATTGGAACAGGAAGAAGATCTAAACTCAATTTCATTATTTCATTCCTTTATTCACTCGGAACTAAACGTCCTGAACTCCGAAAAGTCATTACAAGAGCAATGGAGTTCATGATCGGATATGCCCGTGATGCTGATGAAAAGAAATTGCTGACAAAGCTTGATTTAGCAACTTGGCAACTCAAGTAATTTTATTTTTATTATTTTTATTATATAAAATAGAGATTAATTTTTTAATTTAATATTTTTCTAGGCAATAAAGCTCTTATTCTGTCATCAAAATATAATTTTTCATGATGGACAAGATAGTACAATGTTTACCTTATAAAAAATTATTATATTTCAAAGCTTGTGTTTTATCTATATATCCTAGCAAATATAGTATACAACGATGTGATAATAATTAGAATGGAGTTCTATTTTGGAAAAATGAAATTATGACTAAAAATTTAGTCGAAATGATTACAAAAATTCAGATTATTGCCCCTGCACTATATAATTGACACTTATAGTATGTATCAAGTAATTAGGAACATATATATCTTTTAAATTTCAAATAAAAATTGATTTTCTGGATATTCCTCAGAATGAGGAAATTCTCTCAATTATTAGCATTTATGAAAATGATGATCGAGATCTCAATTGATAGAGATGTGTCTATTTGCATTAAGATTAATCATTTCGCTCTGCTATAATAAAAATAGGGCGTATACTAGTACTCTGAATTTTTAAAGGAAATGTGTTAAAGTATGTATTAGATTTTTGTATTCCCTTAATGGATATAGAAAAATAATTTTTTGGTTTATTTCTATGCTTGAGTATTGGATGATTGTACTAATTGTTTGAAATTAATATCGTATCTGGAGTATATTAACGCCAAATATCAACAAATAAAAAATTTGATATAAAATATAAACAATTTTTACGCAATATCTATTGACCGATCTTTGATTCTAAGTCGTCAAGCCTTTTGGTAACAAACAAAATACTTTTATTAATAGTCGAGATTCGATCAGACATGTTTTCCAGTTTAGAAGTGATCATTTCTAGATGTTCTCGAAGTTCTCTTTCTTGCTCATATGGTTTGTTCATAAATGACTGTTGATAGGAATTGATATCATGATTGGAGTTGTTGTCATGCATTTTTGAAAAATTTGACTCATCGGAACTTTTAGTATTATTATCTGAGACTTGATGAACTCCCGTTGGCTTCAATAATGGAGGTATATGCTTGAAATCTAGAGTTGGAGTTTCGATTAATTGATTTGGATAGGGCACAAAATTTCCAAACGTTCCTTCTATATGTGCGTCTGAAGAATTTTGCCCAGTTATCATTTTTCATTGATCATTCATTTGATGGCAAAAAGTGGTGACCAAAAATTCCCACAATTCAAAAAATAATTGTGAGTATATTACTAATGAGTAGGCATAGTACAACAATTCTGTTTAAGAGTGGAAAAGCCAAACAAAAAATATATTTTCAACGGTATATTGTAAAGTTCATAAAAACATGTCAGAAACTTTTCGGAATAATTATTTGGAAAAAAATACATCCCAAGTCTTATAAATATTTTTGTTTAAGAATTTAATGAGTTTAGTTCGCCACTGAGTTCAAGCTGGAAGGAAAGGATCTCATAGATGGCACCTGCGTGATGTTGAAGATATAAAACAATATTATTGGCAAATTGAGAATTTTATTATCCTTTTTTGTTGTAGGAAAATTCATTTTTGGTCAATGGAAATAGGTTCATTATATACTCTGTGCAGTATATAGGCATTGTGCTATAGGGAGTTTCTTATCAAATTAATCAGATGACTAGCTGTGCTCACCTAATGCTCACTATAGATTGAGAGTTCATTCAAAATTAAGAATCGGCTGCACTTATGATATAAAAATAGATTATATAGTGATGTAGAGATCGTGAATTGCACAATATATTCCAAGTATGGTGAAATATTTTGTTATTTACGAAAATTCAATTAAATGCAGAAGAAAATTGTATATTTTAAATCCAATTGCAAACTTATTGTATAAATCTTTATTGATTTTGCTGCTTTTAAAATGGATAATGTCTTTTCTTGTTCATTTTTGATCAATTCTCCAAATTTTGCATTTTATTACAATAACAGTAATTTATCTGATAAATCACGCATTGCACCCATCTTTTAATTGCTCAGCAAGTTTTGTAATGGTATTTAATCCTAAATTCAAATAAATTTAGACAAAAAATTGATGAACAGACAAAAATCTGTGAAAATAATACTAATTTCAAATTGATTAAACAGTAAATTTATAATTCTCCTAGTAATTTCAGAATCAAAGAAAAAATAATCTTATATCCGGACAACATGTCCATGAAAAGCAGCTGAATAAGTAAAAAAATTAATGAAGCAAAGATACAATTGCTGATTTAATATTTTTTTTCCATGCAAAAAAAAATTTACCATCTGATTTTGATGCTAAGCAAAATAAGCGGTTCAGACGAAATTAAGTCAATCACTAATACGTTAAACATACTAATTAATGCAGATGAGTCAAAATTCCGCGAATGCTCCAGAAAACTTCAAGGCTTTCTAAAAAATAATATTATCCTCCATCTATCGGCGCGTAGCGCCGATAGATGATATATATAGTGATTGTCTGTTGCTGAAACATAAAATGATTAAGAATCAAAAATCATTTCTAAAAATGTATTTTTTTAAGACTTATTTTTGATAGTTTTCACTCAAAAATTTTCATCATATTTGAAATAATATCATATTCTTAATCTGAGCTATTTGATTGGCGCAAAGCGCCAATCAAATAGCGAAGAAAATGACTTTTCAAAATATTTATTAATAATTTATTATCAAAAGTCAAAAATCAATTAGAGATTATTATGTTACAACAAATTATGAATCGTAATTCGTTAAAATAATTTTGCCGAACAAACAACTAAAGTTGTTCTCAAAATTTTATTAGCGGCGCGAAGCGCCACTTCGAAAACGATAGGCAAAAAGTGTCTGAAAAATTGAGAGAAATGCTACATTTTCATTTCACATTTTCATCATTTCTTAACCAGACTTTTCAATCAAACTTCTAATGCATCACATTGAACTAATGACTTATTGGAGTGCCAGTGTACTTTAAAAGATTCTTAATATGTTCATGTAGTTTCAATTTAATTTTAAAAATTCTAAAATTTTAGATTTTAATCTCTAGCAAGTTCTTTGTTATCATATACTTAATTAGTCTTTAGCTTTACAGCTCCTAAATATCATTATAAATTACAAAATTTCGAATTTAATACTCAAATCAATATCTATGATCGCATCGATATCAAATTACTAAATAAAACTATTAGATTTTCAAATATATTACAATTTTTTGATATAGCTTAGACCTATTCTTCATTTGTGAACCAAATTTCAGCTCCAATTTTGTCAATTATCACGCCAATCTAATATCTTACCCAAGTGTATTCATTTCACAACAAATTCTTAATAAATTCTTTGCTTTCAATATTTCATTTGAAAAATTTCTAAAATCTCAAATTGTTCTCTAAATTACTTCGATTTAGCTAAAAGTCTATCTTATACTTTACATAATAATCTTTAAAATATAATATTAATCACTCACAATTAAATTTATTTGTATAAACTCATTTCCTATAATCATAATATATTTATTTTGCCGAAGTTGGCTAGGCTTGCCCAAAGGGCAAGCCTAGCCAACTGAGTCCCGAAATTATATTATATCAAATTTGATTTCTTACCTAAAGAATTGTTGCATGTTTATACATTCACCCTACAGATTATTACACTTTATTTAATTCATTCTGACAAAAAGCTTCATGACATGCTTGTTGATATTAAGCAGATTATTAGGATTCTCGACTATTTTTGCTTCCATACACCGAACTATCAAATTTCAAATTAATCTCGCTGTGTTTTCAAATGGAAGCATCCTTGGTGCAATCATTATTCGAAAATACAATATAAAATGGAATTATCCATATTTTCAACAGTATTCTATGGGAAAACTTTTTCAAATTTTTCCAGAAGATATAAATCTTCGATATGTGTTAAATGATGATGTTGATTCATTACTAGATGGATTAAATACAAATAATTGTATGAAACTATTACATTTTGCAGCAAAAGTTGGTTCATTAGAATGTTTTAAAGAAATACTCAAGTATTGCGACCTAAAAGATATTGAAATTGCCAACCTTTCTGAAGAAATTCTTAGGGAGGCCTTTATTGGAGGAAACATTTCTATAATTTCCATTTGCATTAATTATTTGGACATAGATCCAGATAACAAATGCATTGAAAGTGCTGTTTCAACTCACCATAACGATATTGTTTCCTTTTTCTGTGAAAAGTATCCTTCACTAAGCTATTCATGGGAAAGCTGTATCAGTTCCCTCAATTTTGAGATGTTTTTCAAAAAATTGTCAGCAAGAAATTCTAATGAAGCAATATTTTTAATAGCCAAAGTTAATATTCCAATTCTTACTGATTATTTTTTAATACAAGACATCAATTTGGATATCAAAAACTCCAAAAATGAAACTTTACTGATGCATTGCGCAATTCATGGAAATTTTGAATTGGCTAAGCAATTAATTAATAGAGGAGTAAACGTAAATGCGAAATGTGATGATCAAATAAATGCACTAATGTTTTCGGCAATGAATAATACATATAAAGTAGCACGTGTGCTTTTATCTTGTAGTAATATAGATTTATATGATACAGCGTCTGATGGAGCCAATGCATTAACTTTATGCGCGTATTTCAATTCTCCAGATGTAGCAAAAGTTTTGATTAGTTCAGGATTTGATGTAAACAGACCAGCAATCCATGGATATACACCAATTGCAATCGCTGCAATGAAAAATTCATACAAAACTGCTAAAGTACTGATTAAAGCAAACTGTGATATAGAAAGAGTCTTCGATAACGGATTTGATTCATTAACTCTCGCCAAAATATACAATTCAAAAGATGTTGAAGTTTTATTGAATCATTGCTATTATCATCGCTATGGTGGCTGCGGTAGTAATATAAATAGAGGATGTCTCATAGTTTAAATTGAAAAAAAAGTCTGAAAATTATAAAAATTAACTATCATTTCTATTTCAAAATAAAGAAATATATAAACTTCGAATCTACTAAACACTCAATCTATCCTTCAAATGTCGATATGAACTTTTGTTTATGTCATGATTGTTATCATATTCAGTATACAATAATGATTTTTTTTTCAATTTTCAAAAATAAAAAGTGACAGATAATCAGTTTAGAATTTTTTTAATTAATAAAAAAATGAGTTCTCCTGCTCTTGATAGACAGATACAGGAGTTTCAATTCCGAATCCAACAGAAGCTTAAATTACAGGATGAAGAAATTAATCGATTATCAGATCATTTAGTAAACATTAAATCAAAAATCATCGAAACACAGAAGAATTGTTCTAAAATCAATGATCAAATAGAGCAAGTTAAAGAATATCAGGCATCTCTTGTCGAAAAACGAAAAATTGACTACGAATCAAAATTATCACAAATTCATGTTAGTCATCTGCAAGATGTTCAACAATTACAAGAATTCCAAGCTGCTCAAGTTGCTGAATTGCAAAAGGAATTTCAAGAATGCTTGGATAAAGTCGGCATTCAAAGCAAAGAAAAATCTTCAGAAGAGAATGCAGCTATTGAAAATGAATTAGATAACGTTAGAACTCTTCTTCAAAGTCTACAGGAAGCTCTCGAGGAAGCAAAAACTCAAAGAGAAGATGCTTCGAGTGGAACATTTGATCAAGTAGCTGATGTTGATCGTGGTGTCATTGATGAGCTTAGAGAAACACTAGTAATACGAACTGAAGATAGAATGCGCAACTTACGTAGTTCAAAGGCGAAATTACAGCAATGTATTAATTTAATAGAAGATCTTGATCGCAAACATGAACTCTCAGTTCAACAAAGGCGTCAAAAACTATCAGATTGTCAAAAGGAATACGAAGAAACAAAGCGCCAGCTCAGCGAAGAACGAAATGCGCAAAGAGCAGATGAACAACAAAGACTTCGAGAAGTAACACTTAAAAACAAGAGATTACAAAGACTTAAAAAGAGACGTGAAGCAGATCATACGTCAAACCTCAGACAGACAGCTCTAGAAGCAGATTTAGTTCGTGGAGCTGGGGGAATTAAATTAAATACTTATCTCCCAGAAAATAACTTAAGCGAAAGAGAAAAACTTAACCAGGAACTGGCGAATAGAAAGAGAGACTTGAAACAGAAAGAAAAACTACTTTTCGAAGCTAGAGAAGAGAATGATAGCTTGAAGAGCGAAATCGGAAAATTGAAACACATCATTCGCTTTGGATAAGATAAGATATGGTGGTTTGCTGTTTTTTTATATCACCAAATCGGAATTTATTGTTATTTTTTTATATTTTGTTAATAATAATTGTAAACATATAAGATGTTTTGTACTTAAATTCGACCAATATTTGGATAATTGCCATTCAACTCTATTAATATGCAGCAGTATAATTGCGACTATTTTCCAATGAGTATCAGAGATGAAACTATATATTATCTAACTATTATGTGCGTGATTCTTGTTAAAATAAGTAACATATAGAGTACCCGAAATAAGTTGTAGACGCCGAAATAAGTTGTAGACGGAGGATTTGTTAAAGCCAAATGATTGTAAACAGCATAAAGTATCATAATACATGCCAAATTCATGTTTTAGCAAAAAACCTTCAATATCATATCAAGATTTGCAAAAAAAATCTTTAAATACTAATAAAACTAGTTTATCACATTAATTTAACTAAGGATCAATCTTTATTAATTTACAAATCCATTTTAAGATGGAATAAAATTTAATAATTTTAATTTTTGTGCTTATGTAGGTATAATTTAATATTCCTTTTTGTAATTAATTCGCTAAATATGCTTTGATACCTAGTTTAAGTACTTCTTGCAGTTATTAACCAAGAAAAAATTTGCATTTGTATGAATGACTAGAGATGCATGAGTTTACAGCTCTGGCTCATTCATAAACCTTGGATGCATATGCATCAGGAATGGAAAACTGGATGGAACAGGAGTGACAATCTTCGTAAATGAACGAAGGAAACCAACAATTCTTTGCAATCAGCTGAACCGTCATTGCTAACAAAGTAATTGAGTCAGTGATAATGATACTGGTGGTGCTCAACCGCAGACCTCGACACAGATGAAAAATGAATAATTTTAAACGGCAATAAAAATATTAAACGGCTATATTTAGAATTTCTTTAATTCCTTATTAAAACATATTGTTAATTACTAATAAAGCAATTTTTCTTATTTTCATCAACTTTCAATTTTTGATTAAATATTTACTTCTCAAATAGGATTTTGATATATTAATTATGCTAAAATAGGTCTATAGACTTTGCCATTTATAATACTACAATATATTATATTAAAATCTATATTTAAAGTTAAGATTGCATTGAGATCACACAAAATTGGATAGTATCTCAGAATATCAAATCAATATGTTCTTGCCAATATAGGCAACATATTCTCTCATTAAAGTCCTTATCCAAACCCTCTGTATAAAGATGTCTACAGCTTTTTTCGTTGTCTACAACTTATTTCGGGTACTCTAAATAAAATGTTTACTTTTGAAATTTCTTATATCTCAAATTGTGATTCATATTTTGATCAATGAGTTTCTAATATATAACTTCCTTATTTAGATGATATTGTTGTGTTTTCGGGTGTTAGTTTATTCACATAAAATTAAAAATGAAAGTCTGAACTTTGTTGATATGATCATTGTTGTATTAACAAATTCTTGATAAGAATTGAAAATTGGTATTTTTATTGCGTTATTTTCAGTCGCGAAGCATGTTAAAAGCAATTGCTATTATACTAGTTGTAATATCATACTAAAAACAAGTTGCAAATTCATGTATATACATGTACATTATAGGTTCATACTCAAAGTCTTTCTTGATTATGGGCATAATCAGACCTATCAAATTGCTAACTATTCACAAAATCACTTTCGATTGTCTCTATTGATGTATTTTCCGTATTTTTACGACAAAAAGGAAAAAAATAATAAATAAAAAATAAAAATTAGGACTCGGCTTTCAATAATAAGAACTTCATGGCCATATCCCTGTATATGTTATGTTGAATGAACTTTCTATTCAAATTTATTTGCATTGAATAACAAGGAAACTGCTTATTTTGTCTTGTTTGAATTAAGGATTTCTACTATTTCTTTGTTATTATTGATGGATGCTATATTAAGAGGGGTCAATCCATATTTGTCTTTAGCATTGATATCTGCACCATTTGAAATAAGAATTTCTGTAGTTTCTTTGTTATTATTCATGGCTGCCTGATGAAGAGGGGTCAATCCATATTTGTTTTCAGCATTGATATCTGCACCATTTGAAATAAAGTATTCTAAAAGTAATGAAATATGGAAATTCGGAGAATAAACAAAACATGTGTTAATGTCATTTGTTTGATCCAAGTATACTAAAAATGATTGAAGATTACTGTATTTAGAGCACAATTCTATATCAATTTTTATGTTGTGTTCATTCGTCAAAAATGTGACAAAATCAATATTGTGTGATATTATAGCATATTCCATGCATTCATTATCTGGCTTTTGTACTTTCAAGCATTCATTCATAATGTCTGGATTTCCACCCAAAAACGAATAACGAAGACAATCTGGAGTGATTTCTGATTGAAATTTCGTTCTTAAAAACTTAAAACAATCAACAGATCCATGATAACAACATAATTCAAGTAACGAAAGACCTTTATATGCATATGGATATAAATCACTTTTTAATTTTTGATTTTTATCAAATCCTTCTCCTTCTGTAAAATTTATCAATGATATTTTGTCATCATCCATAATAGATCTGTGAATTGTCTTTTGTTCGTGAATATCAGATGAATAACGAGAATCTTCAAAATCGTTAAAAAATTTTCTCCCATTTTCATTCAATACTATATTGTATTCTTTGTAGAAAAGGTAATTAAAAACTTTTGTGATTTGGTTGACCTGAATTAGATGGTATTCGTCAACAATTTGTTTGGCTATTGCTAAATATGACTTCATGAAGCGGTTGTTATAAACTGAAAGTTCGGATATATCATTGATAATCACATCAGGCGGAATTTTATAAGAGTCAATCAGGTTTTGTTTGATTTTTTTGAAAATTGCGTTTAATTTTTCTTCGTCATTTGTTTTCAGCCTGTACAAAGCATTGTAGACATCATTATATCCTGTAAAAATCTCCATCAATTTGTCATAATGAGTTTGGTTAGTTTCTCCCTTGGACATCAACCAAAAATTTTAGATGTCGTAATTTTACATAGCGTTTCCAAATTTTTCGGGTTCAAAAATTGCTGACGGGTTCAGATGCCGATCTAATGATAAATTTTCAAATGCACACGAAAACAATAAAATCCCTTTGAGCCATTTTGGTTATCGGCTACTTTATTTTTGACACAATGGCAAAAAATTTTTAATGTAAAAAACCTCCAATTCTCACAAATGAGTACGATAGAATTTACAAATCCCCTCAAAACCCAATTTGAACCCGTCAGATAATTTGAACCCTCCCATTTTGGAAACGTTAAATTTCGAATTTCTGAGAGCAACTTGGCAATGAACGAGTGTATATTGTTCCTTGTTCGCTGGTAATTTTATTGATGATGTGGTGATTTTGAGTCTGTTTTTAGGGAATTTACTCATCACATCTTAATTAGGATTTTTTTGATCATTATTTTCAAAGCTATTAAGGATATTATCTGTTTTTTCTTTGTTCTAGGATCAGGGAATTGAAGGAAATATCAAGAATAGTATAAACTTAATTTATTAGCATGATATTATTTCTTCAAATTTATTATAACCTAATGAGAGTTATTAATGTTGCTCTGTAGCATTTGTTACCGAAGCATGTCAATCAAATATATTAGTAGAAATTGAACTTTTCAATAAATTAAAAAAAATATTTCGAGAATAAAAATATATATAATTTACAAGTTAAATTGATCAAGATTAGTTGATAATGAAGAAATTCCGAGCTCTTTGCACATTGCTTCTTGTTCTTGGAGTTCTCTTCTTCTCTTAATATCCTTCTTCTTCTGAGCAATCCATTTATTCCTCTGTTGAAGCAACTCTTGTTCAGCTTCTCCTAATTCCTTTCTAAACTCTTTAACATCATCTCTAGCCATTTCTAATCGTTGTGTGAGCTTCTCTAAACTGTAAGCTTCACTCTTTGTACTCTGTTTATATTCATCAACTGTTTGCTGAACTTCGACACCTGGTTTTCTTCTAACTTGAGCACATAGCTCTGTATATCTTGACTCTTCTTCTTTGATTTTATCTTGCAAATCCGCAACTTGTTTTGTCTTTTCGACTAAAGTTGCTTGCAATTCTTGATATCTCTTGAGAGCTTCAAATCTCTGGGGATCTGATGATTCCAATAATGTCCATCTATGAATATTAATAGGGATCTTAAGTTCTTCTTCCATTGCAGCTCTTTCAGCCTTCAATTGCAACAATTCTTTCTGCAAGAAATGGATTTCATCTCTCTTTTCTTTCAATTGAATATCGAATTGAGAAAGATTTGTTAATTGATCTTGGCTGTCTTGAATTTGGCGTCTTATTCTTGATACATCTTGTTCTTTGAGGTTGAAATCTTTCTCTCCTCTTCTTAATTGGTTCCTCAAGATGTCTAATTTCTGGCCAACTTCCTTGATTTCTAATTCTCTTTTTACATTTTCATTTGACATGTAATCTCTTTCCTTCTTTACATCTGCCAATTTCTTCTGTTCAATGCCGAGTTGAATTTCAGCATCTTTGATGGCTTTCTCGAGTTTGGAGATTTCACCTTCATGAGATGAAATTGATCTCTGTGATGTTGTTGTCTTGATTTGGATTGCTGTTAGTTGTGCTCTTAATTTTTGATCCTTTTCAATAACATCGTTCAAAGATTTCTTATCTTTGATCTTTTCAGCTTCTTTACGTCTTATATCATCTTTATGCTGGTCAATAGCGTTCTTCATTCTTGTGAATTCATGATCCAATTGTTCTATTTCTGCTCTTACATCCTTAACTTTCTTTGAAGCACTTTCTCTTTCACTTCTTACTTGTTCATACAATGTTTGTTGTTGTCTGACTTTTTTGTCGGCTTCAACAATCTCTTTATTCTTCATTTGCACTTTGTTGTCAATGTCTTTTAAGATGTCTTGTGCATGAAGATATTGTGATGTTGCTTGTGATAATTCTTCTGAATATCTTTCTCTGTCTTTTTCAATGGAAAAGATTTTCTTTTGTGTTTCTTGGAGATGCGATTTAATGATGGCGATTTCGCATTCGATATTTGATGATTGGTTCTTGTACATCTGAAGAACAGTTTCTGCTTTACTGAGCTTCTGTTTCTCTGTTTGATCTTTCTTTATCTTTGAGTTTTCTTCGCGATTTGCTGTATCAATTTGTTTTCGCGTGAATTCGCATTTTCTTCTCAATTCATCTAGTTGTGCTTGTGAATTGTTGATATCGATCTTCACTGCATCTGCTTCTTTTCTTAATGCTCCAAATTGATCTTGCAATGCTTGTTTTCTGATTTCAACGTTTTCTCTTTCTTGTTCTTTCTTTTGACAGACTTGTTGAAGTTGGTCTGTTTCCTTTTGCTTCTGGTTGAGTATTTCACGGCTATCTGATATTTCTTTCTCAAGAGAGGTGATGATTCCTTGTAATGATTCTAAATCTTTTTGTAATTTTGTGCATTTGTCAGCCATATCTTGTTTTTCAACCTTAGCACTTTCGAAACGACGCTTGAGATCTTGGACTTTCTTTGTAAGATTCCTGGATTCTTCTTGTTTGGCTTGAACTTCTGCACTTCGATCTTTTGTTTTTTGTCTGGCTTCTTGAAGACGAACTCTTGTAGCATCACGATCTCTTTCAAGCATCATAAGTGTCTGTCTCTCTTTCTGCTCTTCAAGACGTTTAGCAGCGACCATATCTTCAATACGTTTTAAGTCGTTAAGCGTTTCTTCGATTTCACGATCCTTTTGTTCTAATTTCTCGCTTGTTTGCTTGTTGTTTTCTTGATACTGAGGTATTTGCTGTGTTAATTCATCATGTTCTTTCTTTAATTCTGATCTTCTGTTTTTGAGTTGTTTTAAGTAGTCTTTCTTACTTCTTTCTGCAGCAACACACTCTTCAAGCTTGTTTTCAAGCTCTGTAATCCTACTAGAAACGATTTGATTTTGCTCCATCGCTGCACGTAATGATTCTTTCGATTGATTTAACGCATTCTGCTTCTTATCACGATCATCATTAAGATTCGCGATAGATTTAGAGTCTTCTTCTGCTAACTTCGAGACAGTTTTAACTTTCGAATTATTACCAGTGATTTCTGATTCTAAAACTCTGCATTTTTCGATGTATCTTGCTTGGTTTGTCATAGATTTCTGTAAGATTCCGAAAAGTTTTGCATATTCGTGACGATAAGTTTCAAGTGGTGAATCTTGAGGAATTTCGTGATTCAATTCATGAAAATCGTGTTGAAGGTCTGTAAATGTAGTTTGACTGAACTCAGCAAGATGCTGCTGAGCATCAGTGATTGAAGAAGATTTATCACTCATATTTCAATAAACGAATTTTTTTCTTTCAATTTGATTTTCTAAAAATTTATACCCATAATCCATGAAAACATACTATTTATTGCATAAGGAATCATTTTTACATTCAAAATTTTTGATTTTCTTCAGTCCATACTCATTTTATTTGAAATCTTGAACAAATCTCGTATTGTTTACTTATATTTTAATTATCTGCCCAATGGGTAGTAATTTGGAAATAGAATTAATCCGAAAATATGACATTAAATATCATTATAAAAAAAATCAATAATTCATTCCTACAAATAATAACAAACAATGGATGAAATATGTTTCTTTACAATTAAAACATACACGTAATAGATTTCTTTTACTCCAGATTAAAATGTAAAATAAATATGCTCTAATTATACCGCAATGATAAAATGAAGCAATTGTAATATATTTCTAGCCCATATATTATTGTAATTGTTTTGTATAAAAAAATATCGGATATGAAAATTGGAAGGATTGATAATTTTCCAATAAAAGTTATTTGGAGTTATCAAACATTTGATCTTAATTAGGAACTGCACTTGAAGATGCGCGTGTTGCTTTTTCTGGTTGCTGAGTTTTGTGAACGCGCTTCCTAACGATTTTCTTAAATGCAGCAACTCTTTCCTTTTGAGCTCTCTCTTCAGCGTGCTTTTTTATGGCTCTTTCTCTTTCTATTTCTTGTTCAAGGGCTTTAGCTTTAGCTTTTTCTGTTGCATCACTAGCAACAAAGTTAATGCGTTCAATTTGTGGAAATCCTTCGTCAAAATCGCCTCTTCCACGAGTTGAGTCTGTATAAACAACAGATTTCTTTGTCATTATGAAATTCAGGGGGTGTTTCTTTACAGCCCCCAAACAAACCAAACATAGTAAAAATATAAATGATTTATTTATAAAACAAACATGATAATGTGTGGTTAATCAAAATAGCGCCTAGCCAAGCAGAAATCTCTTGATGATTGGATCTGATGATTTCATTTTACAAGTGGATATATTGTGCCATTATGTGGTGTAAGAACTGATTGGAGATCTAATCCCAATTCGCTTCTACCATGGCTAATGTATTTAGTTTTAGAAGATTCGGTGAAGGAAAGAGGAATAGAAAATACGGCAGTATCCTGATTTTCATCACGCTTTAGACTGACATTTGATAAATCAGTTGGGCCCAACGTTGGGTCGTAGTTGAAAAAATGAAAATTCTTTGGTTCGCGTTCGATATATTCCATAGTAATACCTGCAGTTGCTTCCCTATCGGCGCATAAATGGTGCTCCCTACGCCAAGCCATTAATTCAGCAACCTCTGCATCAGAACGATTCATCTTTATTTCTTAACGTACGCTTTAGTTAGAAAGATGATGTCTTCAAATCTAATAATATTATGAAAAATCGAATGTAATATCCATAGGACTAATAGGGGATGCGATTTTGATGGAAAATTTCAATAATTTTGATAAATTTTAGATAAATTTCTGGAATTTTGGAAAATAAGCAATGTAAAAAAGTAATACTAAGATATACATTTTTAAATTTCATTCTATCACATGATTTCTTATTGATTGTTTTAATTTTCAATGTAAATTGTTTACAAAATCTCAGAAAAGTCTCAATTTTTTTTCACTTTTTATGTTTGTTCTCTTCTTCTTATTTACCAAGAATATTAGAAGTGAAGAACAGAGCAACGAGACAGAAGTAAACTATGATAATGATAAGTCTCTCTTCCAGCCTCCAGTTCTTTCAGATTTCATTACAGCTCGCCAATCCAGAAATTTAACAGTTAAAGGCCAAAAAGAGTTAGAGCCAATCGTTGGAAGATACTTCAGAAAACCGCTTGTTAACCTTCTCCAAGGTGTACAGCCATCAGTCCTCAATTTCCGCAGATTATACTTCACAAATTTCGATGGTATGATATTAAAGGGCGAGTCAAACTGCCTCGCTAAGTTCCCAGATATCATGATTGTCGATTGTACATTCAAGGCTGCTAATCAGCACCCAATCCATATCAATGGACCTGCTTACAAGGATGAAGCGTTTGACCCAGATGCAAGTGTTGGTAATGTAAAAGATTAGAGTGGTTTGTTTTACTAAATTGTGGTTATTATAAAAAATTTCGTTTCCATAGTTTGAAAATTGAATTTTTTGGAATACATATTTCTAGTCACCATTGTGCATCAAGCAATTTAGTCAAGCCTTTTCCCATACTTAATAAAAATTTTGAGATATTACTCTCGATTTTTTCATCGATTTGATTTTGCTTCTCAGTATTATGTTTATGTCTATTCTTAGATGGAGTAAATCTTTCTCCACAGGAAATAAAAGCTATCGAAAAAGATAAATTTTTATCAAATTTACTTTTAAAGATTTATCATAACAAAGTTAATCGAATACTTTATTATCAAATAAACAAATCAATTGCATATATTATGTGCTATAAATTCACTAACAATGGTAAGCAAGAACATTATTGAGTTCAATGCAGCAATAGCGATATTAACTATACTGGCCGGTCTTATATTTATTAGTTTTTCCTAAAGTTCTGGACGATTTTGCATAACTTTTGCCATTTTTGCATTAAATTCAGCATTTCGCTGTTTATACTTATTGATATCAACTTTATAAATGTTAATAATGCGTATTACAACGGCTGCAAGGAATAGTGATAAAATTGTGAAGAATAAAAGCCAATAAGGATGATCATAGCACCAATCTTTCATTTTCACTATTAATGGCTTATTTGCGATTTCTTCGTTTTTCCTTGTGATTTCCATAAGTTTTTTAACAGCATTATTGTATTCTTCATCTTCTTGTTTTTTAATTTGTTTGTTAATCCTGTCTAGCATTTCTTGTGGGGTTTCATCTGGTTTTTGAGTTGCCATTTCGAATATTTCATGTGCTTTTTTAAATAACGAAATAAAACTTGAGCCTTTAGTAGTTATTTGAGCAAAAGCTTCATCCATATCATCCTCTTCTTCATCACTTTCTTGTTTTGTGTTATTTTGTTTAGTCATTAGTTGCAAAAAATCGTTTTGCAAATTACGATAAGCTAAAGCTAATCCCCAATCTTCTTTTAATTCGTATATGTCACATATATTTCCTAAAGATAATGCAGCCCATCGTAATTCAAAGTTCGAATCGGGATTAATTGCAACAATTTTTTCAGAATCCGTTATTACTTGCTTGTATTTTTCAATAGCATAATCTAAATCGCCTTTCTTCTGTAAAACTTCTCCCATTCTAAATAAACCTTGAATTCCATCTGTTGTTGCAATTTTATCTCCAGCTTCTAACATTCTTGTTACTTTTTTGATTAAATTTTACAAAGATTTTAGCTCTAAAACCATCTCAAACACTTTTAACTGTGATTTTTACAAGCATGCAAATGATCGCATAACCTAAGAAAGTAATAGAACCCTTTCAGCATCTTAAAATCATTTAGTACCTTCTGTATTAATATCATTTGGTTTGAAGCTATATATATCAAGTACATAATCAGAATGTTTTATATAGACTTGTTAGTAGTAATATATATTATCCATTAAAAGCACATAGGCAACATTATTCTTTGATATTTTTATGTTGCTGACTATTTTAAGCTAGTCTTAATACAATAAACCACATTGATAATAGTATAGCATTTGAATCATCATATTCATGTTATAAGTTAAACAATTATATCGTTTATTTATATCTTGCTTTGACTGTCTCTATAACTGATTATTAAAACTGACATTAGTATTTCTGTTATAATTTATAACTCTTAGATCTTAAAAATGAGTTAAAGAACGATAAATTTAAATCACAAATCATTTCCATTATAATTCTTACCACATTTATATTTTTACAGTTAGAAAATGATTGTATGAATGTTGCTACAATATACCAATATCGAAATTATATATCAAAATTTGCCATAAATCATGCGTATTCCTGGCCGTTCGACTATTATTCACTATTTATATGCCATATGTATCATAATTCTACTTTGATGGTTAATCATTCCTATGAATATTGTACATCGCTCTCTTCAGCATGATACCATTATTCAAGGAATGTGTATATTAAACAACGCAAACAATGGTCGTCCAGCACTGGCTGTTGCCCAAGGGTCAACTTTGCATATAATGGATCCTGTAAATCTTGAAATTTTAGATTCGTATCCGTTTAAAACACCAATAGCATTAATCACGGCATTTTCCGGTAGAAATCCAGAAATATTCATATTACTTCGAAATTTAAACTGGTTTATCTTTCAATTACCTGAATTAACAAAATACGAGTCAATAACTAAACAAGGATTAATTTTAGCAACGAGAAGAATTCTTCCTATCTCATCACCATTCGAACTAGGATCAACTGGAAGCAATCCGAGAATAACTGAATCAATTCGATTAAAAGAAAAGCAGTTTGCTTATGCTACACATCCTGATTACATCGCACTCAGCATCTTTTCAGGCTTAATTCACATCATACCACGTAATAAACCAATGTTTGCAGTTCCAGTTACATATACGAACATTGTTGACCTTGCATTCATGGGTCCAACAGTTGTTTCAGCACGTCTTGCAATACTTACAGATTCTAAAACAAATAATCGTGAATTACATGTTTGTAAAATAGTTGGTACTGAATTACTTGAAGAATTTGATTTACCGCTTCCACCTGATGCTTATTCGATTATTCCATTGCATCCAGAAGTCGAAGCTTCTCTTATGATTTCAACCAGTGATGGAATTCATCGAATTACAGCACCAATTGGTCTTCCATTAAAATGTGAACATCTTTCGACATTCGTTTCTACAATATCAATATCGGCAACACATCTCATTGACGATTTATATCTCATTCTTGATGCAGAAGGCTGCATTTGCGCTGCATCTTTTCCAGTTGAAGGAAGACCTCGAATGGAGAGGCTTTTACAGACAAAAGCAGTTGCAGGATCAATCATATATATGAATAATTCTATAATTGTTTCCTCTCCTTTCACTGATTTAATTTCATATAGTTTTGATCGCGACGAATCATCATGTCGCATGGAAATACAAGCGACATTCCCTATTTCAGGACCAGTACGAAGTATATCAATCAATGATGACAGTATTTATATCTCAAATGATTCAATCAGATTATTTGAGAAGACAATTCAATGCAGAACAGCTTTTAAGATGGACATAGGTAATTGTCTCTCATTATTCTCTTCAAATCAATATATTTGCCTATCATATCTTAATTCATCAGTTATTTTATCTGTTGATGACAAAGGATTTGAAATGGCCAACCCAGAACACTTTATTTCCAATAAAAACACGGTCTTCTTCGGCGAATCAAAGTCTGGTCCAATACAAGTCACAAATAAAGAAGTTTCAATTCTCTCTCAAAATTCAATGTCATTCAATTTTGAGATAACAGCGGCTTGTTGTCAAAATGATGTTTGTATATTATGTTATGGCAAAGAGTTTGTTGCAATTGAAATCCCTTCTTTCAAGCAATTGCATTACAAAGAAGTTGACTCCCAGATATTGTTAGTTTACACTGATAGCGCTGAAACATGTATATTGACAATGTCCAAAAATTTGACAATTTACGATGATTTCTTTAATGTCACTTTTTCAACAAATCTTGACACTATTTATGGATTTACTTCCATAGAAATGATGAAGAACAAGAACAACGAGAATTCTGTTTATTTAGGAACAACAGAAGGAAAACTTGTTGTTGTAAATAACAGAGGAGTTTCTTTCGAATCCATTGGTGAAAATTCAGTTGTTTTGAAACCAAATCTTTCACAAGGTGGTTTTGTTTGCAGTGGAAAACCACCTACACTGATCAGTTCAAAAGAAAGAGTTTTCCTTGGAACAGATCCATGCACAGACATTGTTTGTGTCGGAGATAATTTTGTTTCATTGAATAGAAATGAACTGAAACTGTTAAATTCAGAAAGTCCAAGTGGTTCATCGAAACCAATCTTGACAATTGATAATATCGTGAATTCTGCTATTATGCATGAAGATAAAACGATGATTCCTATTTATGTTGTTAGAATTGGCGATACAACAATCAAAACATATAAAAACATGAAAGAAAATGAAGAATTCGTTGCTCTTCATTCTATTTCATTGATGGAAGTGATAAAAGTTGGTGAAAAAGAGTATTTGCTTGTGGGAACAGATGACAACGATGTTTTCTTATTAGATTCATCTTTGTCATTAGTTTGCAAGCGAACAATGGAAAGTTTGCCAACAGCTGCTTGTTTTGTAATGGATTTCATCATTATTGCAAATAGAACTTATATTGAACAGTTCACTTTAAAGGAAAATGGAAGTGATAGTGAGTTAGAAAGGATAGCAACTGCAAGATCATTTGCATTGACAACAGCTTTGAATGTTTGCTATAACAGATTTGTTGTTGTCGCTGATTCCAATCAAAGTATTTCTATCTTGGATTGTACAAGGAGATTGGCTGAAACACATAGAATTTCATATTGCCATGGAGTATCTACAATAGGTGTAAGTAATAATGGACAGTTTATTTTCGCTGCTGATTACAACTCTGTGATACATATCTATGGTTTATATGAATTTGGTGTTTTGGAGCCAATTGGAGTTTTCCAGACTGATTCAAGAGTGATATCATTCGCAAAGTTTGGTAAAAATGCTTTGTACGGAACGGAAGGTGGAGGAATCGGATTGTTCACTATGAGAGATGACTTCATGGAAGTAAAGAGAGTATCTCAGAGAATTGATGATGCAGGATTAACATTTATCGATAACAGAATTCCTGATGTGAATTTCTTGTGGCCACAGCAGGATTGCATTATTGATGCTGATAATATTTTGATCGCTTTGAATATGCCTGACATACTTGAAGCCGCTGGAACTACAAAAGAGAGGATTAAAGGTCTTCTCAAACAAATTTCATAAAATATAATATGTTTATTTTTTATTATGAAACAAAGCGTATCTTATTTTTTATATGAGACAATATTCTCTTTGATGACATGGAGTTTTTTGTTATTTCTGTATTAATTTCGATATTTCATTTCTCAATCTTTGCCAATAGATTTTAAAAACCATGTGTTTATGGTCAATTCATAATTAAAAATAAAAATCACTCACAACGGTTGAGAAACCTTTGAGAAAATATTGAACGTTTTGAAATTATGAGTTTTTGGATAATTTTTGACAAAAAAATAATTGCCCTCTATTGTCTTCACTAAATCTAGCATTCTTTTGAAATAATGAAGATGATCTTCATCGAACTTTACAAATAAAAATTTAGATGTTTTATCTGCTAGCATTAGCTCCGATTTTTGCTCGTAGCGAAGAATGCCCAAACTTTTCATCAAATTGCGAAACATGCCTCGGATTAGGAAAAGATAAAAGCTGCGGCTGGTGTTCAGATTCAAACTCTTGTCTTGTCGGAACATCTGATGGACCAACAAATGCGACATGTACTATATGGACTTTTAAATTCGATATGAAATGCCATATTGAATCACAAGAACCTTTACCAATGGGCGCAAGAATTGGATTGGCTGTATTTGCAGCTCTTGTTGCTCTTATTACTGCAGTCTTCTGGATTTGCATATTCCCACATTGTTCCAACCAAAAGAAGGTAGATAAGACTCAAACTCAAGAGGAAGATGACGAATAATCTACTCATATCTGTTTTCTTACTGTATTTATTTATTATATTTTTATCTGTTCAAAAATTCTAAAGAATATTAAAGATCTTTATTCTATTGTCAACATTTAAATCAATATATTAAATTTTTTTCGAATTAAAGTAAAATTGCATCAAAATGTTTGCCGGTAGTATATAGGAAGTGTATGATTATATATTTAGTAAAGAAAAACAGTAATTTTTTACAAAAATTATTTCGATTTGGAAAAATAAAATACAATTTTAAAAAATGGATTAGTTGCCTTCTGAGTTTTGTAAATCTTGAAGTTCTGTCTTAAGAAGATAAATTTCCATTTTCAAACTTTCAAGCTGAGCTTTTTGATTTCTTGTATATGCTGATTTGAGACTGTCTAATTGTGTACGTATCTTCTCTAGTATCTTTTCGTCTTCGTCTTTTGAAACGTATATCGAATTTTGAGATAAAATGCTACTTTTGAGATCTGCGTTAAGAGTCTTTGTTTTTGTTATATTTTCGTCTATTTCTTTATGTAATTGTTTGACTTTTGAAGGTAAATTTGACAAACTTTCATCTTGAGCAAGAACTCCTGAAGATTTGAGTTCATTAGTATCTAAAAACGCACCAATTCTTGGTAATTTTTCTTTTCTGGATATACTTTCTAAAATTGTTAATTGCTTTTCGAGAATGGATGTATCTCCTATAGCACCAAGTTCAGAAATAAGTTTCATGTTCTTATTCTGAAGTTCATATTTCTTTACTTCAAGATCATGAAGTGGATCTTGGGCATCTTGGAATTCAAGCTGATCTAAGCTTTTTTGCTGACTTACTGGGCTTGAAAATGATTTGTTTCCGGATTTGGTTGGAGTGTATTGCAAATTGTTCGAGTAACGTTCTTTTTTGCTTGTTGTGCTCATTATTTTTTATTTTTATATTCAATTTACAAAAGTCACTTTTTTGTTGTAATAAACTTCCACTTCCAAAATAGAGACAATCTATATGTATACATTCTAAGAGTTATCGTATCAATGTTTATAGCTTTATAAGGCGACGCGCAATGCTACCTTCAAAGAATCTGAGCAAAAAATCGAAAAATGAAAAATCAGAAAAGAAACCAGATCGTATTAATACCTTCATTTATAGCGGTACATATATTTATGATATAAGAAACAAATCTATTCCAAAAAAGAAATGGTGGATTTTTATGTCACTTCATTTTCATGGTTCTGAAATTGTGTAATGAACTGACACGTGTCGGCATTCTTACAGAATGTGGACCACTAAATATAATGATAAATGGCCGAACAATCAAAACAAAGAAGTCTTCAGCTGTCTGTTTTTCAGATTTAATTAAAGAAAAATGCATTATTAATAAAATAATGATTTCATATGAAACAAATCTAATTTTAAGATGTGAAGATTCAATTGACATAGTTTCAAAGTTTTTAGAAACAGGAAAACTCGAATTTCAAGAAGATGAAGATCATTTTCATGATATATTTGAAATCGGAAAGCATTTCAAAAATCAAATATTGATACAAGTTTATAGCGATTATGTTAAATTAGATAAATCTATTACATTAGAAAACGTTTTTAAGAAATATGAAATTTCAGTTTTAGAAAATGATAAAGCAACAGAAAACGAATGCATAGAATTCATCTCATCCCATTTATATTGTTTAGATTGCAATGATATCATTGAATATTTTGCTAAAAACGATTATGAATTTTGTGAAAGAATATTGAAATCGAAACAATTAAAGATCGAAAACGAAGATAAGTTATCTTTATTACTTTTAGAAATCTGCAAGAGAAACAATTCATTATTTGATTTGTTTAGATATATCAAATTATCATTTTGTTCACGTGATATATATGACGAAATATATAACTTTTCTATTGAACATTCATTTGAATCAGTTCTTCTTGCGATATATAACGAAACATTAAAGAATTATCATTCAAATATAAGAGAAAAGATTGAAATCTCAAATCAACCTATTTCATCATTCGAAAAACATTTAATTAAAAATATATTTGCAATATCAAATCAATATAATGCATCGTTTGAAAAGCCTTTAATTAAAAATAAAATTTCGATGTCAACTAATTCAATTTGGAATTATTAATTTGCAAAAGCTTCTGAAATAATTAAAATGGAGTTCACAGCTTCATCTGTTGGATGTGGAACTGGTTTATCAAATATAAATTCTTATAGAAATAATTTTAATTTCTATACTTCAGATTCTCCTAATTCATGGATAAGAGCTGATCTAAAAGGATATAAATTAAGACCAATATCTTACATTCTTCAATCAACACGTGTAGAAACTGATTCTCATTTTTTGAGAAGATGGAAGTTAGAAGGAATCAAAGAAAATGGAACAACTGTGATATTAGATAATGATAAATATTATGCGTTTAATCGAAGAGAAATCAAAGAATTTCCACTTCAAACAAACGACTATTTTGTATCTTTCAAATTAACTCAAACAGGAAAGAATTCAAGCGATGCTAACTTTTTACAAATTAAAGTTTTTGATTTCAAAGGTGAATTAACAAAAATGTAATAAATATATTTTTACTCCACTGATGCTTGTAAAATAAAACAAACTACTTGTAAAATGAATGAATATTAACGGCCCGCTTACTTTTATTCAAATTTCTAACAAATGACGTTAATTGTCAATGAATATTAACTTTAAACAATAGTATGTTTAAGGATATGTCCGTGGGCATAGTTGCATTAAATTTTCTCATCAAAATAAATGTTATGACTATTGCAATACTATAAAATCGCTCGCCAGATAGATAAGAATAAACAAATCTATCTGGTGCATTTTTCATCTCCATGATTCAGTAGAATCAACAATATCAATCTAGTCAATTATAACCTATAGTTTAAAAAAAATGAATTTCAAAACTAATATTAAAACACTTTATTATAAATAACAAACAAAATTAAAAATGTTGGTATCCAGAAACTTCTGGATGATGATATTTCGAGTCTGTTTCGGAGCTAGGCTTTTGAATTATTAAAAGCAAAATAGCGTTAACAATATGAGTCAATGTGTATATAATTGATGGAATTAGAGCATTTGATGATCTCTTATTAAATGCAAAGAAAACCTTTGAATAAAGTGTGGCAATAATTCCTGAAATAAAGAATAAAGAAAGCGTTTGATAAACAGGAGATCTGAGAATAGCAACAAATGCAAAAGTTATAAAGCATGAGCAATAGATAATAATGAAAAACACTTCGATAAAATCAAATGTTTTGAATTCGGAAATTTTTTTAAGAATTGGAATAAAATGAATATGTTTCTTGGAGAACCTTGATACAAAATCTAAAAATCCTACAAGAGATGAGAGAATTCCGGCCAATATCACAAAATCATTCTTATTTTTGTGGGAATGGAAAGAAAAATCAATTGTTACTGAGAGAGTATAAAATCTATATATTACTAAAAACAAAACACCAAACAAATTCATGAAAAATGGACTGTCTGAAAATAATTTTGATAATGGATTTGAAATGAACGTAATTGATGCGCAAAACACTAGCGTAAATATATTAGTGGCTGAAAAGCTATGCATTTGCCAAATATAATAGAAATGGTACAAGAAAAGCATCCATCCAGTAAATGAGAGCAAATTTCCGGTAATTCTAATAACGTTTATCTGGCTTTTACCTCCAAAACTATATGTTACCTGTATTCCGCGAATATCTTTCAAAGTATAATTAAAATATGATTCAATATTAATTTGATTAAAAGTATAAATTGGCGTGTTAATAAAATTTTGACTAGATGATAATGTCTGATATGCATGAAAGTCTTTTGTAAAAGATAATCCGTTATTTGAAATGTTTTTGACTGTTTTTCCGTGATTATTTACGAAATATGCAGTTGAATAAGTTGAAAAATTGCAGGATGTGGGAATTTCTGAGTAATACCTTATAAAGCGATATGAAACCGATAAATATTCTGTTTGATCTTGTAAGTTTGTGAAATTTAGTTTTATGTATGCATCGTTATTATCATTTGACTTTGAAAATGGAACTATAATACTTTTTTGCTGATCCGAATTTTTCAGATTGTTACAAAAAACCATAACTAAGCAAATGAATGCAATCATGATAATAAACGCAGTAATGCTTGTTGAAAAATACATATATGAGCTAACGTCATCGCGTTCATCTTCCTGTTCTAGATCAATTGAGACATCATCAAGCATTTTGAATCACTTTTGATCTTGAACATATATAAAATCAACATATTGACAGTAAACATTTCTTAAATTCAATATATTAGCATAATTTAAGGTGAAATTCTACAAGCTATGGTACTTCAATAGTTCATTACCATGCAATCAATAGATGTCACTTTTAAAATGAATACATGAGATTGTACAAGAAAATTTCAATTAAATGCGAATATTGAAAATTCATCAAATTATTTGAGAATTAATTTTCATAATATTTGGGATATTTGCTCATTTAGCATCCTTTATTTTGAAATTGTGAGAAAATTTGTTCAATATTAATGAAAAAGTATCAAAAATATGAAAAAAATACGCTCAGTGATTGGTCAATGTAGAGTCTCATACATTGAAGTTGGGGTTGTGATAATATTTTATATAATTTCATTAAAGATAGCAATGAAATTATCAAATATTTTGCATAAGCTGATTTGGTTTGAGATTCAAAGGGTACTTAAGCATAAACAAACTAGGAAAAGAATCAATTGATTCAAATAAAGAGCGCAGATGAGTCCTTTCCATTGAGACTGGAATGCAAAAAAAGTGCTAATATTATGAGCTCTTCTCAAACTGTGAACTTCAAGCCACTGAGGAACAACCTTGATGAGATTGAGAAAACAAGAGCAACCATGCAATCATTTACAGATAGATTTGAAAAGAAACTAAGCACTTTAGAAAAAAAAGTACAAATCAAAACTTCTGTTCTGGATAGAGCCGAACAAGAACTCAATAGAGTTGAATTGTATATCGAAAGATTCGAGAAATTATTAACAGATTTAGAAAAAACGAAACAAAACACTAATGAAGACCGCGGCACATCTATTAGACAATTAAAAGAAATAGAAAAATATCAAATTGATCAGGATTGTGAAACAAACAGAAATGCTGAAGAAATGCGTACTTTAGAACAAATTACAAAGCTTCTTTCTGAATATTGGTCAAAATATGAAGAGCTTGATGCATTGGCTGCACATTACAGATATTTCAAACCATTTCCAGATGAATACGATGATAATTTTGATTATGAAGAATAATTTTATTCGATGTCTTCCGATATTATATATTAGTTTGTTGTTATGTTAAATACTTGTATAGAATTACTATTAGTTGAAACCATTAATCTTATTTTAATATTTTTATCAAATTATTTATTTAGAAATACAAACAAAATAGCTCAAAAATGAGTAGTCTAACGCATTAAAGAACATGAATCAAGAAATGGAAATGTTAAATTAATATCCAGATAAATCTAAAGAACTTTCCTCTGAATAAGACGTGTGCTTACGCATATGAGGAGGTGGACCACCTGGTTTAAGATTGCCAGGAATTGGTCTCGGATCCCTCAACGCATTTTGAGGAAATTGCTCACTAAAATTGATGCTTTCCTCTGTAGTTGATTCGTCAGTAAATCGTGAAGGTTTCTTCGTTTGAACAGGATTCTGTAAAGGTGGAGGCTTTGGCAAAAATTTGGGCTGAGGTACTTTAGCGTGCTTTGCCTTTGTATTATTCTTTGGTTGAGATTTGGAACTCTCTGGTTTTGTTTTCTTCTTCTCCTTTGGCTTTGGAGGTTGGATTGGTTTTCGATTCTGAATGAAATGCATAAGAGCTTGTATTGGAGCATTTTCAGCAACTTCATCTCCAGAGAAGTCCAATTCATCTATTTTATTTGATCGTGAATCGAAATGAATTGTGTTGTTGGATTCTACTTCAATTGTTTCGTATGTCATACTTAAAGCGAATGAGCATAGGTATTGCATAACCAAATCAGCTGCAATTTCATATGCTTCTTCAGTATTTGTATTTTTGAAATTTGTTAATTTCTTATTTTTTGATTCAATTGCCTCCTCGCATACTTCTTTAAGGAATAAAGCCCGAAGCTTGTTCATTGTTCCGTTAATTTTCATTTCTTCAATGACTTTTTTATTCATTTTTATAAAATTTTAGAAATTTAAACGCATACGACAATCTGTCACTTTTTGGAATTCTCATGGGGAATATGAGTATCAGCTGAAAATCCTTCCAAAATAGTAGTTGTGGATTCACACTAGTTAAATGATATCTGTTTTTAAATTTTTGGTTGGAAAATTAAAAAAAATTGGAAATAGATAGAAAGCAATGCATAATAATTGTTGTATTCATTTGAAATAGCTATAACGATTATGAAAGACAAAGCAATAAACAACACAATTTTATTATAAAAACATAATCTATTTTTCAACGAAATCTTCGTCATCATCTTTGAAAATAAGATTTTGGAAGCCACCAAAAGTTGCCTTGGGTTCAATTGAAATACCAAGGTACGTTTGTGGATTTTGTTTAACTTCTGCAAATTGGATCTTATCATGGGAGCCTTGCAGCAGAAAATGTGGAAAATATGGTCCGAATAAAGCTCCGTCTAACTGTTGGTTTGTATTGTAAATATCATGGCAGCAGGGGCAATAAACTTTAACTTTTTCTTCACCATACGAGGGGGTCATTCCTATTGGAAGTAAATTATGATGGTTGCATGCTACTCTTGGACATTGACCAAAGATTCCACTTTCATATTTCTTTTTCACTTTTTTAACACCAGCGTATGTAAGTAAAAATCGAGCATGAATTAATGTGTAGAGTTTCTCTGCTTCCTTTAAGAGCTGTTTTGTAGTCATTCCGGGAGGAAGTTCATAAAATTGGCCTCGTAAGAATTTAACAACTTCTGAATATCCTTCTATTATTGAATTTAATCCATATAAGTTAAAATTATCATTTAAATATGCTTCATCTACGTATGTAATCCAATCTGATTGCGCAATGAACTCGTTTATCCATTCACATGAAGACATATCTGATTCGTCGTTGATTGAAGTCATTACTGGCTTTTGTTTTGGAGGTTTAGTAATGGCTCCATCAAAAAGAAACATTTTTTTTTATTTTGATTTTTTTTATCCAGTATTTCCTTATGAAAGAACATTGACCATAACTAGGATATTACTAAATATTAAGAAAATTTATGTTGATTTCACATAGAAAATCAAATCTACGTGCTACTCTTGTGGTGATTCTTAGCATTTCTTGAAAATTATGGTACATACCTTTCTGGAAAGTGTATTTGCATACCCATGAGTACTATATTGGAAATATCTTTAAAATCATCCTTCTATTGAACAGAAATATTCCGCATTCCAAAATCTTGAAAAAAATAATGGCAAAATGGCCATATTTTGAATGGATTAATTTATATAGCTATAGTAGTATCCAAAATAATTATAAATATATCTTTAACCCACTTCACAGGAATCGATCAATGAAACCAGTGTAAAATCGATAAAATACTGATTAAATTTAAGATACCTTTCATGAGACATTAGAATTAGCAAAGCACTAGCTTCCCTCATTCAAGGTTCTACTTTCATTGTTTTAAGGTAAATAGCATTTTGGGTGAATTCCTAATAGATCAGGCTTGAATGATGAAAACAGCAAATATCAACAAAAACATTATCTGGCATAAATATTTTCGATAGTATTCAATTTTTTCTGAAGAGAATTTTGAAATCAAAAAAAATGTTTTTGTTTCTGAACTTAGCATCAGCTGTTGGTCCAGAACCAAGTGAAGAATATCTGATATTTAACAGTGCATCTATCAAGGGTGGTGGATGCTATCGAATTCCATCTTTGGTTACTGCGAAAAATGGAACAGTGATTGCCTTCATTGATCTCAGACCAGGTAGCTGTGGAGATCTTAACTATGACAATAAAATCAAAATTGCAGCAAGACACAGTTACGATGATGGTGTCACATGGAGTGATGAAAGAATGGTTGCTGATTATGGTGATAATCTCTCCTCTTCAGATTCTTCATCTATTCTCAATACACAAACTGGTGAAATTGTTGTGTTGTACAATTTTTGGAATTACAATACAGAAAAAGGAATTTATAAGCAGCACGTCAAGATATCATCAGATAATGGTGAAACATGGGGCGAACCTATCGATATCACAGATCAAATTGCTCCACCAGATTCCCAGAATCATTTCAAGTTCATAACATCTGGCAAAGGTGCCCAAGCAAAGACTGGCTACTTATATCAAGCTCTCGTTGATGTTTCTGCTGGAAATTCTGTTTATCTCATTGAATCAAAGAATGGCGGAAGAAATTGGACAAGAATCGATGTCAGGTGCCAAGTTGCTGATGAAACAACTCTTATACCTCTAGAAAACGGAAACATTCTTCTTAATGCCCGTACATTTGACCACCATCGCAGATTCTTTGAAATTGATCCAGTAAATCAGAAACTTGTCAAACAAGAAGATAGACCTGATTTGGTAGACCCGAACTGCGATGCTGGCTTCATGAAGTATTATTACGGAAAATCAAATATCGTTTTCTTCTCCAACGCAAATAACGCTGGTGGTAGATCAAACATGACAATCAAGTACTCACTTGATGATGCTAAGACATTCTCAAGCGGAAAGGTTGTTCAGCCAGGTGGTGGTGGATATTCTTCTATCACTGTAAACAGAAAGTATGAAGTAGTCATGTTATACGAGAATCCAGGAAAGAATGGCATCACTGTGAGAAACTTACCAATGAATTGGGTTTTGAATCAATAAATTTTAGTAAATAGATAATATATCCTTAATTATTTGATTAATAACTGAGGTAAATGAAATATATGGAATACGATTATAGAATTTTTTAAATTTTAGGGCAGGTAGGGATTTAAGAAATGGTGAGAGCTGATGGAATAATATTCAAATTAATAAAATGCAGTAGAAATAAATTACAAATGTTTTTCAGTTCATTTAGGTTGTTGTACGGTCTCTTATAAGAATAACAGAGCAAATTGAAGAACAGAAATTAGAAAATGAAATTAAATATTTTAATATTGTGATTTAAATGTGAAGGTCATTTGGCCGAGTGGTCTAAGGCGCCAGTTTAAGGCACTGGTCCGCGAGGGCCTGGGTTCGAACCCCAGAGTGACCATTTTTTCTTGTTTTGTTTCATAATTTTTCATAATCATTTTTGCTTCTTTAGACCTGATTAGAAAATCCTTTTACTGGAAGAAAAATGACTGAAATTGAATTTCAGCAAATGATGTTATAAAATTATTAAATTTATAGTGGTTTTGATAATATCTTCAAATTTTTCTTCATGAAAGATATTTTATGGCTCACTTCCTCATTGTCAACTAATAGCAAAAGTTCAAAGAAAAATATCTCAAAGAGACGGAGTGAAATAGGAAATCAAAAATACGTAAAGTTAAATTAGTAGGTACACACGTTTTTATATTTTATGAAATAGATGAATGTCTACTGGATTTTCGGTAAATTTGGAAGAACTTTTGAGCCTCTTCTAGAAGCGATAGGAACAGGTCGTGACAGCTGTAAAGCCACTGGCTTTACTTTCACCTGTTCCTTTGAGCCGAACGAAGATAATGAACCTGATTTTGTAAGAGAGTGATCAGAGTCGAGGCTGACCTTACGGCCGTCGCCAGGGCTGAATGAAATATGAGATATCGCCTTGAACACTTGGTTAGCGTTGTAGACCGATTTTGCAATATTGTAAATAATTACGCCGTCTGTTTCTTGGTTGCTGAGTAATTCGTTCTGTATTTGTTCTTCGTTTGCAAATGCCTTAATGCTATCGAAAACCTCATTTGAAAATTGATCATTTTGAGCTAAGAATGGAACCAAAAGCTGATAAAGGGTTTTTGCGAACCATGGATGCTCTTTTATATCTCTAGTATTGTATCGATGAGCTGGGCTAGCCGTAATTAACTTCTTGAATAAGTCAATGATTGATTGACTTAAGAAGTTTGGATAAGCAACAATCATACCAGTAATAGTTTCCTTGTTATCCATCGGGAATGGTGAGCCGCCAACGACGCAGTAATACAAAAAGATTCCGAGGTCCCAGAAATCTGCGGCGGCAGAATAAGAATTAGCAACAAGATATTCAGGTGGCTGGAAAGGTAGAGGAGCAAAAAGTTGTGTACCACAAGCAGCACTGCCTGAATTGGGTTGGGTTCCCCAGAAATCAACGCATCTGATAACATTATTTTCATCGACCATAAGAATGTCCAAACACAGGTTTCCATGGATCATATTCATTTGTGTTTGCATGTATTCGATGATAAAGTATAACTGTGCGAAATAGGGACGAGCTTGGGCTTCATTCCATCTTGTCTTGGCTTCTAAGAGCTCTTTAAATGTTCCACCTCGCATAGGCTCGAGAACAATATATACAAACTTGCTATCTTCGAGTTTTGTGATGTATTTAGCTATAAAAGGATGGAAAAATGTCTTGAGGCAATAAAGGTCGTTTTCGAAGTATTCTTTGTTATTATCAATAGCTAAAAACTTTTTCGAATAGACTTTTATTGAAACTTCTTGTGAAGTTACAGAATGATGGGCTCCCCATAAAACAAACCTTTCATTTTTCATGAGTTGGGCTTCTAAAATGAATTTGCCTACCTTGGCATGCGGAGTTAGCTGATCTAAAGACATATTTTTAGGATGAAAGGAGTTTAGAAGGAAGTGACGATTTATAAATTCAAAGCACGTTCAACATTTCAGAACAACCATTTTTTTGTTCAGAAATTTGGAACTAGCTCTAAGGTAGTCACAAAATCTAAGTAGTGAGGCTCTCAAAAATTGAACCGTACTCCATACAAAATTTGTGTACCCTCACTACTTAGATTTTGTGGCCTTCAATTGAGAGGTTAGTTTTGATAGAGCACGTTATAAAATTAAAAGGGAAAAATAAATAAAATTTAAACATTTAATTATATATAATGTAAGGAGTGTAATTCCAAATTTTCTAAAAACTATTCAAATTTGAGCATTTTTTTGGAAATAGTAAATCTAATATGTACATCTAATAACAACATGATTCATCACCTTTTCAAGCTCTGCAGTCAATTTTTTGAAATTTGATTGAAATAAATGTAGCAAAAATTACATTTCATTAGGGAATATATGAGTTTCTCTGGAAACAGGCTGATAAATTTTAAATTTTGTCCAATCAACATGAATGCATTGAGAAATTTGGATTGATTTTCTGGTAGAATCTGGAACAATTCAACCATGTATAAATGGATCATGTAATCATCATGAAATGTTAGTGTTAGAGTTCAAAAGAAACAGAATGAGTGGAAATCAAACACAATCTGAATAATTTTAAACGTATACAATCTTTAAGTTTGTATTTTGAATTCTACATATATGATTGTGTAATTCGTTCTTTCAAATTTTCGGATTCAGGCATGTTTTGATAAAATTCATTCCCAAAAACGTCAATTAACAATTAAATTTAGTGTATTTTAAATATATATACGTATTATATTTTATAAATTATATTAAATTCGCAAAATTTTAAGTTTTAAACAAAAATAAAAAATGTTCAAAATATGAAATTATGCATAGGATATTAAAATTTACATGTGAGCAATTTTTTGAATTGCTTTCAATTTTCATATTGAAATTTTTAAGATTTTTTGCTGAAATAATAAGCAAGAATATCAACCTAAATAATATTAAATTCCATGCGTTAATTTCCTCTCAAAAGTCATTGACCGCCTCTCAATCTAGATTTTGTGAGTACTTTACTTCAAATCTGGTAAATGTAATAATTTCGGAATCATTTTCTGGAATTGCAAAAGGTGAAATTCTAATAAAAATTATTACACAGGTCTCAAAACAATGACTTCTCTGAAAATCATAATTTATCGAAACCAGCCAAATAGAGAAAAACCTTTGTGTATATATGAAATAAGGCAATTTATTATTTTTTATGGTCTCTTGGAGAACTTCGAAAAATTATTTTTTTAACTTGGTGTAGTATTCATAGTCAAATGTTTGGTGATCGCTCGCTTGAAACTATATAGACTATTTGCATTAACAAAAACTATCAATAGTTCAAAGATAAGTTTAAGGGTCCACTGTAAAAATTGAAAGTCTCTCAAAATTGAGAGGCGATTTGCAAATAATCGTTATCGTCTTTTTTCGAAAATCCACTTTCCCTAGTGTTCTGATTAATATTTTGTAAATGTAACAATGAAGTATATGCTTTAATAAGATGATAATATATTCTATCACTTCAAATCGCATAAAAATTGCAAAATCAGCGAGTTTTATAAGAACAAGATTTTTTCGAATTTTTTCGCTTTTGGATGCATGTTTTGAAAAATAGATATTTTCGAATTTTGATTTAATTTTAAGTATAAGTTTTATATTAGGAATTTTTTTGACCTATTTCCAATCATTAATTCCGATGTTTTTCTAGGAATTTAATTGAGAAGAAATTAAGAATTTCGCTTTAATGCCATTACAAACTAATATTATGATGCATGTAGTTTATATTTATTGAGGCTAATGCCGGAATACCTTGCATTTTAAAAAAAATTCAAAGAATTGACAATTGGATAGCACAAATTTAATTTTCTAGACAAAGTATTATTGTTTATATATTCAAAACATTATCCTTAGTTTAGATATGTTGGTCAAAAATTTTGGTGTTATTTTTTGTGTTTAAGCATAAAGTATGTATTTACTTATGAAAAATAAGCATTTTATTGATTATCATAAAGATATACCATAACAAATTGAAAAAATTAAAAAAAAAGGTGTATTTTAGTGGGTATTATTCTGGCCAATACCCATTTTTGCACGATTTAATATTAACCATATCAATAGACGACTCAATGTAAAAATTTAGATATTATTTTTTTCATTATTCAAACTTTGATAAATTTTAGTATAATGAATGATTTTGTTTCGTGTATGATACAGAAATGAAAAGCTTAATTAATATTGTTTTGCATTTTTTCAAGAATGTTAGAGTACATCTACATTAAAAAATCGGATTCGAATTGCGATACTGCATCAAATTGATGCACATCTGATAGGGATCTCAAAAGAGTAGAGTTAATTTTTTTGTGTTTTTTTAAGTTTTGGGCCTTAGTAAAACACCATCTTGAGCAATATTTTTGGGATGACGATAGGCCTTATTTGGCCTTACAGTGGACCCTTAAAAAAATGAAAATAATATGTCTGACAGTTCATTCAATTTTTACAAATTAGATAAAAAAAAATATCAAGAAAGCTATTACATATTCGTATTTCTTGAGAGTGCCACTTCTTAATAACCGACTATTGAATTTATAAATTATTAATATCAATGATCGCATTTTGTGAAAGTAAAAATGTAAAAATTTCCTCAGGAGGTTAAAAAAATTCAATGTCTTATTTGCTCAATTTTTCTGAATGCGACGATTTCGTAATTCTCAAAATACTTTCATTGAGAAATCAGGCAGCGTTTAAGGATTAATCTTGTGTTGAGTACGTGATCATAAAAAACTTGGAAAAATCGATTGATAACGCAATTTTTAATCTGTTCGTCAATACAATAAGAAATATTTTCCTTTTATTTCTCCTCCTATTTTACATTTCTATGATATAATAGCAAAAGAAAGATTATCAGCTAATCCGATTTCACATTTTTCCACTTGATATCAATTTTAGTTGTATATTTATCTTAATTTCTATTTTTATGTTGAAATTCAATTTGTTTTCCTTTTGTGTTTTGTTTATTGATCATAAATTCAAAAATACCATCTGAAATTAAAAATTAGATATTCATATGATTATATTGTGTTTTTGTCTAACAAAAAGACTTAACATGGGTTCACCTATCAATTTTTCCTTTAATAAATATATCATATATTAAGTGGATAACTGGTTAGACCCTGCAATTATTGACAAAATAGAATAACAGAGTACATTTATGAAATTTGATTGATTACAAATAGATCAGAAAGCGGGCTTCATATCCTAAATATACCTATCACAGTTTCAACATTGAAACACATATCTATCATTCAATTTTTATTGATTTATTGTTGATGAGCATTTTTCCTTTTTTTTTAGTCGTTTATTATTTTATTATTTTATTTGGTATTCCTTTTTTAACATACTTCAATTTCTGGTCTAAATAACTTTTACACTTATATAAAATATTGCTAAACATCATCAATCCTCTAATCAAAACACAAATTAATTAAGCTTGCAACCGAAATTTATTTTTAATTTCAGAAATGGCATTAAAAGTAAATAACTACATGCAAATATCTATAAATATATATATTCTCATTCATATAGATCATATAAAAAAAATACACTTATTTTCATATAACAACAAATAACAAACATAACTTTATCTTCCATAATAAAATAAATAAAATAAAAAAAATTATTATTGTTTTGCTTCTATTTCAGCTTTCCATTGTGCTAAGTTACTCTGTACTTGGTCAACATTACACTGCAATTTCGGCATGATCTTTGCAGCCGTCTGGAACAAAGGCAAGCAAACAGCCGTGTAAAAACCAATCTGTGACTTTGGTTTATCCAAATGTGCTCTATCATTCAAAGGAGATGTGTATTCCATGCCAGAAGCCTGCTCCAAATCACCCTGTCTAAAGAATTCTTCACAGAGAACATCACACCATTTATTGGCCAACTCGAATGGTCTAGAAACATTTGATACATCACCACATTTGATGAGAATTTCCAAGAACGAATATCTATCATTTTCATTCTTTTGGAGATCGAATTCTCCGTTGTCAACTCTCTGATTGATATCCTTAAGAATGTCGAAGTGTTTCGCCATATCTGTAGCCAATATCAATCTGATGATAAGTATCCACATGTTTTTGTATTCATTCGGCTGCAATTTCGAGAAAATGTTGCATTCTTCTTTCGACAAAATTCCAATCGAAACTGAGCAATGATGTGTTTCCATGACAGACTGGTTCTTGAACAACAAACCTAAAGGAGTCTCTGCTTTCTCATTGAAGGCATTCGTGAAGCCATCATGTCCAACATCATGGCACAAACACGCGACTAAAATCGCGAAAATCTCAAATTTCGACAAAATTGTGTTGCATCCAGAAACCAAAATCTGATAAGCAACAAACTGCATGACATCAACGGCGTGTCTCCAATTGTGGTAAGGAACTTTCTTGTAGTTATCGCGTATCTCGGAAAGGAATCTAAATAGTCTTTCGTTAGTTACTCCGAAAGTTTGGTTGATGTCAAAAATGTCGAAAATTGCATAGACAACTTTGATTAAACCAATTCCATCCCAATCAGGAGCGTTGAACTTGACCATCAAAACGCTGGATAACTTAGACATGTTGATGGTAAGTTTGTTGGGGATCTTGGATGTTAATTGGAGCTCGTTGTCCGCAATCCAAGACTTCATTTCACTGGCTGCTTCTCCGAGAGTTGCAACTTCTTTCATGCGGAATATTTCGATGGAAACTGATGCGAAAACTGAGAAACACTCGAGTAATTTGACATCTTCGGAAAGAATCTTCCAATTGCAGGAGATTTCGATGACACCAAGAGTTGCTGCTTCACTGGACATAAGTGGTAAACAACAAATAACTTCGTTGGAGCCTTCTTTGTCTTCTTCTTCGTCATCTTCAACAACGCCGCCTTGGGACTCTTTGTTCTCATTCTTTTCATCGCTAAATGAGCTCTTGTCATCATTGAAAGAGTTTGCGCCATTGTCGAGAGCATTGCTGAATGGACTTTGTCCATCACTGAATGGTTCTGGTCCATTGAACTGTGGATTTGCCTTTGGAGCAGGACTTCCTGGTGGAGGAGATTTTTTATCGTCCGGGGAATTCCCATTGTCACTTTTTTCGGCGAATGGAGAACCATGAGCAAATGGAACTTCGCCTTCTGGAGGGTTATCTGGGAAGGCAACATGGCGTGGTGAATCTTTTCTTGGTGGTTGCTCTTGTTCTTGACTTGATTCTTCATCATCGCTTGTAACTAACATCATTTGGTTTCCAAGTGCGTTTTGATCAATCAAACCGAGGTTAGAATGTGTACTTTGGATGTAAGGAACGCCGAATTGGTTGACTGGTACATTTTCTTGTTGATTCTGCTGATCATCTTTTTGATTTTGTTCCTCTTCTTCATCATCCGCCTTGAGAAGCGCGTTTGGACTGAAGTTAAAGTGGCCTGATTCGGATTTTGGTACTCCTATTCCACCAAATGGATGAAAACCGCCATCATTTATATCCGGATTATTTTGTGCAAATTGATACTGTTCATGAGGAGTCATTCCATGAAGGTTCATTTGCAAGTTTTGGTCTATACTTATATTGTTTGCCATTTCATCTTCAGCGTAAAATTCTTCTTCTTCAGCATATTCTCCTTCATCTTCACCAAATACAAGCAGATCAGCATCTAAACCTGCAGCAAGGATCTTTTCAATAGCTGCGTTTAGTTGTTGTGTCTGTGTATGACCTAAAACTTCTTTATGATCAAATAACATAAATTTACGGTTCTGAATAGTTTCATTAGCGAACATTGTTCCGTATTTCTGTTGTTCGCCAATATTCATTTCTTCTTTCAGTGAATTGTCTACTTCGTCGATCAAAAAAAGTGTCACTCTCGAAGCATTTACAATTTCCTTGATGTTTTGAAGAATTTCTTCAAGGATTTTGTTGAGAGAGTTTGCAGTAGTATTGAGAGAAGCAGTCATTTCGATGAACGATCGAAGCTGTCTTGTTAAATCAAGACTTGCTTTGTACAATCTTGCATTATCAATAGAAATTCCACAGAAAACGTTGAAAGCAAGTAACATTTTGATATCATCGTCGTCGAATAAGCCATCATTAAGCTTGTTAATCATTTCTGTAACACCCGTAATTTCACCTCTGTTATTTTCAATGGGAATACAGAGAAGTGAACGCGTAGTAAAGCCTGTGGCAAGATCTACACTCCTATCGAACCTTGAATCTGCATAAGCGTCCTTAATATTTACGATATCTCCTGATTGAGCGCAGCTTCCTACGATACCACGGCCAATTTTCACACGAATTGCGTTGGAAAGGCCACCGTGGAACCTGGTGACGAGCTCGTTATGTGCGGCATCGACCAGGAAAAGAGAACAACGCTCACATGACAATAATTTTGTCGCGTGGTTCATAATTGTCGGGAGAAGGGTATCGATATCGAGAACTCCTGACAGAATTTCGGCAACTTCGAGTAAACTTTTCAGTCTTGTCTCAAATTGATCTATTTCTTCATCCAATGATTTCGGCAAGAAAAGGAATGAAAGAGCTCTACATGCGAACGGTATCGTTACTTGGAGCTTATTTTCATCGAGTGCTGAAAATGTGGGCTTTCCCTTTGGAGATTTCAAAATGCAGACCCAAGTACATTCATTTTCATCGACAAATGGCATCGAAAGGGCTGCAACTTGGTCGACACCATCTATTTCTGGTAAGTAGTTCGCTGCTTGTGTTACATCTGGTACATTTATTGCCGTAAGGTACACAAAAGAATCGGATGAAAATCCAAGTTTCCCTTCTTGAAGGAAATCCTTGTTTTCGGCATCGGAATCTTTTGTAATGCGTAAGTATTGCTGGGTTTTCGGTCTGTAAACAATGAAAAACACATATCCGCATTGAAAATATTTTGCAAAAGTTTCACAGACAACTTCTGCAGATCGTTGTGATATTTTAAGTGAATCTGATATATTTTGCGTGTTAAATCTGTTAAATAAAGTTGAACCGTAAATTTTGAATTTTTCGATTAATTTTGTTGCTGTTTTGAATTCATAGTCAGTAAATGGACTCTGGGAATTCAATCCAAGTGATATTTGTGCTACATATGCAATCGTACCATTGTCGCCGTCAATAGGAAAAACCAATATGTTATTTTGTGGACTGACAAGTGCTCCATCATTTGCACTATTAAATTTTTCATGTTCACATTGGACAGGAGCTGTGATATATGAGCCAACTCGAAAAACTTCGCCCATAATTCCTGTCCCTGCAATTACACTTTTTCTGTAAGATGGAGCGTAAAATATGTTCTTTTCGGTTTCATATTTCCAAACAATTGCTATTTTTGTTTTGAAAAGCCTTCTAAAACCAGATTCAAGAGCAATATTATCAGGTTGCTCGAGAAGTGATTGAGCAATTTCGTCAAACATCTCGTCAAATGATAGCGATGGTAAAGGCTCATCGATGTGTTGATAAACTTGTGAAATACTGAAGTTAATTTTTCCTTGATGAGGAATTTTTTGTTGATTAGGACTTTTCACTTGCTTCATTGGAGCTACAATCTGCCGTCCTATATTCTTCTTAGACTTAATATTGTTCCTACTGTCTAAGTTTTTGATAATGTCTTTCAGGCGAGGCTCGATCGCCAAGATCGTAGAACGCCTCAAAGTCATTGTAAAAAAAACGAGAAAAATTTACACGCGTATGAAAATTTTTTGATTTGGCAATGTAATTCAGGTTTTGGTAACAATGAAATTGAAAAATACTTGAAGAAAAAGCTATATAATCACATCAAAAAAATATCGATACATCGAAAAAAGGAATGATAAGCATTTATACGTCAACCATATATCTATCATCCATTGTATATGACAATTACAATATAGACCAGTCTATATTTTTGAGATAGAATAGAGATATGTTGAATTAAACTTAATGAGTTTATAATTCTCAAGTATGATTTACCTTGTATTTATTATTGTATAAAGTTAGAAAAAATTAATTACTTGAGGAGCATTTATATCGTATATATACAAATTCAAAACAATATCAAAATGTGTGGAGTAATTTTGAAAAGTATTATAAGCAATGTAGTTAATTTATTACTAAGAGTTTCATCTACACAAATATAAATCTTAGAAGTGCAGATTTAACAATAAATTTTTAAATAATATCAATAATTATGATAATAAGTTAATGAAAGCGTATTACCAATGTATGATATTGTGTTCTAAAGTGAATTACCTACGAGTTTTGAGGTATAACGTAAAATTTTGAGCAAATCGAGAAATACTTCTGGCTAATAAAGTAACACAGATCAACTGACATAGTAGAACGTAATGATGTGCATGTTTTAATAGATTTAAATAAGTATTATTGTAATAGATTTTCAAAAACAAGAGAATTGCGAGTTTTCTAAGATGATTATGTTGCTTGGTATCTATACATGTTCTTGAAGTACCGTTTGGAATTCCAAATTTTTTTTGAAATCACGAATTTCAAGTTCAGATTCTAGAAATTTCATTTGAAAAATGAAAATTCATAAAAAATTTGGAAAATTGAAGGTAAAAATGTAATCCAAATAATTTTTTAAGACTAATTAATGATTAAATCAAAATTTGGTAACGACAATGCATTTTTATTTTATAAGAATATTATAAATTTACTATAAATAAACAAAAATATTCCATTTTGAAAAAATTTATTTTGTAATTTAGAATTATTCAAAAACCATAGAAGGGCTTAACACATACAATGTTGATGGTAATACTTTATTTAGGTTGATTTAATAAATTTCCAGATAATTCTATAAGTTTATTAATAATACAACAAATTAATATGGCATAGCATAAATAGGAGTTAAGGCAACCATAATTGCATCGTATATATCTTGAGGTGGTAAGTTACTTGAAGAAAACGATCTCATTGCAGCAAGAAGCATATTGACGCTGATTGGTAATTCAGGAGTGTTGAATTCGTAAGTAGAAGCGTTCATATATCCTTCTGGCCTCCAATGTGGTGAGAATTCTGCCAAAACGGTGGCACCTTTGTAAATTGATAAGGAAGGGAACCATCTTTTCGTAAAATCAATATCCGTAAATACAGTCATTTCAAATTTGCGATTAATATATAAATTCATCTCTCCAACAAGTTTATCTTCGCTATTTTTAGAAATAGAAAGGCCAATTCCAATTTTATCGCCCATTCCAAATTGAGGTGTATTTGGAGTAAGAATTCTATTATGATAAGCCCCTCCTTTATCACATACGCAGTATCCTCTATCATCATATCCAACAGGAACATCCAACCCTGCACGTAATGTTGTTATTCCAAATCTACAGTGAGAGTCTGGGTTTGCGCTTATAATTATCATTTCCCAGTAATATTTTCCTTCTGATATAAAGCCTCGATTTGAACGACACAAACGGTAGCCTCCTGAATTAAAAGCAGTCTTGAAACCATCTCCAAATTCGTAAAATCTAGAACTCTTTAAATCAGAAAGTCTAAAATTTTGTTTTGATTCAGGATCTTGAACATTTGGTAAAAGTCCAAGTGCTGCACGTCTCCTAACAATCAATTCATCAAATTTTAATGAATTGTCATTGAGGATATCTGGTTCATCATCTGATAATCCGACTTTTTTACCTATACGAGGATAATGAATTTTCTTTTTCTTTGGTGGCTGTTGTGGTGGTGGGAGTTGCTCTTCTGGAGGATGTGGAATCTCAATGGTTGTTGGAGTTTCCATAATTTACAAAGAAAGGAAACGATAAAAAAAGATTCAATATTTTTTTGATTCGTTTCCAGGGTAATAGGGATGATATATTGAAAAAATAAGAAAAAAGTATTTAAATATTCATATTCAATAACCTTTAGATAATAATAAACATATCAGATACTTGAATTAAGCATTATATAATTACTTTCCGCTGACCATAGGCAAGAACTGATCAAATAAGTTACTATGAGCTGCTCCAAGCAACCTCTTTACATTTGCTATAGTTTCTTCCCTAGTTTGATTGCGTTTATTATACAAATTAATTTCTGAAATCATATGGTTAAAGTCTGCTGGACTTAATTCTTCCTTAGCTGCTTTAATAAACTGAGAGCTCTTTGATGCAGTACGAGTTGTAGATTTAGGTGGAGATTTAGCAATTGGAGAAATGTTACGAGTAGAAACTTGTTGTGACTGTGTTTGGGATGGTATATATGACTGAGGCTTGGCTTCTATCTTCTGTGGGGAAGAATTTTGAAGAGAAGTCTTTGGTTCTTGGGAAAATTGTGGAATGAAATTTTGCTTTGAGGTTGTATCAGATTTAACGTAAGGAATTTGATCAACAATGTTCTTAAGAGATTGGTTAAGAGAGAGGAATCTGTTAATTTCTTCTTCTTTATCTTGTAAAGCTTGCATTAAAGCTTGATTTTGTGCTTTGAGATTTTCATTCATTGCAAGTGCATTATTAAGTTCTGCTTCAGCCTTAGCTTTGCCTTCTTCAGAGCGTTGAAGATTTTGTTGCATGTATGATAATTGCTGTTCTAAATCTTCGATACGTTTTTGCCATGTTTTTAATTCTTCGGATTTCTGCTTCTTTGAATACTCAAATGCTTGTTGAAGTTGTTGTATGGCAGCTTGTACGTGCTGATCACCTTCACTCAACATTATTTGTACGTTTAGTCCTCAATTTTTTATTATTTCAAAAAGTGACATATAAAAAAGAAAAAAGAAAAAATGGGGCGAGCCGGGAATTGAACCCGGGACCTCCTGTACCCAAAACAGGAATCATACCACTAGACTACTCACCCTAACACACTAATTGAAAATTTTTATACTATAAAATAGAAATTAAAATGTGATAGTTTTGATTTGCCATAAATCCTTATCAATTGTTTTTTTTTGAGGAAATTCTTTTCTCTATGCATAAAAAGTTTTTTCTAACTAATAAATTTCAAATCCAAATTTTCGACTTTTATATTTTTTAATGTATGATCCAATCATCAAACAGCATGGATACCTAGAATTCAGAAGTATTTATGCAAATTATATAGATTTATATAATGCATTATATCAGTTAAAAACCGAAAATGAAGAAGAATTGAACCTTTTTTACAATATGATCAAATCAAACTTGATTAATTCAAAGAAATATGATCCTCAAAATATTATAGGAGATATTTTAAATATAGTTCCATATAATTACCTCTATTCAAAGTCATATTTGAAACTTGCAAAACTCATTTCTGATGAATATCATGTAAAAGAGGTTAGAGGTATTAAAATTATTTCCAACTACATTTTTTATAAAGAATATGGAATTAAATTAGATATAACTGATGATTTTGAAATTTTGGATTTAAAAAATACAGATATTCATGATGAAAATACAATTTACAGAGCAATTATGCACGATGATAAAGAAGGTTTCATTTCATTTATTGAAAGAGATGAATTTGATGAAGATCAAAAACTTGAAAGTGAAATATATCTAGATCCTATCACTTTTTCGTTACTAGAATTATGTTGCTACCACGGAGCAGTTCATTGTTTCAAGTTATTAAGAACAAAATTTGATTCAGAAATAACTCAAGCATGTTTACAATTTTCATTTTTAGGAAGAAATCAAGAGATCATTAGTGAATGTTTGAAATATCAAAAACCAGATCATGAATGCATGAAGTATGCAATTATTTCACACAACATTGATTTTGTTACATTCTTGATGAATGAGTATAATTTAGATATCAGTTTATATTATTGCGGATTATATAATAATCTTGAATCATTTTTAATATATTTGGATCAAACAAATGATATTCACAAATGTTTTGTTTATTCTGCAATGTTTAATATTCCATCTCTTTGCAAATATTTTATTTTCCTTGGTGCAAATATTAATGACAAAGTTGATACAGAAAAAACAGCTCTTCATTTTGCTGGATTAAAAAATAACAAAGAAATAGTTGAACTACTTCTTTCACATGGTGCAAATGTAAATGTCAAAGATATGTATGGAGAAACAGTTCTTAATATTGCAACACGTAAGAATAGTAAAGAAATAGTTGAACTTCTCCTTTCACATGGCGCAAATATCAATGAAAAATATGGATACGGAGAAACAGTTCTTCACAGGGCAGTATATAATAATTGTAAAGAAACAATTGAACTCCTTCTTTCACACGGAGCAAATATCAATGAAAAAGAATGTCATGGATTAACAGCTCTTCATAACGCAACAATGACTAAAAATAAAGAAATGGTTGAGTTACTTCTTTCACACAGACCAAATATCAACGAAAAAGATAAAACTGGAGATACTGCTCTTCATTTTGCAGCAGCACGTGATTTTAAAGAAATAGCAGAGATTCTTCTTTCAAACGGTGCATATATCAAAGAAAAAAATTATAGAGGAAAAACTGCTCTTGATTACGCGGAAGAAAATAATAGTAAAGAAACCAGAAAACTTCTTCTATCTCTTGGTGCAAATATTAATTCTTGAAAAATTGTTTTATATTTTGAATATTTTCTTTATTTCAGTTTAGTTGAAAGAATTTTGCAAAGTCCAGTAGTATTGTAATAAACAGAAATTCATCAAAAGTGACAGCTCTCAATTTTTTGACATTTGTAAATTCTAAATTGAATGAGAAAAATGAAATAATACTAAGCATAATACAATATTCTAGATTTAATTATAATTAGGAAAAAGTTAGTTTTGAGAGTACTTTTCATAGGCATATAGAATGAAATCTTCTGAAAAATAATATCACATAAACTCATATTATTTTCTAATATATAACTATTTTATATAAAAATCAAATTCAATGATCTTAAAAGCGAAGGATAAACCTCAAAATTTACGAATATAATGAGTGGGAATATAATGCTTATCTATCATAAAACCATATGAAATATCAATTTTATTTTTCATATTCAAATGGACTGAGTGTTAACATTTAACATTTTTTGCTAATTGTCGTCAAAAATTAGGCGTAAAGCAAAAATTGATATTTCATATGGTTTTATGATAGATAAGCATTATATTCCCACTCATTATATTCGTAAATTTTGAGGTTTATCCTTCGCTTTTAAGATCATTGAATTTGATTTTATATAAAATAGTTATATATTAGAAAATAATATGAGTTTATGTGATATTATTTTTCAGAAGATTTTGTGTTCTTCTTCAAAATTTTATTTTTTTATTAAAAAGAATCTTTACAAAATATACATTTACTTTAATTAATATTTAAAAACGTGCTCTATCAAAAGTTCCAAAAATTCAATATTTTAGCTTTTCTGAGGTGTCACTTTTGATGAATTTCTGTTTACAACAGTATATTATATAATGCATATATTTAAGATTAATTTGAGTCTTTAAAGCAAATTTTAGGTAAAAAATTAAATCATAGGAATAGTTTCAGCAAGCAAATCTTCTTTCTTGCTAATCTGCAGAGTTTGTTGGCTCAATTTCTTCTTTTTATAAATTCTAAAATGAATATAAGTAGAAAGTTTTAAACAAATCATTTGTAGTTAATATTGTAATAGATAATTGTCTCTGCTACTTTCTATTCCTCTTATATTTTATTGATTCTCTTTCTTTCTAAAGATAATAAGGATTGAATTATTGTTTCAATTTTTTCTCAATTTTTTACACTATCGTTTTTTCTGCCAATGTTTTTATTTCTTTATTATGCTTCTGCCATCAAAGTTTGTGTACCATCTGAAATCCAACAATGCCCCGCAGAATATGAAACTTGGGCTAATCAGAGCGATATCTCAAAGCTTTTAGTTTATAATTCATCCTTCAAATTAGACATATCAAACATAAATACAAAGGATTTTTCAATAATCCTCGAACAATCCAACGTAACTTTAGCCTCTAGTGCAAATAATTCACAAATCATAGAAAGTTTAACAATAAAAAATTCTGACAACTGTAATAATTCAGTTTTAATACTTGATGAGGATATAATGGTGCTTAATACATCATCATCTACATATATTTCTCTGATTAATGGCACTTATGGCAATATTTCAGGTATTTTTTCAAACCTTACAGTTGAATTTCTCAATAATTCATATTATTATCGACCAATGACAGAATTTGTTACAACATTCAAGAAAACACCAGTGAATATTCCGATTATTGCTTTTCAAAAACTTAATGAAGATGAAATTCCAAAATACCTGCAAACATTCTTCTACGGCAATTCAACACAGATTAATTTAGTTGAATCAAGAATTTCAGAGATATTTCAATACGAAAAAGAAATTGGCCAAAAACAATTTTGGATTTATCATCAAAAAACTTCCAAATATATTGATATATACCTTTCCAATATAAACAGCTTTACCAAGATCCTTATGTACATCTCAATTGGATCTGCCGGCTTTGCCGTTTTTGTTTTTGTCGCTTGCGTTGTTTCCTACTTCTGGAATTCTCCATCCCCAAGAGAAGACACAAGTAGTTACATTCCTTTACCATGAAATATTTTATATTGACATTTTAATTATTTTATTATTTTTTTTGTTTTTAAAGATGTTCATCCTTATACTTATTAATGTTTCAAAAGATAGTGTAACATAATTATGTGTTAAAATAATTCAAATCTTCAGTTTTCATTAAATTTCTAATTTCATTTTTAGCAAAATTTGAACAGATTATACTTATTTTTTAGGCAATACATGTAAATGATGATTAGTGAATTGGTACTACCTTAAAACTTGATTTGTCTCACCCGAAATGTATAAAACATATTTTAAAACTAATATAAATACCAGAATCTTTTTCCATATATACCTAAGTCTAAAAATATCAAGGTTTGCATGTCATATTGAACAATACCATATCCAGGATTAAACATTTTTATTATATACTTTTTTAAGAAATATTTATCAGTGTGCTGGATTGCTTATGATGTTTTTATTTAAACTTCACCCTTTTCTTGTGGAAACATCTAAAGTCAATATCAAGACGAGTCTTAAACATGAATATGTGTTTTAATGATATGAGCTGCGAACATTATGTATGCAATAATAAAGTCTTAATGCTGATTAAAAAAAAATTATGCTACACAATAAAGAGCCGTTACTCCATCAATATCTTTTATTAATAAATTCAAAATGTTATAAATAGAAGACATAATAAAATATGAATTAATATAAGATATTTATATAAAACAAACAAAACAATATAAAACAAAAATAATTAACAAGATTTTGAATAAAAGTTAATAATGTCATCACATAAATCTCCATTCCTATCTGTAGCGAAATCGCAAACACACTCCAAAATATCGATATCTCGTTGTTCATTTGTTTTTTCGAACAAAAGTTTTCTCATTGAAGACCTCCAACTCCACCAACTTTGGTCATCTTTGTCTACAACTAATTCGAAAGGAGCGAGTTGCTTGTCAACCCACGAAACAGCTACAGGAAGAGATAGTTTTGGATAGACGTCATCAAGAAATTCAACAGGAATTTTCGAATTGTCAGAAATCCAAAGTTTTTCTGTGAAAAACTGCAACAAAGAGAAGAAACGAAATTCGGAAGGGACATCATTATAAGGAGGAGTGATTTCTGAGATCTCTGGGATGGATCTTCCTCTCAAGTACTGTCCGAGATTGTTGAATTTCGTTAAAGGACACTTTTGGACACCGGAACATGGACATTTAGTTAATGTCGAAGATAAAGCACGAGATAATGAGCAGAAAGTGGAACAGTCATCTCTATTAAGCATAGATATGTAGTATTCATCGAATATTGGCCGCGCCCAGTGAAGTTGCAATACTTCATTTGTAACAAATTTGAAGATTTGCGTGGAACTTCGGTCTCTTAGGGTACTGAAGTGTAGCAATGGTTGGAATGTTGTTGGGAGAAGCTTAATAGAGTATTCATAGTCGAAATCCAAGGTTTTGAGGGTTCCATCGTAGATATCAAAACCATTTATGGAATAATCGGAGTAATGGAGGATGTATTGCTCAGAATTGTTCTTAGGAAGCAACACAGTGAACATTGTTCGTGGTAATCCGTATCTATCTACTAAAATACAATATAAAATATTATTATCTTGGGAAATACTGGTCAAAATGAAGGTCATATCATTCTCGAAGGTATAGAACCTCCAAAGATCTTCTTCTGATATCTTCTCGCCGTTTTCTTTATGTTGAATTTCGGTTCCATTGCAAATCAGTTTTTTATTTGCTCTGGGAAAGATGCATTCGATATTAGGACCACTAGTATACAGTATTACATCTTGGTTCTTGTGCCCTCTTAAATGTTTGTACGATGAAATTAATCCGACCTTTTGTAAATCAAAACAAAAAGTGACATAATTTTCAACTTCTAAAAACGCCTTTGTTTTATTTTCGTTGAAATAAATATATTCTAGTTTGTTATCCGATGTAGTACCAAACCAATTAATTATTTGATTGGATGTCAAAATTTTTCTCAATTGAAAATCATCGTTTGTCACTTTTATTTCCCATGTTTCCAAAAAAGATGAACAAAGGAAATAAAACTTGTTCGGAGTGTCCCCGAAATGTATGGAAGGGCAAATAGTTGATGGCCTGCATACGGGATGCTCTATTTCTCCATTAAGAGAGTAGCAAAATGAGTAGAAAAGCGAATTTTTCTTAAATCCATTATGAATCGAATTAAAAGTGATGATTAGGAACTCTTTGTTGCAAGATACGGTACCTGAAATGATGTAGGGATGTACAGGGAACTCTTTGAACTTCTTTATCTCTTTGCATTCTGTTGAATATTCCCAGATAATTTGAGATTTTTTTGTTGTCTGTAAAACGAAGAAGGAATTTTTCGTACATGAATCTAAAAGTTTGTATTCGCCTTCTCCAGGTCCTTTTTCGCTGCTTGTGATAATAAATGGCTTAGATAATAAAGGATATATCAAACCTTCTGTGATTTCATTGTGGTGTATATACTCTATCCCAGTTTTTCTCGAATTATTGCTATTTAATGATATTTGTGCTGCATCTGTCCCTGGAGATAATGAATTATTGCTTTTTGTCTTTAATTCTGTTTTTGGAATGATTGTTTCTACTGAAAAAGAAGTCGAAAGAGATTCGCTGATATCATCACTTTGAAATTGAATATTTAAATTCATACTTTCAGGCGAACTTAAATTTGAATTGTCTTGTTTCTCATTATTTTGTAGATTTATTGAAGGATCTGCAATAACGTCAACTTTATCTTTTGTTATGGCATCCAAATCATGAGATGTATCATCTGAATGCATTCAAAAGGATATCCAAACAAAAAATAATAACAAATTGAATTTTTGACATTTAATTATTAATGTCCATTAATAAAAAATCATATTTATTTAATTAAAAATTCGATTACATAAATGTAAAAGAATTTTGAAATTTCTTTCATAGAATATAGGAACATTTCAAATCAAAATCAGAAAATATATTGTATTATATTTAGTTTTTTCTTGCTCCAATGAACTTGAAATCAATTTTCAAGATGTCAACATTTCTTTTGATGCTTCCGAAAATTAGAGATAAAGGATTACTTACAGATGATAGTGAGCATTACATTTTAAACACATTGCCGAAGAATTACATCTGTGAAAGCGTTGCTTTATTGATGAAAAATATGATTAATTCTTGCACTCAATGGAATTACAAAACTTCAAAGAGAGTTGATGTTTTTATGGAAATTTACGCCATTACGCTAACATTAGATCCAGAATATGCCGAATATATGCAATGGGTCGTTAATCTTTACCAAAGATGGATTATTGACCCAAGTTTCCTTGGTAACACAGAAAAACAGAACAAATACATTCGATTAATCATCAAACATCTTTCAATTCCATTCCAAAATGTGAATTTTTCTTCAGATGGAATCAAATTTTACAATGTCTTGATTAACATCTTGGATACTTACAGAACATTAGTTCAAACACATGGCAAAATCTTAGAAAATGAATCATGGAAAACTTTAATTATGACAATTTTAGCAATTTGCGACCAACTAAATTCCGCAAAGGAATCGAAATCGGTTACATCAGATCACATTACGAAATTACAAACAAAAGCCCTTTACATTTGCTTCTATCTTTTGTTTTCAACACCACAAGACAATTCTTACTTCGATGTCTTCCTGAAATTCTCAGTTACGTGGTCTTCAGTCAGCAGCTATATCAATGCATGGGGAAATTGGATTGTTCCAGCTTACGAATTAATTTTACATAAAAATTTCAATAGTTCTCGCTTAGAATACTTATCCAAATCAGAAATCCATCAGATCATCATGAATATCGAATGGTCCAGGCTTCCTTCTGCATTACAATTCTTATTAAATGCAGTTGATTATGATATAGCGAAAAAAGATGATAAAGTAAGCATTGCTTTAGTCAATGTTGCCGCACAAGCAGCTGCAGCGTCATTCCAGCTCGCTATCGACAACTCCAAAGGAAAAGGAGCTCTTAGATTCCCTTTAAAGCCATTTCTCCATCTTTTTGGCAAGATAATCTACGGATATTCGATCAAGACACTCGAATTCATCGACGTTATCAACAAAGCAATACTTTGGATCATATCTAATTTTGATTTCACCGGATGCGAAAAGGAAATACAAGCTTTAGTTGATATAATCAACAGCCAGTATCAGAAAAGCATCCAACTCGTACGAGGAATGATCCAGGCAATGTCTAGACCTCTTCCAGAAGCTGTATTTGTTTCATTAGGAGCAACTTCGCTTGCAACAATCGATTCATTGCAAGTTCCTGATGTAAACAATGAAGAATTTATTGTTCCTTTGTTCTTAAGTGCTTGTAATGCAACTAAGAAATATCAAACCGTTCATTTCATGAGATTATGGGACAATTCGAAGCGTTTCCAGAGCCGTTTGCAATTGATATCACAATCCTTTAACTACGATATCAATATTGGCTCAATAACTCAAAAAGCGCTGACAACTGATAATCTCGAGCTTCTTGAGATGTCACTTTGGCTTGCATTGGCTTATTCCATGTCAGTCAGAGAAAACGTCCATGACTGCAGATCTAACTCTCAGGCTCTTGAATACGTTGTAGATTTCGCATTACAGCACCATTTGGACGGAGATTGCCTGGCAGTCATCTTATTATCATGCTTAGAGTCCATTAATTGGGGCATGCCTTCTTTCCCGAAGCTAAATGCCCTTTTGGACTATACTTTGCAGATTCAAAACGAAACTTCCCCGGTGAAGTACGCGAAATCTCTGGCCAAACTCATTATATGGCGATCATCATTCAATGAAGTATCTCCAGACATGTCGTGCGAGATCTTCGCATCATCCATCAAGAAGGAGGACGTCGAAAAGTCCGAGTTCGTCGTTGTCGGAGATACGATTTTGTTATCATTCAACAAGAAGAATGAAAAAGAGATTGAAATCATTGCAAGAGGGCCATTTGGAAAAACATCTTTCACAGCAACTGATGATAATTTCGGAAAAATTATTCCGAAATTTAATACATTGCCAGAAGAAAGGATCACTCTCAACCAAAAGGATTTGTATGGAACACAATATGAAGTTGATGAGTTCAAGAATCTTCCAAAACCACAACAAAAGATTATTGATGATTTGACATGGCTTAAGAAGCCAATCAGACAGGTTAAACAGAGCCACGATACATCAATATACGAGTTTTTAGTTAAATGCGGCCTCCTTACCTCTCATAATTTATTTAATATCAGATATATTACTGACAAATCAGCAGCTTCCAAGGCAATTGACATGTTCCAGAAGACAGAGTCCAATCCTGTTCTGTTTGTCCCAATTCTTCACATGATTCCCGGTGAAACAGAGCTAAATTGCAGCCGACAAAAAACAACTGCGAATTTGAAGGCGTTTTTGAACGGAATTGCTCCAATATTCACCATAAACAAAGACCACGGCCAATCATTACTGAACATCAAGTTTAAACAAGGTTTTCCGTTGATTCCAAGTGTGGCAAATTCATTAGGTTTTATTTGCCCAGAAATAACAGAAACCGATGAAGATGCGAAGAAAGTGAAGGATTTATACGATGCCACCAAAGTTAGGATCATTTTTGACGAGGCAGATTCTAAATTTGGTGAATTGAAGAACGAACCACATTTTATGATCAAACCATTGCAAAGAGGCTGTTACTTGGTCGAAACAGGGTTGAAGGACCAATGTTTCGCCCCGATGCAGCTCATGACAGCGAAATCTTTCTCTCAAGCACTAACTATGTTCGTGGAAAGGAGAGTAAGCAGCTTTAATAGCACAAATGCAATAGATACAGTCGCTGTGAGAACAAAAATTGTTTCTCAGCTTGTTTCTAAACCCGTAGATGAATTTCCTTTGTTTGATTAATTTTGTGAAGTTTACGCGGAATGATTTTTAAATAATGTTTATTTTTTATTATTATTTTTGTTGAACATAAGTTTTTATACAGAAATAAGTTTTTTTATTTAAAATTTTTTTCTGAAAATATAATAAAATAAATAAATTTCCCATCATATGAAGGCAATTTTGATGAATTCCCACATATATGACGTCGCCTTCAATTCTGTTGCTTAATGTTAATTTTCAACGATGTTTCATGCACTTAAGGCCGCACTTACGCCAATCTGACTTTAATTCAAATGTTTGACAACTGGCGTGAAGCATCATTGAAATTTAACCTTAAACATCTGAATTGAATGCCTGCCATAGGGGCGTAAGTGTACCATTAACATAAATTTGAATTAAAGTCAAATAGACTTAAGTGCACTACAGAGCGAAAACTTGTAAAATTAATTCTGATAATTTTCGATGTTCGCACAAAATTGAATAAGAGAGCTAATAAACAATTTCAATAAGCTCGATTTTGATTTTAGTATTGTTTCTTTTTTAGAAGATACCAAAAAGTGCCCAAAATTCATGAGAGCATAGGATATTGATATTTTTGATAAGCAATCGGATCTGAAATATCTTCAAAGTGATCGAATGACATTTTGGCTGGATTCTTCTCATCAAGTTCCCAGTAATTATATATGAATGGCATTCTATCTACAGTTCGATGTCGATATTGGAAGAGGAATGTGAAATTTTCTGAAAATGTTGTCAATTTCGCACACTCAGTTAAACAATCAATGACTTCATTAGGAGTATGAAATTTTGGATTCTTGAGTAATTTCAAAATAAGTTTATCGATGATGAAACCTAGTTGACATGCATCAAAACCTCTATATATATTTCCATACCTTTCATATTCTTTTAAAACCGCGAAAAGAGCGCGCCGAGCAATAATATCAAATTCTTTATCATTAAGTTCAATTCCTTTTGTAAATGGTAAAAATTGATGCATAAATTCGAGTTCAACACCTTTGTATTCGGTAATATTTGGAATCTTTATTATTTCTAAGAAGTCAATAACGAATGATGGAAATGTTATTTTTAGAGTAGCTCCAACTAATGGATGAAATTTAAAAGTGTTTGGAACATTTGATGGATCTTTTTGATTTTCTCCATTAATTATTTGTTGTATATGAACATGTCCTCTATATTGCGAATCTTCACGAGGTTTTTTACAAAATTTTCGATAATTAATACATTCATAAGGACCCTTTTTCCTTTGCTGCTCTAATTCACACCTGTGTGCAAATCTCCAAATCACTATTGAATCAACTACAGTCAAAGCACAAATGATTATCACCCAAAATGTTGGGATCGCAAAAAACATTTTTTTATTTTTAAAAATTGAGGGAAAAATTTCAATAGCAACGGTTTCTATTGAAAGATATTGTAAATTTGTATAACGGCAATAATTTTTCCTACGGGTATGACGTAGACATTTTTCCCCCATTTCTGACAAAATTTATTTGCCAAAATCAAAGTATTTGTTGAAAATCCTCCAGCAAAGATCATGTTATCATTCAATACAAACTCAATCATATTATGGTTTCAAACTCATATTGTATGATGAATTTAAATATATACATGAAATAACAAAATATGATATAGAGGAAAAAACCTGGTGGCAAATTTTTAATTTTTTTTTCAATAAAGAAAGAAAAGGAAAAAATAAGTTGGAAAATTTATAATTTTTCAATGGTTCCAGTTACAGCATTGTGTAATGAAATAGAACGTGTGAGTATTCTTAGAGAATGCGGTAAATTTAAGATTAATATAAATGGACAAATCATCGAAACATTGAAGTCATCCGCAGTTTGTTTTTCAAGTTTCATCAAAGAAAAATGCATTTTTAATAAATTAATTTCATATATTGAAATAAATCTAAATATCAAGTGCAGTGATTCAATCAACATACTCAAAAAGTTCATAGATAGCGGAATCCTCGAATTTGAAGAAGATGAAAATCATTACCATGATATATTTGAATTTGGTAAAGTATTTATGAACCAACTTCTTATACAAATGTATATCAAACATGTCAAATCAGAAAGTTCTATTACAAATGAAAACGTCTTTCGTAAGTATGAAATTTCTTTTATTGAAAACGATTTCACAACACAAGATCGATGCATTGAATACATATCATCACACTTATATTGCCTTAATGAGAGTGATATTATCGAAAACACTGTTGAATTCGGAAATGACTTTTTTGAAAAAGTTTTGACATCAAAATCAATAAAAATCGAAAACGAAGATAAACTATGCAATTTACTCCTCAATATTTGTAAACGTGACAATAAATTCTTTGATTTATTTAGACATATTTCATTAGAATATTGTACTCCTCATATCTTTGAAGAAATTTATAATTTTTCAGTTGAAAACTCATTCGAATCAACTCTTCTAACTATTTATAAAGACACACTGAAACATCATCATTCACATATACGAAATAGAATCAAACTCTCAAATAACTCTATTTCATCATTCGAAAAACCCATCACTAAACAAAAGTTTGAAATTTCGAATAATCCAATTAATGTATATGAATATAGATTCAAAGAAATTTCGAAAGAAATCAAAACGGAATATTCAGAATCAATTGATATTTCATGGATTAGACTTGATCTAAAAGGACATAAATTGAAGCCAAGTTCTTATATTTTGTCATCGAATTGCACAGATAGTTATCATCATCATCTTTTGAGATATTGGAGGTTAGAAGGTATAAAATCTGATGGATCTACAGTTGTATTAGATAATAAAGATTATGCGTTTAAGAATAATGAAACCAAAGAATTTCCACTCCAAACAAACGACTATTTTGTTGCATTCAAACTCATTCAAACAGAAAAGAATCAATATTGTATAGATATTCCAGTTTTTGATTTCAAGGGTGAACTAATTAAAATATAAAAATTTTATTATGATTTTTATTTTAGCTATTAGATCCACTTGAATATATAGACTATCATCTAATGTGCCATCCCTCATTGATAATGCAATAAGATTATTCCTTTTATTAATGTTCCTTTATTATCAACCATGCATCATCATAAAATTTTTGATTCTAATATTAATCCAGCATATTTTTCATTTTATATGACTTTTCATCCAAATATCACCGTCAAATCTAATAACCTTATTTTTAAATTTCACATGTGGGTCAAATGCAAAGGCAAGTATTCTATGTATTCTCTTCCAGAGCCAATGAAATTATTATCCAAATACAGTTACTATATCTGGAATATTGAACATCAAACAGTTGATGAATACGTCGAAAGAGCAAATAAGGCCATTTCTTTCAACGTTTATCCTTATCAAGTAATCTTTGCTCAATTAAATAGATTGATCGATGTTAGACCACGCTATACTAAAAAGATTTGCGAAATTGCAAAAAAGATAATTCTTCTGCATGATGGCGTTGTTTATAACAATTTACACCCTGTCATCGGCTATGTCATCAAAGATGACGTTAAGCTGCCAGACAAGCTTTTGAAGTATATTGAAAAACATAAAGAAGAAATCGAAACCGAAATCGAATCAGGCTTTAAGAAGGGCACACTCGATCATGCTATACTTTGGGATGATATTGACGAGTTCAAAACTCTTTACTTCCAACAAGCCAAAAATCCAGATGAAATTGAACCGGAAGAACCAATAATTGAGAGAGACGAAAACGGCAAAATTATCAGAGCAGGTAATAACAAGTCCGGATTCATATTTTATCCAAGCGAAGAGCTGGCAATTTCAATGGTTGAAGATATCAAGCAACACAACGCCGAAATACTGGCCAAAAGAAAGGCCAAACAAGAAGGAGGGGAAAATGCTCCTCCACCAGCTCCTAAGGAGCCATCTCCAGAAGATTTAGATCCCGAACTTTATATCAGCCCAGAAGATGAGAAGAAATACATCAAAAGAGATCCAGAGGGAAAGATATTCCGTCTTGGAACAAAAGAAACCGGCTACAGGTTTTATCCAACGAGAAAAGAAGCAGTTGAATTTATTAGACGCGATAAAGAAGCTTTAAAGCTTTTCGGAATGCTCCCAAACCATCAAGATGATGATGACGATGATGACGACGATGATGACGACGATGATGATTACGAGGAAGAAGAAGATTTTGATGAAGATGACAATAATCCATTAGATCTTTCTCAAATTGACATCGAAGCAGGCGCAAACATGTTCAGCATTGATCCAGAACAGTTCCGCAACATAATCCAAATGATTGCTCAAGAACATCAGCAACAAAACGGACAAAGAAGAAGACGTCATCATAGAAGGCAAGAATACGATGACGATGAAGAAGAATACGATGAAGATTCTTGGATGATCCGTAAAGTTGATGAACAAACAGATTCTGACGAAGATATCGAATATGATCCATATGATTTCGAAGAAGATGATGAAGTAGACAACGAAATGGACAATTACGACCTTATGGATAAGGCCGCTAGGTACGGAGCCACTAAAATCTTCTTCTTTTTAAGAGAATATTGTTTCCCACACGAAGGAATCTTGCAAAGTGCCTGCTGCAGCAACAAAATAAAGATTGTTAGCCATATACTCGATTGCGAGGCAGGAGATTTGCATTCTTATTGGGGAGACGATATTGCATATTACGGCTATCGCGGAATGATGTCGGAACTCGAACAAATGATTGCATTCACACCATACGATTTAATTACGAACCTTTTGGTCGATGTTTACTTCGAATATTATACAATGACAGGACGCATCGACAATCCAACCTTCGGAGTTGGCTTTACAGCACTCATGGGAGCCGCTGAAGTAGGAATGGTCAGTTTAATGGACTTCCTTGTTTCAGAGGGAATGGATATGAACCAAAGAGACGAAATCAGCGGCGGAACGGCCCTCCACTTCGCTGTAAAGGGCAACCAGCCATCAGCAGTTAAATGGTTGGTCGACCACGGTGCAAAGATTTTGAAGAATTCTGCAGGTTTGACACCATTGGCACTTGCGGTGCAAGCTGATTTCAAAGAAATAGTCAATATTTTATCTGCGAATCTTGAAGGAACAATAAAGATATAATTTACTTGTTGAATTTAATAAAATCATAAAATCTTTTCTTTGTTTTGATTTATTTGGCCAATAACTATTTATATTCAGGATCTCGTTTAGAGATCAACTGCATTTCAAAAAAATACATTACAAATCATACCTCAAAAATCTCACACATATGAGGGAACTGTTATTTCTACCTTTGATTCTTATGATCCAAGGCTCACATTTGCTTCATTTAAGAGAAGAAGTTCATCTACTTCTATACTATTATTTTTTGCTGCTTGATGAAGAGCAATTTCTCCTTCAGTATCTTTTTCATTGAAAATTATACTACCCAGATTTTCCTTACTTTTACCACCCCTCTAAAGCTGGGAACACCGCCTATCGTTGGGAGTAGCTATTAAATAGAACCACCAAGGGTATTTTTCGAACTGCCGGTGTAGTGGAAACATCCGACATAATGATTCATTATGCCAAGGTTTGATTCCCATTTAGCCATTTTTTTTCTTTTTTGGATCATGAATTTTTTTTTGGGTCACTATAAGATTTGTTTCATGTTCTAAATCTGCTGCATATGTAATCTATTTTTATTTACCTATTTTTTAAAAATCTATTGGATTGCCAAATTTGAATATATTTAAAATCATAAAAATCCAAAAAAACTATAAATATATGTTTTATGCATAGTGCCGATACTCAAATATCAGATTACTTAGATCCATGAATAATATCCGAATTTTTTTTCTTAAAATTAAACTTCAAAACTTCTTGCAATCTTATTCTTCATCAATTGTAAATTTTTAAAACCATTTTTTAAAATAATTTTGCGTAAATTTTATTCTCATGTTGTTTTAATCGAAAATTGATACATTTTCAAAAAAATAATATTGACTTATGAAATTCATTTTTAAGGTGAAATAGTATTGTTTTTATTAAAGTATATGAATAATATATAAAAAATTAATGAATAATATAAGCAGATTTTTAGTTTACAAAACAAATATGAGCAATGCAATTTCAAACTTTTGCTGGCAATTTCGATATTGCTCAAGTTTGTAGTATTTGTGATACCTATAACATCGGCTTAATCAAAATTCGATTTTTCTTATGAGTTATTGAGAAAATTTGATTGCAATGAGAAGGATTTCGACGTTTTTGATAAACTAAGAGCTGAGCTTTAGGGGTTCAGTTCATTTATGGCTGTAGTTTGATGCGTAGATCTCTTTTTTATTGTAAATTCTTTCAGCATGGAGATCGAGAATGAATCTTTTGAGAACTTTATGAGTTTTTACACCCGTAAAGAGGTCCTTCGAGGAAAGATAGTCCAGACTACATGAAGATGTGGGTTAACCAAAAAAATCCGATGGTTTCCCCATATTCATGTAGATCTTCGAAAAAATGAGCACCAAAAAAGCCAAAAAAATAGGCTTTTTATTGGATTTGTACACTAGATAAATAATCTATTTAGGATCTGACACTCTTGTTAGCCAGAGATATGAGGTCCTTTCTAGGAAAACGATCTATTCATCCATAAAAAAAATGAATTATCGTTTTCCCCAGAAATTACATGGGGAGTGGTAAAAGTAAGGAAAATCTGGGTATGTGAAAGAAGAAGTTCTCTTATTTCTTTATTTCTATTTTCTGCTGATGATTGAAGAGCGGTGTTTTCATGTGAGTTTTTTTAATTGAAATTTGCACCATGTGAAATAAGAAATCCAGCTACTTCTTTACTATTATTTTGAACTGCATAATGAAGAGCTGTATATCCGTAATTATTTTTTTCGTTGATATCTGCACCATGGGAAATAAGAAGTTTAGCTACTTCTATACTATTATTATATAAAGAATACGAACATAAAGCACACGTTGATATTAATATTAGCTACAGAACGAAGATTCATTTTCAACCATAAAAAAATAATACAATTTCCTTTCAATCCCTTAATGCATTATATTTTATATATATATAAAAAAGAACAAATAAAAATACATAATACAAATATTAGAAGAAATCATCATGTAAATCGCTAAGCATCTTTTCCATTTCAGACAATGAACTTGCATAAAATTTATTACTTTCTTCTACAGGCGTGAAGAGTTCGCCATCTTTTGTCTTTATCCAACCACTTGCTTCTTGTTTTGGTCTTATGCACTGGAATATTGATTCACCGAGTGCCATTGCTATCCTCTCCTCTTCAGGGTTCTCTGGTTCAGGCGGCAGAGGCTGTGGCATTATATTTACCTGAGAAATTTGGAGTGTTTTTGCAACAGCGTCTTCCTGAGCAGAAGCAGCAGCAGCATTCTCTATCTTCTGTTCCGCGCATGGCTTTACTTTTATTATCAACTCATTCAGTATCACAGGGGCTCCACATTCGATGCATGCCGCGTTTCCTTTCATGCATTGCGTGATCAGTTTCAAAGGATCATTTGTACATGATGTACATTTCGGAGTCAAAGCAAATGTCTGGTCAAACAACTCCCTCTTGATGTGCTGCTTGTCAAGCAACTGATACAATACTTCGAGAGGATCTTTGCTTTGAGCATAACATAATGAAAACCAAGTTATGGGCGTGGAGGGCGGTTTTTGGAAAACTGGTCGGATAGAAATTTTAGATTTAGAAGATTGTGGGATAATATAGAACATGTACTTGTCTCCGAATGAACTGGGAAGTACTTCAGTCGTGTCGTCGATGATTATTGGAACATTTGAATCTTGCATCTGAGGAATGAAAACTCCGTATGGAAATGCATCGCCACGCTTAGAGGGAGGAACAAGATTGAACTCGACACCTTTAGATTTGTTGGCTGCACATTGTAGAATCTGAAATTGGGGCTTGATGTTTTTTACGGGCGCAAAAACCGTCGGACAAGAAGGATTTGCGAAAAGTCTGTAGAATTTACCGTCTTCGCCCTGTCGGAATTGCTCGGCGATGTACATGGCGTACTTTACTGCATTGGGAATTGATTTGTAGACGTTGTTTGCAAAGTATTCGAGAAATGATTTGATTTCGCAGCGTTTTACGTTGTATCCGAATACTCTGTAGTATAGTTTGCTCTTTTCGCCCATTCCTGTGATGACTCTGGTCAGTTCGCTGATCTCATTCGTGTTCATTCCGATTTGATTTTGAATTTGCGGCTGGATAGGGGGTTGTATCTGTTCTGGAGCAGGAGGAAGTGGTGATTCTGCGATGTCTGATGGAGCTGCGTGTTTCTTTGGTTTCCTCTTGTTTTGGTTCATTTGATTTGATTTTTGCTTCTTTTGTGTGGGCATTTGAGGCGGTTTAGGAGGTTGCTGCTGAGCTTGTTGAGGTGCTGATGGCTGTGGTTGCTGCTGTTGCTGTTGTTGTTGCTGTTGCATCTGTGATAAAAGATTATGTGTGGAAGTATTTTGAACTTGGCTTTGCATTTGGTTCTGTAATGAGTTCTGCATTTGCATTTGATATTGGTATTGGTTGTTTTGTGGCATTTGCATGCTAAATTGAGATTGCATAAAATTCGAAGCATTCATCATTTGTTGGTTCTGTTGTGCCATGTCAGGACCTGCCATAGATGACAGAGACGTATTTGATGCACTCCTGCTCATTGTAGAAGCATCAAAAGTTTGTGATTGTTGCGGTTGTGCTGGAGAATTTTCTGGATTTTGAGAAACCATCTTTCCTGGCATCATCTGCATCTGATTCATCTGGTTTTGTTGGTTTTGGTGAGGTTGCATCATATTTTGCGTTTTCATTGACATTTGGTTCATTTGATTTTGCTGATTTGGTGGGAAACCGTATGCATTCATGAACGCCATCTGGTAATTTTTTAATTGATTCTGGTACATTTGCTGAAAATTCATATTTTGCATTGGCTGATTTTGCATTTGTCTGTATTGTTGTTGCTGGTTCTGATACATCTTTAATTGATTCATTTGGAAGTTCTGGTACTTCTGATCTTGATGACTCATAAACTTCCAAATGCGCAAAAAACGTGACAATTTTAAACATCATGAGTTTTATTCTTTTATGAATATGATAATTAAATATTTGTAGATATCTATTGTAAAACATTACAAAACGCCATGGGATTTGGAAAAAAAAGCTAAATGTTTTCCGTTGAAAAGGGTTATCTCAAAAGATAATTTAGGAGAAGAAAGTTTGAACAATTCGTTTCATTACAGATTCATAATGTAAAAAAGGTGGACTCGATAAGATGCTGATAGAAAAAAAAATTTTTATTAAAAAACAAGTATGATATAAAACATTTTGAGGAGTTATTGTCCTGCATTTTGTAGTATTTGCTGTATTAAGCGGACGTCTTGTTCACTTTCAGCTGAAGATAAGCGAATTTTTGGTTCTTCTGGCTGTGACATACGTGTGCGGACCTGTTGTTCGTTATGGATATCCGGAAAAGTAATTCCGTTTTGGGCTATGAACTGTCCGTAATCTTTATCCATTAATTCTTTGAGTTGAGAGGTAACTGTATTATAAGACTGGTGGTACGACTTAATAATTCTTTCGAAAAGAAGCTTCTTGTAATCTTCTTGCTGTTGTAAGATTCTTTCTTTTTCTTTTGCTGCTTGTTTTTCGATTATTTCCTTTCTAAGGTTTAACCTATCTTGTGCTTGTTGTATTCTCTTGGTTTTTATGTCATTTATATAAGTTTGGCAAGCTTTTTGATCAGGATTTTCTCCATTCTTGAGTTGAAGCCATTCTTGCTCTAATTCGACTAGTGCTTGCTTATAAGCATTAAATTCAATCCGCTCGAGATCAGATAAATTGTCAGGAACTGGGATTTCAGATACACTTTTGAAGCTGTTTGTCATTTGTCACTTTTCTATTTCTAATCAGGATAACAAGAATGTTGAAAAATAAAGCATAAGCAGTATATTGAAATGAAAATTATATTTACAAAATAAATGAACAATAAATAAAAAAATAAAATATAAAATCTTAAATTTCTGGTGGAACAAGAGATGTTTCCATCAACTGGATACCCATCTTCTTAATCTTAGCTATCTTCTTCTTGATTTTAGTCATCAAAGCATTCTCCTTGCTCTGAATCATGACCATTTCGTTCTGAATGTCTCTGTATCGAGTTTCAATGGCTGAAATATCATCACTAAATGTTAATGGAATTGTTCTTGTTGTGTGATCTGTTCTTCTCATGGCATCAAATTTAACTTTGCGTTGCGTTATTCTCATAAGCAATCTGTTATTGATTTCTTCTAAATCTCTCACTGTTGTTTCTGAAACTAACTTCTCAACTTTCTCAAATCCTTCGTCGGTAAATCTTTCTTCGTGTTTAAGCAGTTCAATCTTTTCACTGAGGTTCGCTGCTTTCTCCCTGTTGTCATCGAGTTGTCTGCAGAGAGCTTTGACGTTTGGAGGAGGAACATGACCACCTTCAACTGTCTTTCTCTTTAACATATCTTGGATACATTTTTGATCTTTGATTTTGGCTTTCAATTTCTTAATTTGCTCATGACATTCGTCTGTTTGTTGTTCGATTGTTTCTAACATTGATTTTCTCTGGTCAATGCTCTTTTCGTATCTTATCCTTTCTCGTGTTGCCGCTGAAGCTGCACTCATTCCTGTATCTGGGCAAACAATAAGCATTCTTCTTTCCAAGTCTTCCTGCATCAATCTCAATCTTGTGCTCTTTTGTTGTGCATTTCTTAAAGTCTCCTGTAAATGAGGGAAATGGAATTGATATACCTTCTTTTGTTGCTCATTGATAAATACATGTGATAATATCTGAATGTTGTTCTTGATTTCAGCATCTTGTGCTTCGAGATTCGACATTCCAAAGTCTGTTTGGATTTCGATTGACTCCTTAGGAACATTTCTATCAGGACTGTCATTTGCAGACATCGAGAAAACATCCAAATCTAGTTGAGGAGCTCCTTTGTTAAGTGATGATTGCAATTGCTTCAATTCCATCTTTGCTTTGATAATGGAATCAACAATTGCTGATAATTGCAAAGATTTGTCTGCAATCTCTACTTGCAATCTTGTTCTGTCTAATTGTGTTGTGATAGCGTTTTGTATCAAATTCCTTGTCCATCTGGAATCAGCGTTTCCTGTAACATATTCAGCCGGTGTTCCTGCAGCAACTTCTATTCCGTATCTGTCTTGAGCAAGCTTAGTAATTGTCAGCGATGGGTCTTCTTTTGGCTCTGGATCGCTATCAATAAGAGATTTTCGTTTTCTGTCGTTTTCAAGAAGAGAAAGATTTTCATCACTTGGATGACGTTTCCTTCGTTTTCTGATTGATGAGAATGGGTTCTGTTGTTTCTTTCTTGCTGTTACGACAACAGGAATTGCAAAAGCTTTGTGCTTGTAGTCAACTTCCTCTTCTTCTTCGTGTTTCTCTTCTTCTTCTTTCTTGTTTTCGTTGTCATCTCTGAATGATGATCTTCTAGAGCTTGGTTTGGAAACAGGTTTCTCTTCTTCATCATCTGAATAGAATTTATCTGAATAATAGACGTCATCTTCTTCTTCCTCATAAACATAAGTGTACTGTTCTTTTTCTTCTTGTTCCTTTTTACGTCTGATTGCATCGAAATCAGATACTTCTGTCCTCTTGTATGCAACAAATTGATTATCTGGATCAGTGAAATAATCATATTCATAATCAGAATAATCATCCTTCTTTCCGGTCCTTCTCCTGATCATTGGTTTTCCATCTTTCATGACTTTTGTTGCATGCAACCCTTCGTTGTCTGTAAATTCTTCGTATTCAACTTCGTTTTCTGGATCATCACTCTTGTAATGACCAAATTTATGCCTTCTTATCTTTGGCTTGTTATCCTTGCTGATCTTCTTTGTATGCAATGCTTCATCATCTGTCAAATATTCATAGTCACAGTCGGAATCTTTGTATGATGAAATAGGACGACGACGAATAATTGGTTTACCATCTTGATCAATGTGTGTAGTGTGTAATGCTTCATCATCAGTTGAATATTCGTATTCATATTCGCCTTCACTATTTTTATCACCTTTAGTGTATCTGATGAATGGTTTGCCATCTTTCTCAACATGCGTTTTGTGCATGGCTTCATCATCACTCAAATATTCGTAGTCGTATTCGCCGTTGTCGTTCTTATTCAAGTTCTTTCTTCTCCTGATCATTGGTTTTCCATCTTTCTTCACTTTCTTTGCGTGAAGTCTTTCGTCATCTGTAAGATATTCGTAGTCGTATTCATCATCACTGTTCTTCTTTAAATTCTTTCTTCTTCTGATGTAAGGCATTCCATCTTTAGTTACTTTTGTTGCATGGAGTTCTTCGTTATCAGTAAATTCTTCATAATCGAATTCACCTTCATCATTTTGTTCTAAATTCTTGCGTCTCCTGATCATTGGCTTGTCGTCTCTAACAAATTTTGTGGCACGAAGTTCTTCATTATCTGTAAATTCTTCGTATTCGATATCATCTCTTCCATCTTTATAATGTCCGAATTTTCTTCTTCTGATCATTGGTTTCATTTTGGCTTCTTCCATCTTCTGAATTGTGTGTAATGCTTCATCATCGGTTGAATACTCATATTCATACTCACCATCACTGTTTTTATTTCCTTTCGTGTATCTGATTAATGGTTTGCCTTCTTTCTCAACTTTAGTCTTGTGCATAGCTTCATCATCACTAAGATATTCGTAGTCGTATTCACCTTTATCATTCTTATCTAAGTTTTTACGAAGTCTTATCATTGGTTTTCCGTTTTTCTTGACTTTTGTTGCATGAAGTTTTTCGTCATCTGTAAATTCTTCGTAGTCGTATTCGCCTTTGTCGTTCTTTTCCAAGTTCTTTCTTCTTCTGATCATTGGCTTTCCATCTTTAATGAATTCTTTGGTATGGAGAGCTTCATCATCTGTAAATTCTTCGTATTCAACTGGATTTTCGGGATCGTTGTCTTTGTAATGACTGAATTTACGTCTTCTGACAATTGGCTTTCCATCTTTATCATATTTCTTTGTATGCAATGCTTCATCATCTGTCAAATATTCATAGTCACAGTCGGAATCTTTGTATGATGAAATGGGACGACGACGAATAATTGGTTTACCATCTTGATCAATGTGTGTAGTGTGTAATGCTTCATCATCAGTTGAATATTCGTATTCATATTCGCCTTCACTATTTTTATCACCTTTAGTGTATCTGATGAATGGTTTGCCATCTTTCTCAACATGCGTTTTGTGCATGGCTTCATCATCACTCAAATATTCGTAGTCGTATTCGCCGTTGTCGTTCTTATTCAAGTTCTTTCTTCTCCTGATCATTGGTTTTCCATCTTTCTTCACTTTCTTTGCGTGAAGTCTTTCGTCATCTGTGAATTCCTCGTATTCAATGTCATCTCTTCCATCTTTGTAATGACCAAATTTGCGTCTTCTTACATATGGTTTCTTCTTCTCTTCATCAACATTATGTGTTGTATGCAATGCTTCATCATCAGTTGAATATTCATACTCATATTCATTATTTTCATTCTTATCTCCTTTCGTGTATCTGATTAATGGTTTGCCTTCTTTCTCAACTTGAGTCTTATGCATAGCTTCATCATCACTAAGATATTCGTAGTCGTATTCACCTTTATCGTTCTTATCTAAGTTTTTACGAAGTCTTATCATTGGTTTTCCGTTTTTCTTGACTTTTGTTGCATGAAGTCTTTCGTCATCTGTAAATTCTTCGTATTCAACTGGATTTTCGGGATCGTTGTCTTTGTAATGACCGAATTTGCGACGTCGGATAATTGGTTTCTTTTTGGAATCATCAACTTTCTTTTTGGTGTGCAATGCTTCATCATCTGTGAATTCTTCATATTCAACTGGATTTTCTGGATCTTCTTCTTTGTAATGACCAAATTTACGTCTTCTGACAATTGGCTTTCCATCTTTATCATATTTCTTTGTATGCAATGCTTCATCATCTGTCAAATATTCATAATCAGAATCATCATCTTTTTCTTTCTTTTCTTTTCTCTTTCTTATCAATGGCTTTCCATCTTTAACAACTTTCTTGATTCCTGTAATTTTCTCAATAACCATTGTCTTCAAAGACATATTGTTTTCATCGGTTTCTTTCTTCTCTTCATTAGCATCTTTATCAGCTTCTTTCTGATCATCTTCTTTATTTTCGAGGTCTTTTTCTTCAATGTTTTTGTCTTTGTCTTCATTAATTTCTTCTTCTTCGTTTGGTTTGTTGTTTTTGTTAGCTTCGGAATCCCAAGTTCCGCTGCTTGAGTTTTCTTTGTGTTCTTCCTCTTCTTCGTTAGCATTTGCAGCAGCATTTGAATCTTGGTTTTCACTGTCAGCGTAATGAGCTTTGATTGTCTTTGATTTAATTGGTTTTGTTGATGATGAATGTTCCGTTCTTCTTTGATTCATGTCATCTTCTGGTGTACTTTCTGTTAAATCTTCTTCTTTGATAGGAGTTAGCTCTATCCTTTCTCCATCTTTATCGATGTAGAAATATCCGTCTTGATCTTTCTTGACATCAATTTTTTCATCGTCTGTATTGAAATAATCGTCACCTTTTTTAGAGATCAATTTTCCATCTGGATCGAGGAAATTGTCTATTAGAGGTGCGTTATCGAACACAAGACGTCCATCGGAATCTTTGACCATTTTGAGAGGTCCATCAGATAAAAATTCTTGACTTGGTTCTGATTCATCAGAATTATTATGTGATGTTCTCATATTTATGCTGTCAACTTCAGTAGGAGTATGTGCTTGATGTGAATCACTTTCCATGCCACTTAATCCTAAGAAATCTGATGGAAATTCGCTCGATCCGACATCACCAAACTTTTTATGCCTTCTTTCTGCTTCGCTGAGAGCTTCTGACACTTGTGCGCTTGTATTCATTTCGTCAAGTGTCGGGGGTAAGAAGGCACCTTGGCTCTTTGTGTAAGCGTGTTTCGTAATTGGCTTCTGAGAGAAAGGAATGAAAAAGTCAACTGATGAAATCTTTCCTTTGTTCTTGGAAAGAGTAGAGAGTCGGAGATTTCTCATTGAACTGGAAAGATTTGTGTTGCGGGCACTCTTAACAGGTGATGGTTCGATTTCTGCTGGTCTTTGAATGGATTCGGACTGGAATTTCGAATTATTAATATTCTCAAGAGTATTTCCGAGAGTTAATGATGTTTGGCCGTCGGATTGATAAAGTCCTGAGACAATATTTGATAACATTGTACTCTTTTGTGTTGAAAGTTGCAATGATTTCGATGTATTTGATAAATTATTTGGAGAAAGAATGTCATTCAAATGATTGACAAACGGATCAATTTCGCCAAGCATGTTACCTACACGATCACATGTCTCAGCTGGAGTGACGGCTTGATCTAAGCACTTTTTTTCTAATTCTGCTTGTAATTGCTTAGTCTTTTCGGCCTTTTTGTCAATTCTTTGAATCACATCCTTTAAACTTGGTTCACCGCGATATTTGTTTAATTGTTCAGTTAAATCGGCGTTTGTTTTTGATAATCCATTTTGAATCTCTTGAAGCTGGCCGATTTGCCTTACCATAGCTTCGTATTTCTGCTTGGTCTGATTTGTGTCATTGAAATCGTTTTTGATATTATGAAGATCATAAAGTACGTTTCTTATTTCCTTTTGCATATTTTCATTGCAACTTCCATCTTTCTGACCTTGTACCTGTATGTGATACTTATTATATCTGTGTTTTGCTTCATGATGAGCTCTGAAAGAATTTTTCATTATCGCAGGATATTTCTTGAGTGTATTGCGTAGATTTCGATACATTTCTTGATGTTTTTTGATTGCTTCAAGTAACTTCTCGTTATCGTTTTTGACTGATTCTTCTGTTTGAGAGAGATGAGTTGAATAATTTTGGTATTCTTCATTCTCATTCTTTAAATCCTCGATAATTTGATGTAACTTCTTCCGTTTCTCTGTTTCCGACACCTTCTTCCCCTGCTTTCGACTCTCCGCTTTAGGAGGGCGAAAAAGGGCGGAATTCATAATAAAAAAATTTAAACAATAACGACAACAGGTTTTGCATTATATGAATGCTGATTGATTATCATTAAGAAATCTTCATTAATTAGCCCTAAGGCGGGTGATTTTTCTTCACTTATATATCAAACTCTATGTAGTAAAAAAAATATTGAAATTGAAGTAAAGGTTTTACTGCTTGTATAATATTTTCTTATTGGACAATACAATACAAAATGAATATTAGGGTCTGGATGATGAATCTAAGATATTCGTGAACATTTATATAGTATATAACTGTAATTGATAATTTCAGTAAGATTTTAAAAAAAGTATCTTCTGATGAGCTTTTACAGAATAGTAATTAATTGCATTTAAACGAAATTGTATTTTGATAAAATTTAATGGAGCACTTACAATTTTCTGACAAGTTCTCACAAAATCAACAAATCCTGTTTTAATTGTAAATATTATATTAACCACATTCGGTACAACATGGTAGTTTTTCAATACTTTTTACAGACAGAAAATATCAGCCATTCACCTTAAGGGATCACTGCCTTAGTTTACAACTATTCAATTTTTAACATTTGCTTTAAAAATGGTATAACAACAAAGAATTGGCAACCAATATTATGAAATATATAATCAATGATACAATACTATCTTATGTGCAAATTTTCGAAAAAAGTATTCAAATATCTAATGTGGTGAAGCGCAGAAAGACCTCTAGATTTGGGTTGTTGACTTTTTTCAATAATGAAGATATAGACTCTTAATCATATTTAAACATATTATTTCAATAAAAAATGAACATCGGATGGACCAATTTTGAGAAATCTTGATCAGCGGGCTCTCAGGGAAAACTCCAATGTTTAAGGTTTTGATCAAATCTCTTCTTTTTGATATCTGAAACGACAAATAGGTAGATAATGGTATGGACATGTTATGGTCATGCTTATGCAGAATGATATCTATTCTATCAAGAGAAAATAGACCTCGAAGTGTCGAAAATTGAATAGTTGTAAACTAAAGCGGTGATCCCTTAATCATTTGAGACATAAGGTGAGAGATGTCAAAAAAAATGAGAGAATGTCAGTAAGTGGTAATGCACTCTTAAAATAAAAAGACGATTAAGAAAGAGGAATTTAAATATTCTTTATGATTTATTACTTTATACAATTTAACAAAAAATAAAATTACTTTTTTGGACCAAAAGGATTATTCGTTGCACCAGCGCCACTAAATGGGTTAGATGCGAAAGCGCCGCCTCCAGCAGGTCTGGCACCAAATAGAGTAGATGATCCTGCTGTATTAGTTCTGTTTCCGAAAACACTTCCGCCACTACCAGCCCAAGGTTTATTAGCGGTACTTGCAGCTGTTGTTGTTCCTGTGGTAGTAGATGTAGCAGATTTAGCACCGAACTTTGATGCTGTTGTGGTACCAAATACTGACTTATTTGTAGTAGTAATTGGTGTTGTAACTGATTCGAAGCCAAACCATTCACCGCTTCCTTTGTTCTTCGGGCCACTCTTGGTCTTGTTCTGGGAACTAAACGATGAAGCTGCTCCTGCTGTTGCTCCTGCAGCTGGTGTAGATGTTGCAGAGCTTGCTGGTTTAGCTGGTGATGCAAATACTGATGTCTTGGATGCGCCGGCGTTGAATGGTGATGCTCCTGCGGTGGGTGTAATGGATGGGGGCTTGGCTGTAAAATTGACCTTTTTATCGGCTTCGGCGGTTGAGGAAGTTCCCTCGGCGTTAGATGGCACTTTTTCTGTATTTGAAGGTGTTTTATCTGTGGCTGCTGCTGTATCTGTATTTGATGGAGTTTTTTCTGTAGTTTCTGCTTTCTTTCCAAATGAAAATCCACCTGGTTTCGCTAAAGTTGAATTTTCTGCTGGTTTAAGACCTGTACTTCCACCAAGTGGAGTTGTTGGCTTAATTCCAGTACCTGTACCAAGCGAAGTTGGTGGTTTAAAACCTGTAGTTCCGCTAAGTGGAGTTGATTTAAGTCCTGTATTTCCACCAATTGAAGGAGTTTGTGACTTAAGACCTGTATTTCCGCCAAGTGGTGTTCCTGTTGGCCTAAATGCAGGTTTAGCAGGACCGCCGATCGCAGGAGCTCCGGCTGGTTTAGCGATGCTAGAAATTCCACCTGAAAGAGCTGGTTTAGCTTCTGGCTTATCTTGCGCTGTAGCAGATAATGAAGTAGAGCCTGAAGATTTTGAAAGTCCGCCTAATGATGGAGCTGCTGGGCCTACCTTGATTGTAGAACTACTGATGCCACCTAATGATGGTTTGTTACCAGTAGCTCCTTTATCGTGTGAAAATCCTGGTGGTTTGTTGGCGCCAATTCCAGAAAGTCCGGCAGTTGGCTGTTTCGAACCAATTCCGCTTGAGAATGATGGCTTTTGGGTAGAAATACCTGAAGCCTTTGTTTGTTTATTATTGTTCGATGGTTGAGAATTATTCACGAATTTATTGTTTAAATCTGATTTTGGTGAAGGAAAATATGAAATAATACGTTCGTTATACATCGTTTGTAAGAAATCTCCTTCATTCGTAAGCATATCTGCTGATGTAGATTTTGGAATTTCTCCTTGCTTTTTATTACCCCAGGATGTACTTCTACTCATAGTATAAGGATGCCAGGGAAGTTTCTTTGTGGTCTGCTCGTTATTAACATTATTGTTACTTAGCTCTTGTAATTGGAATTCTTCAAAACTCAACATCAGACACAAATTATTTGCTGAACGATTATTTTAAATTCAAATTTCATTAGCAATAAAATGAAACGTCATAGATACATTAGATAATGCAAATTTTATAATTTTTAACTGCAAACACACCCGTAAATATTTGGAATAAAGATTTTAAAATCTGTCACTTTTTTGCTCGTTTGAATGGGAGATCGTGTGCATTTTAGCAGTGCCAGTGAACTTCTACGCGAGCATACATTTGAAGCTGAACGTCTCATGGAACTTCACACATTCCATGATGCGAAAGAAAGACAATTGGCGAAGCTGAAACAAGAAGAAAAGGAATTACAAGCTATTCTCGCAGAACAAAAAGATTTAATTACTATATTTGGAGCTTCTGTTGGTGCTTCTTCAGAATCTTTTGGTGATATTCCAATTATTTCAGGAACTCAAACATATGATTCGTTATATACTCAATCAAGAAGTGCGCGTGACAGAAATGAGAAATTAACGAAAGATAGAAACATTTATCCTAGTGATTCCGCATCAAACTTATTCGCAGAATTTGATACTCAATTAGCACATCAACCAGCAGGAGACATGGCAAATCCTAACGCAAACACGCATCCATCACACGCGTTTGCCCAATCAAGGCAAAATTATTATAATAAATCTCCAATCGATTTAATTTTACAAGATTTACAAGAAACTCAAAACTTTCAGCAATTTTTCGAAAAGTATCCACTCGCCTTAATGTCATACTGCACTTTATTCGTTGATGATAATCAAAGATTCTCAGGACTTCCAACAATTATTGAAGGATGGGAAATTCCTGTCAGGCAGCAGTTTTGCCAAGCATTCATTGCAGACTGCCGTCATCTTGCCGCATTTCAGCAGCTTATTACCGACATGTACAACGTTCCTACGATATGCGAAATGACATCTCTTATTGAGACTCGAGTACCCATATTCTACAATTGTCCACGTGCATTTTTCCTAAAATACGAGCAGTCTACCGACGAATTAGTCTTCCTTAAGGAAAAGATTCAACTAAGATTTCCTCTGAAGCAAGGAATCTTCCAGCGAGCCATTGTTTCACAAAATCCAATCGAATCCAATTCAGACGACCCAGAAGTCAGCCAATCTGATACCCCTATCATCCAAGAAAACAAGAAAATTTTCATTATGCCCGTTCTTTCCGTTGTTTCTCAATACCAAGTTGAAGGAATCTTGTGTTTGTTCGATAAAGTTGGCGGAATCAAAGATCGCGATTACCTGACTACATCCATGCTTGCAAGATCAATTGCTTTGATGATTCCCGGCCTGGAAAAATCGGAATTATCTAGAAAAAGAACGCAAGCATTCCAACAAGCTGTTTACAACTATGTTTCATTGTGTACTGCCAGCGAAATGTCTTCTATTGTTGACCATATCTTTACTTCTTTCACGGATTTCTTCAATTGCGAATCAGTGAAATTATTCAAAGTTTCTGTTGAAAAAAGTGTCGTCAGAGAATTGACGAAATTTGAAACTTTAGAAGATCCTATTCCCATCACAGGCATTGTTGGAACAGCCATTACATACAGGCAGACAATTAATTCCACAAAGCCACAATTCTCTGAGCATTATGATTCTGTTATTGATTGTTATGATGAAAATTCTTTTTCTTCTTCACTTTTGGTGTCTCCTATTTTAGATTCATCGAAAGTATATTGGGCCGTTGTATTGTATAACAAGAAGGAATTGCCTTCTTTTACGGCTTTGGATGAAGAAGCTTTGACAACGATTTGCGCCCATATGTTGCCAATTCTTCAATCAGCTTGGAAGAATAAGAAATTAAAGAAGACAATCGCAGAATCAAAGCAACAAGTGGGACAAGCTGAAGCATTAACTGATGTTATTGCTAGTCTTAAATCCCCTACAGATCTAATGACAATGATACAAAGAATGAACAAGTTTTTCAGAGAAAACACTCACTTCACTTCTGTTTGTTTATATACTGTTGACAGGTTTAGAAACGAATTATTTGATAAATACAGTGAAGAAATCGATGTCATCTCTTTGAGTGCTGATCATCCTGCTTCTAAATGCTGTAAAACAGGTTCTGTTGTTGAAGTTGAAGATAACGTTGACAACACGAAAACTTTGTATTTCCCAGTGTTGAATACTAATTATTCTGTTATTGGTGTACTTAAATTTGGTGGAGAAGAAAAGACTGCACAGATATTACCATCAAAACCTTTGCAAAGCCATTCAAATAATGAAGAAAGACGTAAATTTATTCCTCCTCAAGCATCATCACTTTCTATTTTGAACACGTTTAGAACTTCTATTTCTAGTGGTCGTTTATTGAGTTGGACGAATGCGGACAACAACAATAACACGAACAACGAAGAAGTTTCACAAGGATCTGTTCTAAAGATGGTGAAGATGTGGCAAAGAATTTGTGGATCAGTTCTCGAAGGAGCTTTGAAAGACATTTATTACAACAGGAAGAAGAAATTGATTGATTTTATAAATATCGCTTTATTCGAGAACCAATTCGATGCTTCCTTTAAAGTATGGCAAGAAGTGCAAATACTCATTGATGACTTTAAACCTTTACCAACATCAATGGTTGATATTACTTGCGCCCACATTCCGGACATTGTTTTTGCAAATACGGCGGATTTGACTGAGCGAACAATTAATCTTTTGAAAGCTTTGTCAAGTCTGAATGGTTTAGATGCAAGAGGATTTAGTTCATCGAACAAAGGAGTTCCGAAACCGAAATCACAAAGTTCAATGCCAATTATTAATGATGAGAGTGGTTCTAATGGCGAATTTCTTTCGACAACTGCCTTGGATTTCATGATTATGGATGAAGATGACATGTTGAAAGGAATCATGCAAACTTTCCGTGATCTTGGTGTTCTCCAATTTTTCGGATGCGAAGAAGAAACAGCTATGGAAGTTGTTTTGCAGATAAGAGCTTTGCATCCTCCTTTACCTTTCCATTCATGGAGATTGGCTGTTGATCACTTCCAGTACGCAACTTTCCTTCTTTTGTCAACAGGTTTCGTCAAATTGTTGAGTGAAGTTGAAATGGTTTCAATTTTGCTTTTCCTTTTGACACTTTATTCAGACCCTATCGCAATGGAAGGAGAACCATCCGTTGACCAAACAATATCATTCACTTTGGAAACAAGTGGTTTGTTCTCAACAGTGTCCAGTTTGTTCACTGCTTTCTCGTGGACTGATATGTCTCTTCTCCAAACAATGGGTGCTGAACAAAAAGCACAATTGTGGAGAACAATCGATGCTTTGGATTCTACTGGACAAATGGAATGTTTCGTTGGAGCATCTCCTTCTATTGTCTTGTGTGCATTGGCAAGGCAAAGTATCTTCCTTAGAGAAAGAGATGTCGCTGAGAGATGGGCGAAACTAAAAATGGATGAAGTTTTGGATCCATCTGAAAAAGAAGATTTGGTCGAATTGATGAAAATCCACTTGGAATTCGAACGAGATTCAATTGTTGTTCCAATATTAGAAGAAGCTGCTAAACTCGATGAATCAATGAAGGCTCTCATTTCAAGAGCAAATATTAATATGGGTTCAATTATTGGTGGATAATAATTTTGTTTTTTTTTGTAAATAATGTTTGTATAACTACTTTAATAAACTACTATCTCTTTTTTATTTATTAAGCTTAGTATCAGGCAAAGCTCTATAAGTAGCAATAACATTTAAAGATATGTGAATTTGAAAAAATCAAGCATAAGAGCTGTTTTGGTTTTAGATATGTAAGTTGTACTTACAACCAAATCAACTTGTTAAGGTATATAATAAGTTGATTCAGCATCAAATAATTCAATGAAAACGGTTATTTCATTTAAATTTGGCGGGGTTTTCAAACTACAAATATTATCAATGGATAGGGCATTTTCAAGGTGTTTGAAATATTAAAACGTCATTGCTTTATCATTATTAAAGTATAGACATTCAATAACAATCATGTTACCAATTGCTTAAATAATTGGATTTTAATCAACTAATTCTAAAGCATGAAAACATCGAGGAATGATAACAGTAATAATACTTGTAGGATTTTATTCGAAGATTTCATAAATACAAGAAAAATTCGATATAAAATAAATTTGCAAATTCATTTTCCCATGAAGATCTATATGAAAATTCAATGTGAATATTGACAAATATTATTTTATAGTTTTATACTGATCATCTTTCGTTTTAAATTCAAAATTTCGAAAATATATTTACAATGATATTGTTAGTTATATAAATCATTTCTATTTGAATAATATATCATTATTTTGAAATATATGATATAAATAATCATATCAAATATTATTTTCAAAATTGTCAGAATTTGAAGAAACAAAAATACATAAAAATCATTGAGATGCATTTTAAATTCATAAATGATATGTTTTGATAGCAAAAAAGTCGACCTTAACGTAATTCCTTTCAACTCTAGATTGTCTTTCAGAATATTAGGAAATCAATAATATTTGAGCATATAGTTTCCGATCTTATAAGGGAATTTTTTACTTTTTATCGTTTATGAACATCATTCAAAATTTCAATTGAATGGAGGTTCGTGTCAAATTTTTGGTATTTTTCCCTCAAATTTTTCTGATATCAATTGTTTTAAACTTTGTATAGCTATTGAGTTAATAGTTTTTCTACAAGAATTTTATTTTATGATATCACCAGAAAATTCTGAATATTGACAAATTTGAATTAACTCAATAAATTGAATTCAATTTCTGAACTCCTTTAAAAAAATACATGAAAAATACCATGCTTAATACAATAGATATTTTTTAATTTGAATGTGCAAAAAAGTTGATGAACTTTCTCAAATCACTTCATTTTTCTAAAAAGAAAACAATGTCGAGTGAACAAGCCTCACATATGAGCTTCTATGAAGCAGTTGAAAAGAGAAGAATGGTCTGTGACTTCCAAGATAAAGAAGTTCCAGAAGCTGTCTTGAAAAGAATTATTGATGCAGGTTTAAAGGCTCCAACATATGATCACCTCAGAAACTGGGAATTTATCATAGTGAAAGATCCTAAGGACAAGAAGCATGCTCTTCAATTCATTGAGCAATCAACACCTGCTCAGCTCAAGATTTTGGAAGAAACATTATCTAAAGGCTCAGCACAGGAGAAGATGTATTCAATTGCTATGCCAAGACAATATTCCATGCTTTATAATGCATCATATATTGTTTTTCCATTCTTCAAATCCACACCAGATCTCATGCATCCAACATGCGTCAGTTCATTAAACCCAATTTCCTCTATTTGGTGTGTAATTGAGAACATTTTCCTTGCTGCAACTGCTGAAGGTTTGGCCTGCTCTATGAGAATCCCTGTTGGAGAAGAAGGACCAAATGTCGCAAAGGCTATTGGCGCACCAGATGACTACCTCTTGCCATGCTATTTGGGAATTGGATATCCTTTGGAAGACAGACCAAAGATTGAGCAAATCCAATTCACAGCCGAACAAAAGGTGCACTATGGCAAATGGTAAAGATCTCAAATCAAGATGATTTGCTTTCAAACGAAAAATTCTGGTAAGATTAATAAATAAAGTTGAATTTTTCTCAAATTTTTATTGTTTTGATATCGAAAATTAACTTTGCTGCGAGGCATGAATTAAAGTAGGTATCTTTTGTTTTTAGTTAGCGCATTTGTACTGGATAGTATTAGTATTTCAATATTCTTTGTGCATCAGAAAATTCTAATATGACAGCCTTCTTTTTGATTTTTGACCATTCGAGTTTTGAATCTTTATATTATGTCATTTTTATATCATTATTATTAGATATGACTGCTGAAGTCATAACGAGAATTGATTTGTACAGATATTTCCAAGAGCCCTTGGTTTTGAATGATTAATTGATGCGAAAACATCTATGTATAAACTATTTAAAGTTAGTATATGCATATATGCCTTCTATGCTTCAAAATAAGGAAATTCAGATTAAAGATTGAGATGTTTTTCAAATTTCTTATATAAATAAGGTAAGCGACTTAATTGTGATTATAATTGTGTAATCTTTTCTTTTTCATGTAACAGAAAAGCTTTATATTTATTTGAGGGGGATACACTAAAAGTTTTTTAACGCTTGAATTAACCGTTTCAAGTTATTCATTACACAATGAGCGCTGACGACGTTAAGCAGGCTGAAATCGATGCCAAGACAACAGCTATCATTGCAGAAAATGGTGGTATCAATTACTTAAATGCAAATTATATTCACAACTTTGCTAAATCAGCAATTGGAGCTAATGATGCTATCCTTGCTCGTCTCCAACCAGATATTGATGTAGACATGAACGACCCAGCATGGCGTCGGGCTATGTGCGTCGCTCTTGCTTTTATCAAGCGCTACCACTTAGATGAAACACGCGAGACAATGAAACTCGAGTTCCCAGAGGAAAAGGGACTCCCATCTAAGACTGGATTCTCAAAGTCTAAGGATATTGAAGCTTTCTTCGATAAAATTGCCGTAGCTGTAGCAGATATGAAATCTCGTACATTCGAGAAGAATGTAGACTTATTTGCTGAAGAAGCAGGATTAGAACAGAATAAGCGCCCAACACGTGAAGGCCGCCGTGCAAGAGATTCAGTTCAAGAAAGCCCATCAACAGGCGGTAGCCGTGGATCCCACAGACATCATCGCTCCTCCTCTAGACAATAAACTTACATATATTCGATGCTTTGATGACTAAAATTTCCGTTATATTAAACTAAATAATAATCGCTTATTTTTTGGTTTCACATCTACTGATATATTTAGTTCATTACCTCAAACTGAACTAATATATATTTGGCTGCTTCTTTCATATCGATATTTGGAAAAGTAATTTCGTAATTTATTGATCACTACATGTAAAATTACGACATTTACTAGTTTATGAATATAAATTTAATAAAAGAATTCTATTTACTAATAGTTTGATAAATTTTTATTCAAAAATCGGCTGATATTGTATATATTTATAGGAGAAATATTTCTAATTATTTGTTTCTAGTCTATCTGTAAAAGGAAACAATCGATTTTATCCTTGATGTCCTCATGATTTTGGACAAAATTTTGTAAACTTCAGAATCTTAGTCCTTGATTATGAATAGTTATGAATTATATCAGAAGCTCATAGAAGCCATCAACAACAAAGCAAATGAAGAATTAGAAGACTCCTCACTACAAATTGATCCATCTCAAATCTGGGAATCTCTTTTCAAAATCGCAGAAACATCTCCACACATAATTCCACAATTCATTCAATTACTAACACGTCTTTCTTTTGCTGACGAATCACCAATTGTTGATTCACAAGTAAAATTACTCCAAGACGCTACAAATAAAGAAGATAAAGAAAAACAATTTGTCAAATTACTTTTATTGATCTCATTCATCGATGTTGATAATTCTATTACCATATTTGATCAATTGGTATCATATATAGAATCAGAATACAAAAATTTACCAAAAGTCCCAAAATTCTTAGTCGATTTTACAAAGAAATGCCATGTAGACGTTCAGCCATCCATTTACAAGATCTTTCTTAAGAAATTTGATGACACTTTCCTAGAAAATGAATTAAATCCAGCAATATCAACAGCATTTGCATTATTTGTTAATGACGAAAGCTTACCTATCAAAGACAAGATCATTAAGTTACTTACATCCAATGAATTGTGTAAAATTTCCGGATGTTTCATTTTGGCCACAAATCCATCAGTTTTTTACAAAGAAAGGAGATTACTCGATTACCTTGTCGAATTAGCATACTCTACTGAGCAGAATATCTCAAATGCAGCTCATAAAGCTCTTAGAGCGATTATTACTGATGAAGCGAACGAAAACAACGAATATATCGCTCAGAAATTCATTAAATCCTTTGATAAGTATACACCTGATACAGTTCAGTCATTTTTCAAGGTTTTACAGACATTATTAGAAAATACCAATAAAGCAACGATAAATCTCATCAATCAGATCTACCAGTTCGCCAAGAACCATCTTTCTGACCAATCCCCAGTCATTTCTGCTGAATCAATCTATTTACTCGCTGCAATTGGCCAAATTGACCCAATTTCCGTGTTGGAAGTATCAGACAAGGTCACAAACCAGTGCAACAGACTCCTTTCATCTGATTTCTCTGGCCACGCTGCATGCAGAATCGCTTCTTTCTTCGCAATTACGAAATCAGGAGAAGAATTCCTTGAAACATTGCAGAAATCGTTTGTTTCCAATGACGTTCAAATGACAAACAAAGAGAGAATAGAATTGGCCACTCAATTGGCAACAATGAGCCAAAATAAAGAAAACATCAAATTAATTTACAAATTTGTTGTTGATAACCTCCAAAACGCCGGAAATTCAGAGTTCTTCTACGTAATGTCCGCTGCTGTTGAGATTACCAAGAAGTTGGAGGATTCTAATGATATAAATCAGTTATATCAAATTTTGATTTCTTTGTTAGAGAAACAGACAGATAACGTTAAGGTAAACGCAATCTGTGAAGTCATCCAAGTGATCCTAGAGCTTAACAATAGCATCCAAGCTGATTTTGTCAAGAAATTTTTCGAAGATTTTCTTGAAGGCAAATTACATATCTTTGGAGGCCTTCCTTTGGAAGCATTCGGTGATGGCAACTCAATCTTGTTCCACTTGGTCGCTCAACATGTTGAAAAATTCCCAGAAATTGCGAAATCTCTAAATCTCGCCCAAAAAGTCTTTTCCGTTCTGTTTTCAATATCCCTTGATGCAGTTCCAGACTTCCTTGAGATCTTCTACACTTGTTTGAAGACAAAAGTCCTTGATTCCGCTGCATTTTCCGAAAAAGACCAAAATTCACTTTTGGAATTGGTCTTCCCGTTATATACAACAGGAGAATTTGGTGCTCTTGCCATCAATAATGTTATAGAAGCATTAATTGCGGACAAGGACTACTTAAAACAAGAAAATATTTTTGAATCTCTCGAAACATCGATTGTATCATTTGCCGGATCAGATTCATATGGGCAAGCTGAAGAACAGTTCGTCCACTTGATTTCTTTGGCACTTTCCGTTTGCAACAAGGAAATTTCCGAAGAATTCTCCAAGATTATCAAAGATTACATAGTAATCGAAGAGATTTTCGTGAATGTCATAAAGTTGCCTGCAAGAAACATCAAGATCCCGCAGAATGTTGTTGTTTCCATGGTCCAAATCGCTCTGATGTCACAAAGTGAACTGAAAAAGAACGAAATTTCAACTGAATCATACAACGAGCTGAAGAATTTGATTCAGAATGAAATTTCTAACCCTGAAACACTCAAGGCAATAAGGAATTCATTGGGTAAAAACAAGAAGAACACACTTAAATTCAACAAATTGTTCAATGTCAAATAATCTTTTTATATTTCTATATATTATAAATAAAGCTTTAGAATTTATATTTAAATGCTTATTTTTTTAAACATATTCAACTTATTTTATGAAATTTGATTAATCTTCTCATCAAATAACCAAATTAAAGTATATAATCAAGGAAACTCAGAGTAAATAATAATGAAAAAAAACCAAGAAAAACGCACTTGAGCTCATTTTAATTGTTCAAAACTTAATATAGTTGACACTCTCGCAGAATATTGAGAGTTTCACACTGAAAGAAACAGAATTTGAGGTAGGGGCTTGTAAAAATGATTTCAAATTCAACAAATTGCTCAATGTCAAGTAATCCTTTTATATTTCTATGTGTTGTAGATAAGTCACTAGAATTCATATTTAGATACATATTTTCATTAATCATAAGCAACTAAATTTCCCAAATTTGAATAATTTTCTCATCTAAAACTTCATGGAAAGCATATGATTAGAAATTCTGATGATAGAAGCATTAAGAAAGATGATGCACATAATTGTCGATATTCAATATTTTTCAAAAAGATAATTAGGTTTTTAGGCTTTGCTCTATAGAAAATGAATAACTTTATGATTGGCATGAATATTTAGTAATAAATGGTGAATAGATCTTTTAGAAAATTTGATTATTTTCGGTAAAGAGCTTGAAACTTTGATAATATGTGTAGAATAAGATTGACATTTTAAATCTAAGTAAATTTTTGTATCTGGCAAGAAATTATGCCGTATGAGTGTAAAAAAGTGACGGTGGTTTGGCCTTTCTTTTACAGATGAAATACGTCGCTGCATACCTTCTTGCAATTGCTGGTGGAAATGCTACTCCATCTGCTGCAGATGTCAAGGCTATCCTTGAATCCGTTGGCGCTGCCGTCGATGAACAGAAACTCAATCATGTTATTGCCAAATTCGAGGGCAAGAACATCGAAGAACTCATCGAAGAGGGTGCTAAGAAGATGATCTCAACAGGCGCCGCTGTTGCTGCTGCTCCAGCTGCCGGTGCTGCTGGCGCTGCTGCTGAAGAGGCTCCAAAGGAAGAGGCTAAGGAAGAAGAACCAGCCGCCCCACTCGACCTTGGTGACATGTTCGATTTCTAAATGAACACCCCTTTTTTTGCAAAAAAATATATTTAACTAAAATCAATATTTTATTTAGAATTCGAATCAAATGCAATCGAATTTTTACCGAAAATACTGATAATTATCAATAGAATTATCAAAAAAACATATTTTAATAAATCACATAAAAAACAAAATGATTTATACAAATTTATGATGTAGGGTATTGTAAACCTCTCTCTTCTAAGCGAGATTTCATGTATGCTTTGAGTGCTTGGATGGTTTGTACTGATAAAGCCGTAACATCAACAAGAGCGCTTGAATTCTCCGGGATATTAATTTCTGGTTGCATTTCCAGTAATATTCTGTTGATCTCATTGTTCTCTTCCTCTGTTTCCATCATATCTGATGCTTTTACAAAGGCGCGAAGTTCTTTCTCGTCAATAGCCGGGACCTCTGGTTTTGGTATAAGCGAATTATTTAAGTTGCATGCAACTTGTTTGATCTTTGGTGGTGGGAAAGACATTGCAACTAATAATTTTGTTTTAACGCGTGCAAGTTCATCTGGCCAACTAGAAGTTGAAAGAATATCAATAGACCTGCGTTCCTTATTGAACAATTTTCTGCTTTCCGAAACACAGCAAAGAATTTCTGGTTCAATTGATGGTTGTATTTCTATTTCAGTCCAAAGTTGCTCAATATCGTCAAACCAGTTCTGTATGCGCTGGTATTTGTTTTCTAATATTTTCTGTTTAATTAAATTTAGGCAAAGTTGGTTTTCTGCTGGTTGCGCAACCTTATCATTCTTATGAAGCTTCATCCTTTGTGCATTATTAAAGATAGAAGAGCATGGCTTTGTCATAAGGTGCTCCATTATCTGTAATGATTTTTTCCTCAACAATGCATTCATCAATGTTTGTTACTTTTATAAAAGTGACTTTTTCTCCCTTTCAAATTGGAACATTTGACAAAAGAAAGGTACATTCACTATTTTTGACAAAATTTTAAATTTTCATGGGGTTGTAAATCTTATAATAACTAGATGAATAAGGAATAAATCCCAGTATGATGTGCATCATTATATTAAACACTATATGTAAGGCTGGTGATTCTATTAACACTTATGAAGATCTATAGTATTTGAGCAGATAAATTTGATAATTTCTAAAACTCTTATATTTCAAAATTAAAGTGTGCAAAAGCATTTAAATGAGAGCAAAAAGAGAATGATGCTGCTAAAACTAGGTGTTAAATTCCAATTATTTCGCATCACAAGAACTACCCAGTAAATTCGGCCATCTTTTTTTGCAATTATTCTCTATTACACATATAATATAATGGTTAGGGTTTGGGAAAAAGTTACTAGAGAATTATTGACTTTTGAAATAATGCAGAATTTTACTTGAAGAAATCATTAATTTATGAGTTCCAAATTGCTAACCATGACGAAAGATCATTAAATTTGCTACAATTAAATACATTTATTGCAGAATTAAGATAATTGAAATTAAAAATTTGAAATATTGCCTTTTTGAATAAAAATTTAAATTTGATTATATAGTCATGATAATATATTAGAGAAATTAAAAGAAAATATTTGAAACCATTCAAATATTTTGAATGTCTTATCAATTTAAAATATTAAAAGATTGCTTGATTTTATCATCATTAGTTGTTATCAAAGTTTTCTTCTTTTGATGAACAACAGTAAATGATCTGTTAATACCTTGTCTTCCTTTTACGCAGCAAAATCAAAATGTATGATGATAATCTTGTACTCATTTTTGAAACTCTCTGATTTACAAGTAAGCATTCCTTTGGAAAAGCAGTCCTATTCTGTTTTCAAGATATTTTAAAGCCCCCACTTCATACAATGCGCAGATCTATTCGAAATTGCAAGAACTCTCAAGAAAAATGCTGCAGCAAAGAAGATTCCAAAGTTTCTAGCATCAAAAATTTACAACCTTAATACAACAGTTCAAGAGAAGCTCGATAAGAAAATATTTAACCATAAAGCTGGATACCATTCGATATTTACTATTGAATATAATAAAAAGTTAATTGTAACATATTTTACATGCTATTTGCTGACTCTGTTCCATTAGATTACCATATATCTGTTTGAAATCTAAAAAATTTTTATGATTTTAACCATGTGTTGTTGAAATCATATATCATTCTTAGCTAAAGTATAGTTTATGAGTCTGTCACCATCTAACTATATGAATTTTCAAAAATGTCAATTATGTTCATTTTTTTTGTATATTCAGCCACAATTTCATGTTGTTGTACTATTCAACTATTATTTAATAATTTTATCGATTTAAATATATGATGAGATGCTTAGTTCTCCCGGAAATCGATTTTTAATCACAATTTTAACTTTCCAAAAAAATTCGAAAATAAAAATTCCTCTCAATTTTCTAAGTTTTCTAACTCGCCAAATCTCTAGCCAAATTTTTTTTGGCCCGTATAAATATTGTTAGGCACTATATAGGGATACTATTTATCCTATTTTCATCCCATTTTACTGTTATCGCCTAGTGAATGTACCTTTGACAAAAGATGAAGATCAAAGACAGAGGACCTGGAGGCTCTCAATTTCTATTGTTCTGATTTGTAAACTTTTTCACAAAAATTCGAATTGGGCAAAATTCGATGAGTAGAAAACAAACTCTAATAGATTATCATAAAATTTATGCCAGCAATATTAAATAGCACAAAGCAAAGTTTTATGTATTAGTTGATACACTTCATATATTCTACATTAACTTATAATATTTAGCAATTAAAGTCAGCATGCATGTTTTCATGTTTAACAATAGGCGTTCGCTTATACTTAAAGAGACTATAAGAGGCTCAACCTGAATTTAATTTTTATGGTTTGAAATATCTAATATGTTCATTTATTGTATATGTATTTTCTTTGTTAGTCTATTTCTTCAGCATTGATGAGCCATTAATGAAGTCCATAAATAAAATAGCAAATATGTATAATTTAATTTGTTACGACTTTCAATATAAAATCGAAATAATAAGAAAAGACTTGATTTTGTATTGAATGATAGATGCTGAATTTTTGGAAAGGTGGTAATAGAACGACTTTTTTTTCTGATGTGGAAAAAAAAATTCAGAGGAATATTTCAATTTTAAAATTTTCATTTATTTTGTTGATTAATGCAGCAAAATTGGAAGGAAATAGGAGAAAACATATCAGAATATATTGATGATGATGAATTTTTATCTGAAAGGAAACCATTAGAGATATGCAAAATTCTTAATTACGCAACTTTGACAGCTTGTCAATTCTCAAATTTGTTTGAAAACCTCGCAGAATATAACGGTAAAGATGACATGTTTAAGATGATTAGTCGTGCACGCACTGTTGATTTCAAGACTCAAGATGAAGTCGAAGAAGTTGAAGAAACTTTCACTTCAGTTCTCGGAATTCCTTCTCTTAATAAAGTATTTTCATTCTACAAGAACATTCCTCATGATGAAAAAGCTGTTCATCTAATCAAAAATTATTCTAATTCTTCTAGGAATGGAAATATTAGCATCTTCCTTAATTATGAAGGAAGGATGAGAAACCTGGTAATTGATAATAAGATTAATTCAACAGAATTAATTAACATGATTGCAGCAGAATTTGGAATAGATATAGATAAATTCAGAGCAAGATGTGGTACAAAGCAAATTATACCTAATCATCCATTATCAGATTACAATATACAAGATCACTGTGTGATCAATATATGTCTGAGGAACCGCGGAGGAAAACCTGTCATTTATTTATATCCAAAAGAAGAGATTGATGTGAAAGTAAATATTAAAGTCAATGATGGTGTTTTCTCTTTTGTTTATCCATCATTCGACGAAGGAAGTACATGGAACGTCAAAGCTTCACCAACAGGCGAAATCAATCACAGAGGAAAGAAATTGAGATATCTCTTCTGGGAAACACTCTTTTACCCTAATCTTCAGATGGACAAGGGATTTGTGATCAAAGGAAAAGATAGTGTTGAGTTCTTCGAAGAGAAATTAAAGTTTATGAATCTCAACGATTCTGAGATATGTGACTTCGTCACTTATTGGTGTCCAAAACTCGCTGCTTACAACTACCTGAAAATATACTTCCAGTTAGAAAACTTTGATGAGATGTGTCCATTATGTGTCGATCCTAAACCCGATAATATAAATAGAGTTTTCTTCGCTGCTCTACCTCTACAAACTCCTTGTGATGTTGAACCACAAGATCTTCCAAGATTCAAACGTGATGGCTTTACAGTCATTGAATGGGGCGGAACAATTGTTTCGCAATTAAACTTCTAATTTTAAATTACTAATAATAATTATAATTCCGAATTTTAAAGAATTAAAAAAGAAATTTCTCCTCTTTTATATATGGTTTTCCTAAAAGTGCAAAAATGCTCAATACCGATTAATTTAAATTCAATTTGTTCATTTTTTGCCAATTTAAATATATATCCGCGTAATGTAATCAAAAGATGTATGTATTTTTTTCTTTTATATTTTTTGCATGTGAAATTGTTGGATTTAAATAATCGTTTTCGTTCATTTTTGCACCCCATATAAAACCTTTTATATAGATGTATAATGGAATGAGATATATATGAGTAAACTGTTAAAATCTGAATTATCCGAGTAAAAAAAACTTTGTTAAGAATTCAAAGTTTAGATAACTATATTAAGGGTGCACTTACCACTTTCTGACACACTCTCAAATTTCCTGTTTAAGGTTTTATTATCTATGAAGCTTCACACCCCTATATCTCTTTTTGAGAGAGTGTCAAAAAGTTTTAAGTGCATCCTTAGCATTTTCTAATTGAGTTTTTTCTTCATCTTCTGAAAAAAAGTCTTCAATGATAGAAATTGAAACGTAATCTATTCATTCAGAACTTGAATAATATATTCATTCTACTGAATCGAATAATATAATAAACCATATTTTTTACAAGAAAAATATCATAAAAATATAAAAATAATAAAATAAATTTCTAATTTCCAAGTTGAGCGAATTGTTCTATTGATAACAAGAAATCTTGTGGTGAAGTTTCTTGTTTCTGGAAGAGCTCCTGTTTAACAATTGGTGTTGGCAACTGTTTAACAGTGATATTTGGTGTTTGTTGCATCATGTTCAACACAGTTGTCTTTGAATTAGCGAACAACAAACCACGAGCAATTGAACAAGAAGAAGACATTCTCTTGATTCTTGTTCTTGACGATCCCGAAGTATCCTCTGCTCTCTTTAATCCCACGAACATCTCGTGTTGTGTTGAGAAAGGAGTAATCTTTGGAGGATTCTCCTGAGAAATGATTCCTCTCAACTGAGGAATTGACTGGCAATTCGTGATTGCGCACTGATCTCTGTTATCTCCAACCAAAGAAGAGATCTTCTTCGCGAGTTCTGCAAACGAATGCTGATTTTCGCTCTCAACAGACTGTGTTGCAGTGGCAATGGATGGATCTGTAGCAGTGATCAACATGATGAAATTAATTGCCGACCTGAATTGGCTGACTTTTGTCAACGCGACAACGTAAATTTGGTTGAGAATTGCTGCAGGAATGCAATCGCCAAATCTCCTTGTCAACTCTGTAGAAACATCAATGATTGCGTCAACTAATGGTTGGCCGGCGTTTCTCAGCATTTCGATGAAGAACTTCATAACAACAGTGCAATGAAGTGAATCGAAAGGAGTTGCCATGATTTCTTCGTATGTTATTCCGAAATCAACGAAAGGCAAACCATGTTTAATGAAAGGAGCTGCAATCAAAAGAGCTTCAGGAGCGTTGTTTAAATCAGCAATGTCTTTGAGTAATTCCTGGGCTTCTGCTTCTGATTCCAAAACAGGCGCGAAAGGTGTAAACGCGTCAATCAATAACTCTTTAGCAGAAGCAGCCATCGCTGTATCGAACGCGCAGTATTTGAAGATCGGCATCGCTCTCTTCAAGAACTGATCTCCAATCTCTTTGAAGTGGAGACATTCTGAAGCGAACTGGAATGCGATTGATGTCACTTCTGGGTTATCAATGTTGTTGTACAAAATGGAGAAGCACTCGCCAATGAAAGCGGCCAAATCTCTTGAATCATCCTGGCTGGAATGTTGTATATGGTAAGCAGCGGCGTCAATGAGAATTGGAGCGTAGTTTGGAAGGAATTCGCCTCTCAAAGCATTGAAAACAACTAATGATCTTGTTCCCGCTTTGATGTCATTGCAGCAGACACCCCATTTGAACGCTTCTTGTGCCCATTGAGTATTCGCTTGTGGTGCTATTTCGTGTAATCCTTCCGCAATCTTCGAAGCAACTTCTCCAACATTAATTGCACCGCCTTCTAAATCAGGTGTTAGTTGGAGAACGGAATCAGCAAATTCTGGTTCGAAAACACTGATCAAATCTTCAAAGAACTTGTAAGATTTCTCTATAAATAGCAAAGTGAAGTGAATAACCGTTGTGTAATGTAATTCGACCAAATCTTCTGTTTCTACGTAATCAGTGAATGCTCTTGTTAAAACAGGGAGAATCCACATGATGGAGTTAATGTTTTGGTTCTGTTCTGTCTGTAGGAAGTACCAGAAACTGAATGAGCATCTCTTTGCGAGGTATTTCGTTATCAACTGTGGATTTCTTTCGAGTTGCTGCGTGAAAATTCTTTCTTTGATCGATGTGTCATCGAATTCAAAGATACAAAGTAAAACAACAATGGAATTATCAGCAAATCTTAATAGTTCAAACCACAGTTGACTGAATACTTCGTGTTGTTCTTCATTGATGTATTTGGATACATCGGACATCGCTCTAAGGAATGAGATGACATTAAACCTTCTAAATTTAGAAGGAATGCCTTGTATGATGTGTTTGTTCGTTGGAAGAACTCTGATTTGTGAAAACCATGTAACTAAAATAGCAACAATGTTTTTAACAGTTGTTACTAATTTTGTTGATTTCATGATTTCTAAACCAGCTTCAATCACTTGTTCAGCTGCAAAAGAAAACATTACAGGAACGAAATCCAAGTTCTTCGCATTCTGTATGATCTTTTGTACATCGGAATTCGTTGCTTGGTCGATGAACAAATCAGCAATTGTTACTAATATCGGTTTTGCTGGTTCTGGATTGTCTCTTCCCCAGAACTGTGTTAGTAACAAAAGAGAACCAACGTGTGCCTGCATTTGCTGTGCTTCTGCACATACGTCAAATGAACTTAGTACTGCTTCAAAGAATAAGGATGATTCCCTTCGCGGCCTGATAAATATTTGTCTGACAAAAATGTCAAACATCAAATCAAAATGATATAACAAAACAGAACTAAGAACATCGTATCCGGCACTTTGGCATTCGGCTATGATCTCAAGCATGGGGAGCTCGAACTCGAAACCATCAGTAAAAATGGTTCCGGCTTTCATAATAGGAATTAATGCGTTGACTGCGTAACATCTCACTTTGTTTTCTTTGTCTTCGAGCTGGCACCAGTGGTAGAGGAATTGTACAATGATCTGGCGGGTCGCAACTGGCCATTCTTCTTCTGGAATCTGGTCAAGAATGTTGTTGAAGACTGCAGCGATTATGATACAATAATTTACGGCGGTTTCGGAATGTTTCTCGAGTAACTTGAGGTGCTCTTCATCCCAGATGATTTGGCGAGGTCCGTTTACTCCATTTGAAGCGAAATAACTTTGAACCATCGCAAGAAATTCAATGAAGGGACGGAAACAGGCCGTTAAGATATGGGAGAAGTTGTTCGGCATCTGGATAATGAAGGCCATGGTCGATGCGGTCAAAGTAATGAATTCCGGAGGGAAATTCCTGATGTAAACCAAATTATTAATGAGAACGCGCCAGTTAAAGTGCTTCATTGCACTGATTACGACCTGTGCTGCGTTCTTTGGTGCTTTCAGAGCCTCATTGAAGTAGTAATCAATGGTTTGTTTTCTAAATGAGACTGGTTCGAGATCTGTGTCACGCGCGAAGGTGTTAAAGAACAAGACAAGGATGTTCGATGCTTTGGAGGTATCATCGATGTTTCCTTGTATGATAGATTTGTATTTCGGATATAATTTTTCTCGAATTAGGTCGAAAACGGAGTCAATGTGGTACTCGATGAGAATATTGATGATTTCCGCGTAGAATAGATACCAAAGAGTGTTGTATCTTGAACAGCAAACGTTTTCCCATGAAATGTTGCCTCTTGGCGGCGCCGTGATGACTGGTTTCGGCGGCGTGTCCATTACAAGGATTGTTAGTTTGCATGCCTCGCAAATCATCTCATTATTCAGTTCAATCAACGACCAAATTTGATCTTCTGATTTTGATGCGATGTATTTCAACAGATTGAGGGCGTAGTACCTCGCAACGGTGATGTTGGATGATAAGAACACTAATCCCAGTGCTTGTATCTCAAGAATGTTCTTGTCATTCGGTTCATAATTGTATGTCAAGAATAAATTGTACAAAACGTTGAGGCAATGCATCTTAAGGACAGGGAGATCGAATATCTGGGCATAATTGATGCACGCTTGGATCACATACTGAGAAGATTTCTGTTGGGAGAAAATTTGATTCAATACTCCCGTCGCGAGCTTCGAAATCTTAATATTATTGGAGGCAGAGAGAAGTAGAATACATTTGAGGACTTTTTCGTCACTGAAATCGGAGTATTTCAGTGAATTTGGAATAACAGATAATAATGCTGTTGCAACATTGATTGTATCAATGTAAGTAAGCTTGCTGTCGAAGTCTTGTTGCTCTGATTCGAATGCCGTGTATTTCTTCTTGTTAATAAAGTCAGCAACGATGATATCCGACTCATCAAAATAATTTGATACGGAATCAGCGATTCTGGCCACGAATTTCTCGGTACGAATGTATCCCTCGAGGCCACTGATCGATCCGAGGACGGCCGATCTAATTTGGCTGTTCATTTCTTGGTATTGATCCTTTGATGGTTTGCATGCGGCGTGTTTCTCGAATTCCTTCGATTGTATGTACGCGCAGGCATGTAGGATGACGGCAAACCTGATATCGTCGCATTTAAGTTTCATAAATTGCGGTAAAATTGTAGAATTAAATAATTTGAAGTCGCAAGCAGCGAGTTGTACAAGGATTTGTATGGAAATGTCGGGACAGCCGTCGAACGATGACTTTACGAAGAACGTTTTCATGAAAGTTGTTGCAAATGGCTCTTTATCGAATTGTTGACCGGCAGAAGAGATGTATTTAAGCTCATCGAGCTCACTAACGTAATTAATCTTGCTGATATCGCCTTGTATTAAGCGAAGGAAGGCATTTGCAGTACGATTTAATTTTGCGGAGTTTCCAATGTGTTTAAAGACACGTGTAGAGTAGAATGATGATGCTTTCTTGGCCTCATCTGGTAATCTGTTGAATAAAGTCGTAATAAGGTCAACGGCGCCATCTTTGATTCCATCTTGAGATCTGACGGACCATGCTAATGAAAAGAACTCTTTGAGAAGGTCTGTCTTGCATTTGGCAACAGAAAGTAAGGAAGCGAGAGTAGAAAGTGTCTGGGCTTGTAAAGTTTTTCTCTTTTTCTGTTGTTGGACTGTCATAAGGATTGATTCAACAAATGAATCGTTTGCCTTGATTTTTCCGATTAATTCTAGAACCAAATGAGAGTTTTCATCATCGATATATTGGTCAAAAGACATGGAGATCTCAGATAAGGAGATTTTTGAGATTTCTCCAATAGTATCTGCCCATGTAGAGACAAGCTTGCTCTGTACACGTCCTAATCTATGTGTAGCAACGCAATTGTGGAATGCGCAGCTTACAAGCTTTGCAATGGCCGGCTGGTTAGGCGAGCGTGTGAAGATGTCTTTAATAATATCGGAAAGAATGATTAATGTCAAAGAACGCAAAAATTGGAAGTGATAAAAATTAGATGGACGAAACGCGGGAGATAAGATTCTAATTAATGTAAAGTCTTTTTCTGCTGATCTGTTAGCTTCTGATTTGAATTTGCTGCAAAGGAGATGTAAGATAGTTGTGACTTTTTCTTCAGTTTTTCGCTTCATCTTTGCATCATCTGGATTTGGATTAGCTGTTGCAAACTCTGTAATGATGCTGAGTACTCTTTGATACTCATCCATCATTTTTGGAAATGTTAGAACAGTTTTTTGCAAAATATCATCCATTTCCGCATCATTGTACGAGTTTGAAGAAAATTCGCTCTCCAACTTCGAGAATGTGAAGTCTACATGCGGAACAAAAGAATCCAAAAGATTTAATAAGACCGATTCAAAGATAGGAGCTACTTCTCCCATTTTTTATCGTATTATTGTAAAGTGGTTTACAATTCCAAAACAGATTTTATGATTTTCATCAAATATCGGCTGCTCAAAATGATTGAGAAATATGTTTGCGAGAATAAATAGTAGTTATCATTGCTTGGAATTGAATTTTAAAGTGTCTCGAAAATTGATCTTACACTTCAATGCTATTTGAACAAATTTCTAGTAACAGTTATACCTACCCAATTGTATGTAATCTTTCGATGCAAGATAACATATGTCTTTTCCAATGATAAATCGATAGGAAAACCCTTTTGTTTGAAATTGATCAATTAAAACTTGATAGTATACATTTTTCTTTGAAGTAAAAATAAATATCCGTTAGTCTTCGAATAAATCCATGAATTAAAGTCAAATGATGGAAATATTTCTTGATTGAAGGACCATGCATATAATAATTAGTAAGCATGTAAAGATTTGAGATATGTTTCCATAATGAATTTTTGGATACTGCCTAATTTACTCTAAAAATTTGCAAATTATATTGATTTTTAGTTTTTAATGGCTCTCCTCTAATGATAATTCCATATGAATCCTTAAGATTCTGATTTGAACAACTTAAATATTCCAAATTTTTTTTAATTTTATAAAAATATTATGAAAAAATATAAATTAATAATCATTTTTAGGATTTTGAAAAAAATTTGGAAAAAAATGAAAAATGTATTTTATTCTATTTTATACAATCTATAATATTTAGTTGTAAAAAACCAAAAAACTTGCTTTTTTTCTAACTTTGAATTTTATTTTGCTTGATTCGGAATTTTAATAAGCATCTATTAAACTAAATAACATTTCCATCCCAATTTTGTTGTCAATTAATCAATTTATCATTCATTGTTAAATTTGTCTTAAATTTATCGAGTCCAGGCATAGCTACTGATCAAACTTTAATTTTTATTCTTTGTCTTATGACACGTTTCCATTTTGGCTCATTAAATTTTGTAGTTTCATCAATGGATTCCTTCAAGAATATTCATAAAGAGGAAACTACAGGAGAAACAGAAAAACAAGTAATCTTTAATGAAAATTCAATGAGTTTTTTACTAAGTTCTATTGATGCTAACGAAATTGATCAAGATACCTTTAAATGTATCGAAAACCAAATCATTCAATTAAATATCCAATTAAAACATGCCAAAATCATTACAGAGATTGATATACAAAGATATGAAATACCATTAACTTTCTTCAAAATTTTCATGAAATTTTCTGATTCCATAATGATTGATTCACTCATCTACTTACTCGAAACATTGTCAAAACTAATGGAATTTCCTTTTCAAATGATGGAAGAAATAGGTATCGATCGATTTATGATAGAATACTTAGATTCCCAAAAATGCTTAGACAACACATCAATATTTATTAACAAAACGAAGATTATAACGATATTTACTAATAATATGATACATAACACTTCTATTTCTACAGATTTAATTTCAATAGGCCTATTTCATTCTTTACAGAACGTTTTTGAAGAGTTAAGTAATATTACTATTGATCAAGCAAGCGTAACTTATCTAGAAAGCTTAGCAAATGCTGTTTTTATATGTTTTGAACAAATTTTGATAGATCCACTATCACATGAAGGCTTCATACTCTTTATTAAGAAGTGGATTGATGTTGAGAATCAGTTTTTACAGGAAGGACTTACAGAATTAATATTTAGAGCACTTACATTAAAAATCAATTTAAGTGAGTTATTTGTAGAGCCAAATCTTATTAAATTATTAGTAGATGCAGCAATACAGAATGAAGATATCAATGCAATCAATGTTTTGAGTGAATTTACTTTGTATGGAGAAATTAATAAGGATTTGATCCCAAATATCCTTGAATTTTGCAATAACATAAATGTTAATGAGTTTCTTGAGAAAGCAAAAGCGGAAATTAATTCAAATAAAAATCCAAGTGAAATTCTGACTCTTTGTGGAAATATTCTATATATATTAGATAATGTTCCTGATGAAATCAATCCTACTATAGTTACAGAGATCCTAGAACTTGCAAACGAAAAATGTGATTTAAAAACCAAAATTTCCGCAACATTTCTCCAAGTTTCGTTATGGTCGAAGATAGATCCCATATTATTTGGTGCAATAGCATCGCCAGATCTTCTCTCAATTTGTTTTGACGTTGCTTTTAATACATCACCGCAACTCCATATGATTATCATTAATTTATTAGACAACCTACTCTCAAAATATCAATCCATTAATATGCTTGACGTAGTTTCCCATGAAATTTTTGATTTTTTGGAAAAGTCAATAGAAGAAGGAAATGAAGAGATCTCAGATAAAGCAGCTGTTATAATGGAAACATATTTCCCAGTTGAGCCACAATCTGCGTGAGAATTTTACATCAAAATCAAATTATTGCAAAACTTATTAAGAATTTGCAGAAAATACCAACCATTGTAAGACACTTTTAATTTCAGGCTTTTAAAGTCATGAAACAATAAGATATTTTCATCATTTTATAATTATCCTTTTAATCATCACCAGATGTCAATATATCACATATCACTTAATTACATTGCAAATGCATCATCTCATTCTTTTATTCAGTGATGAGATAAGTTAAAATTCCAAAAAAAAATTACTATTTAAAATAAAAGATTCTTCTGTTTGTAGCTTTCGTATTTGAGAATATATCTTCGCGTTCTTTTTACCAAATCAAAAGCGAATTTCAATATCATCCCATTCAATTTCCTTCGAAAAGACTTCTGAGTCAAACAAACAGCGTTTCTCACTTATGTTATTTCGATTTCATCATTGGCAATATATTATGTAATTTTACCACATATGCCACTTTTTATTTTTCTGATGTCGATTTGGACTAGAATGGAGGAGTTTGCCAAGAATTTCCAAGATATTCTTGTTAGCATTCAGAAAGCTATAGTTGATATTGAAGTCCGTTCATATAATTACGAAGAAAAAGCCAAAAAAACTTATCAAGATACAGAGAAATACGTAACTGAAATCGATAACTTCATTCTAGAAGGATTCCAACAACCAGATTTAGATCAAGAAAAGCAAGCAAGACTTGTTCAATTTATGGTCAGTTATAAACCACAACTTGAAGTGTATAGAGAGCAATTAAACTCATATATAGCAACACCTCCACCAAAATTCGATTTTGCTTACCACGAAGACGAGAAGGATGAAGAAAATAAAGAATCAAATACTGAAACAACTCAAGATAAAGCCGAAGAGTCCGAAAACGAAGAAGAAGGAGATGTTGAAGAAGAAAATAAAGAAGGGGAAGGCGCTAAATCAGAAGAAACTAAACAAGAAACTACAGAACAGAATCCAACTCCAGAAACTCCAGAAGAATCAAAGCCTTCAGATAACAACGATACAGAAGCCAAAAATACATCAGAAAATCTTGGAATTCCAGAAGATGAATTAAAGGCACTTCCGGAATTAAGTGAAGAAGATGATGCAGATGAAAACCAAGCTAAAAACAGTCTAAGAGAACTTGCAGACTCCATGGAGTAACTTTTTAATACAAATTTAGTTAATAATTATCAGAATATTCAATTTACTAGTTTTCAATAGTTCTTTCAACCTACATCTGCCTATCTGCGCAAAAACATCATTATCCTATGTCATTATTTTTGATTCATTATAATAATATAAATAAAAATTCGTATGTTCTAAAATTCGCTTAATTACTTACAATATTTTAATGTTCAACCAAAGATAACACATAAATATGAAATTCTTTTACCAAAATTAAGAATTTATTAATTAATTTAATAAATCATTCGATTTTTAGCTGTATAATTCATATCACATCTGTAGAATATAAGAAAATCCAGTATAAAAATGAAAAAAAGTTCAATTTGAATGTTTAGAGATTTAATTTTAGTAATCAATGATTGATGTGGATTTAAAATGTCTGTCATTTGTGAATATAAAATATCATATTGAATTTACGAATTTAATTGCGAAACAATTGTTCCACCCCATTCAATGACTGTAAAGCCATCACGTTTGAATCTTGGAAGATCTTGTGGTTCAACATCACAAGGAGTTTGTAGAGGTAGAGCAGCGAAGAAAACTCTATTTATATTATCGGGTTTAGGATCGACACATAATGGACACATCTCATCAAAGTTTTCTAACTGGAAGTATATTTTCAGGTAGTTGTAAGCAGCGAGTTTTGGACACCAATAAGTGACGAAGTCACATATCTCAGAATCGTTGAGATTCATAAACTTTAATTTCTCTTCGAAGAACTCAACACTATCTTTTCCTTTGATCACAAATCCCTTGTCCATCTGAAGATTAGGGTAAAAGAGTGTTTCCCAGAAGAGATATCTCAATTTCTTTCCTCTGTGATTGATTTCGCCTGTTGGTGAAGCTTTGACGTTCCATGTACTTCCTTCGTCGAATGATGGATAAACAAAAGAGAAAACACCATCATTGACTTTAATATTTACTTTCACATCAATCTCTTCTTTTGGATATAAATAAATGACAGGTTTTCCTCCGAGGCACCTCAGACGTATATTGATCACACAGTCATCTTGTATATTGTAATCTGATAAAGGACGACCACAATGAATTTGCTTTGTACCATATGTTACTTTGATATCATCTTTGCATACTCTAAATTCTGCTGCAATCTTGTTAAGTAATTCTGTTGAGCTTATATTAGGATCAATTGCAATTATTTTCTTGCATTGATTTAGCTCAACAGTGATTGAAATCATGATTCAATAAATGATGGATATTTTAACATGTAAATCTTTCTCGGAATTTTTTTTTTCTTTGTCAGAAAAAAGTCGTTATTCTCTCAATACTTTTGTTTTTAACCGATACAATATAAGAACTCATAAGAATCAATCTATTTATTAAGAAAATCTTTATTAATTATTAGATATTTTAAAAGTAGTATATGAGTGCGGGTTGTGTGACTTTTTTTGTTACATCTATATATAGACGATGCATTAAAATATATTTATTTATAAACACATTAAAAAAATTAACATTAATTTTAAAATAATTTATTTTTTTATCTTTTATAAAAGAAGCTATATATAGATGATGTCAGATATTCCGCGATTAATTAAACATTGTTTAAATCCTGAATGGGTTAAACTTCAATTTAAAAATGAAGATTGTGAATTATTAAATGAATATGAAAGCCAAAATAAGCTAATGAGGTATAAATATAATGATAAAGAATATTTAATTTCATGGAATCAATGGAGTCATAATCAAAGACCTCATAAACGAGAAGAAGAAATTGAAAATAATGAAATGGAAATCATTGATGACATTCAAGAGGATGGAATTCCTAAATTTTGTAGAAAAACCTTTAGAACTAAGTTAGGAGCATATAAACGTAGAGTATTAAATCCTGAATATCTTAAACATATTTAAAAAGGAAGACTGTGAATTATTAAACGCTAATGAATATGAAAATGCTAAATCAAAACTGAGATATAAATATATTGGAAGTGATGAAAGGTGTAAAGATAAAGATAAAGTTTATCAGTTTCATATAATAACTGGCACACGTTAGGGATAAGAAAACATTTAGGAGATTATGGTAAAAGTTCCGAATTCTTCAAATCTAGTATGTATGAGAGAGTAAAAGAAATCAGATATAATTATCATTCATGAATGAAAAATAAACTTTAAAAATTCATGTCTTACATTTTTTGAATAATTTATTTTTTTAATTCGTATGAAAATGAGTGTCAAGACTAACGACGTTAAAAAATTGGGATTCACAAACGAGGAAATAAAGGATATATTAGAGGAGGCGAGTTATGAAGTTAATAAATATTATTTAAGAAATTGTCAAAAATTCGCGGAGTTATTAAATGATTTAGATTATGATGGAAAAATGAATAAAGATGATGTTATAAATTTCTTATATCCCACATCTGAAGAAGAAAAACCTAAAGAACCTGATGTTTTCCCTGAATATTATGAAGAACGGATTAAAGATGATGAATATGATGAAATTGAAAGACTGGAAAAAATAAGAGATGAAATAGATGAAAAAATTAAGGAATTAAGAGAAGTTGAAAAATATAATGAGAATGAAGTAGAGGGTTTAATGAATATCCCAGCTTCAGAATCAGAAGTTCAAAAATCTCATGAAGAAAGATATAAAAATTACTTTTTGGAATCTACTAAAAATTTATTAGATGGTGAAATAGATGAAACACTTTCAGAAGAAGGCACAAAATTTATTCATAAACATAAGTTACAATTTATTGACGATGGAGATTATCCATGTATATTACTTTCACCTCCTCTTGATTCTGAAAAATTCAAAAAAGCACTGAAAAATGTAACATATGCAACAAATACGATTAAGAAAGAAGACCATGATATTTACACAAATTATTATTTAAATAAATGTACAGGTGTTGATAAAGTTTTTGATTTGTTAGATAAAATATCAAAAGAAACAATTGGTACATATAAAATTTTATGCGATTGTGGTTTCATTATTGAAGATACTAATAATGTTTCATATGAAAGAACAGCACCGAAGGAAGACGAAGTTGAAAGGTCTATACCATTCGTTATTAAGAATATAAAAGATATGAAAACTTATAAACATTATATTTATTCATTTATTTCAGAAAAAATGGAAGCAACCCATAAAACATCATCTCATCATTTTATAGCTATTCATACATTCCTTTTCAAAGTTGTGAAATTAAATAAGACAGGAATTAGATTTAATGTATCAGGGTACGCATTCTTGAGTAAATTAAAATGTATTCGTCACGTCGCAGATGATAAAAATTTATGTGTTCTTAATTCATTTTATGGACTTTAGCCCTGGACTTTAAAAAAATAAACTTTATTTTTATTTATTTTTTAATTTTTTATTCTTACATAAATGAACAAAAACGGAACAGCTAAAATGAATGATAATCAAATAAGAGCCGAAGGTAGAAGGTTATTTAAACGCTTCTATAACATTCCTGATGGTGTTAATCCTAAAACTCGTAGAAGTTATTTAAATGAAGCCATAGATGCATATGAAGGATTTGACATTTCATCAGAAAGTGAGAGGTTAGCAAGAATGTTAAACGTTAATATTGATTTTTATTATTGTGACCCTCAACCAGAAGACGTAGACATAAATAAGGTAGACTTTCCATTAGTGGAATCAATAATGATAGATCCAGAATTTGAAACAGTAAATATTTTATTAACACAGAGTCCATGTGGAAAACTTCACGCTGACAGAATTACAGACGTTGAAGCACTCACAGGATATAAAGTTTGCCCCTTTTGCAAAGAAGAAGTATATTCTATCCGTGATGACCCAGAAAGGAAAAACCAAAGAAGATTTTTAAAACATTGTGAGAAATGTAAAGAAAATAATGGAAGATTAATTCAAGACGTTCAATTGCAAAACACACAACAACCATATGCACCACATATCACGAAACAGAAGATATATCAATGGCTATTAGCTCACAATTTGCAGGAATATTATAAACCAACAAGATATTATATTACTTTTGACTTCGAAACATTAGAGACTAAAGAAGAACTTCAACTTTCTGAATGTGCAACTTTGAACGCTTACTTAAAACCATTTATGGTATCATCAACTGTCAAAATAAAGCCGCAAACGGACTCTTTGAGTCCTGAAGGTCTTTCAGACCGAAGCGGCGAGGTCGTAGACCGTGATAAAACATTTACGAGGAATTTTTGCTTAACATCAAGTGATTCGTTCATCTCTGATTGGATTGAATTTTTATTTTCAACCTGTTCATTAGTTGCTAAATCAAATATTGAACAATATGAAGAATTAATGAAGCCGCAAACGGACCAAACGGCGGGGACTTTGTCCCATACATTAAATGAAAAACAGAAGGAAGCATTTAAAGAACTTCTAGATGAGGAATTCAATAAAGTGAATATCATAGGTTTTAATTCGGGAAAGTTTGATTTAAATTTAATTCTTCGTGATTTAAACACTGCAAAATGGAAAATAAAATCAATGCTGGGTTCTTCTTCTCAATTTAAGCAAATCATTGTAAAGAAAACAAACTGTCCATATGAATTAAGATTTATTGACATCAGAAATTATATAGCGGGTGGAACATTAGACCAATTCACTCAAGATTTCGGAAACAATAAATCACGTGTTAAATCCTTTTTCCCTTATCAATTCATCACATGGGAGAATTACGAAGATGAATTATATAAAGTGGAACCATTCAAAGATTCATTTTATTCAGCATTAACTCAAGAAACAATATCCGATTCAGATTATCAAATATATCTCAATGATGCTAAAAATTTTGAGAATAGATTAGAATATTTTATTCATTATTGCAATAAAGACGTTGAAATTATGATTGACCCAATTGATAAAATTATTGAAGAAACATTTGTTTATAAAATTGACATGCTTCATAATCTTTCTTTATCATCGAATGCATCAATGATTCGTTACGCGTTAGCATATAAGAACTTCAATCCTAACGAAACATATCCAGAAGAAGAAAATGTGGAATCAAGTTTTGAATTAACAAAAAAGTATTGGAAATATAAAATTGATTCATATAAGAAACAAGATGAAAAAGCAGAAAGGGATACTAAAAACAATGTTTCAATGGATGACTATCAATACTATCACGATTTAATCCTTTCATCTAAATGCAAAATGTGTGGTAAAGCGTTTACATATGCTAATAAACCAACATTAGATAGAATCGATAATGAAAAACCACATACCAAAGAAAATTGTCAGTTAATGTGTTGTTATTGCAATGTCGTAAAATCAAATAAAGATGAAGATGTTCAACGTTTAAGAATCAATTTAAGAAATTATACATTAAAAAATAATTTACCAATGACTCTAGATTCAGTTGAAGCTTATCACATCCTCCGTAATGGAATTACTGGTGGTTTATCAAATGTTCAACATAGAGTAAATCTTAAAGGAATCACGCACATTAATAAACTTTCATATAATCCAGAAACTAAAACTGTATCAAATGAGGACACTTCCAACATTATGACTCATTTCGTTGGTGTTGACTTTAATTCATTATATCCTTCATCATTTTCATCTAATCCTCATGATTTCATTCAATATACTGACCATAAAATGTATATGCCGGGAAGATTGAATGGTGTTATCATTTGTGATACAGCAACAAAGAAAGCAAAAGCACTGGGAATAATTAAGAAGAAAAATACTTTATTCGTGGCTGAAGTAAAGGGTCACATTGATGAAAAATACATTAATGATTACATAAACTTTTTACCAATAATAAGAAACTTTGATATTATCACAGATGAAAAAACAATTGGTGGTTTTATGTATAATTACATGAAATCAAACAATCTACCAGTTGACCAGAAACAGAGGAAATTAACTCAGTTAGCATCAACACACAACCAATATCAACCATTTTCTTCTTATTATCTTTGGTATCTAATAGACAGATTTCATTTTATCATTGATGACATTCAATCAATTTTAACATTTACGAAAAATACTTGTTTTAATGAATTTGCGAATGAATTTATGAACGAAAGACAAAAGGCTGAATTAGAAGGAAATAAAGGAAAAAGTTTATTTTGCAAGATTTCACTTAATGGATCATATGGTTACGATGCAATGAATACACAAAATTACGCAAAGACTAAAATAATGAATGCACAGAAGGCACGCGTTGCATGTATGTCAAATAAGTTTAAAAACATAAGAGAAATAGGAGAGGATACGTATCAAGTGATGCTTAAAGATAGATTTTATAGATGTGATACATGTTTACAAGAGGCATTCTTCACTTTAGATAACGCAAAATACTGGTATTTGGTTTTCATTTATGATTTTATGTATAAATGCATGGATGTTAATCGTTTTCATTTCATTGAAGGTGATACTGATTCATCTTATTGGGCAATCGCTGGCGACCCAAATCTTCCTAACACTCAAGCATTTCAAGCAATTGTAACCGATAAAAAATTTTATGATAAAAACATTTACAAATTCGCACCTTTTGATTTCTTCTGTTTTAATGAGAAATTTAAACCTAAATTAAAGAATAAAGCTGAAGAAAAAGCACATGAGAAGAAGTTATTGGGTTTAGCAATTGAGAAACAAGGTGATAACATGGTTGCTTTATGTCCTAAGTGTTATACTTCATTCAACGGTTCAATTGATGGAAGTGATTTTAAAAAGATTGCACAAAAAATGAAAGGTGTTAGTTTAAGACAAAATAAACAATTAACACCTAAAAATTATTTGGATATAATAAATGATAAAGTGATATTTGATGGTCAGAATATTAATTTACAACTTAAAAACGGGTCAATGACTCGCTTAACAATCGGTAAGACTGCATTAACAGGAGCACACACTAAGGCTGTATGTTGTGAAAATGGATGTTGTATGCCATTTATTTAATAAAATGCCACAGAAGAGACAAAAGGAACCGTAAATAATGGTTTTGATACTATGATTCAAAGAGGCGGGCACCCTTAAAACACTTATTTTATTTTTATATAAATGAATAGCGTAGATTTAAAAAATTTAATTGATGATTTAGTACTTAATCAAAATTTTCTTAATTATTATGAATTAAAATCATATCTCCAAAAACATGATAACAATATAACGGGTGATGATATGGATTATTATTATTCGTATTATAAAAATGAAGTTTTGAAATATCATGATAAAATAATTTCTAAAATTAAAGACAAAATTAAAAATAATGAATATTCAAAGGGAAAAAGTAAATCACAACTTAAACAATTGAAAGATTTCAAAAATAAAGTATTAACAGAAGAAGATATTGATGAATTATATAAATTATATAAATTATATAATCCTGAGCCGCAAAAACCAAAGGAACAAAAACAAAAGGTGCAAAACGCCCAGGTCCTTCAGACCATAAATGAAGCACAAGCTTTAATTTATGATTCATTAGTTAAACCATATTCAGCCCGACTTTTAAATGAAGATCAACTTTTGGAATTCATCCTTCAACATAAACTCGAAGCGGGAAAGTATATCAAACCTTTATATACAGCATATTTAAAACAAATGAATAGAATACATCCAGAATTAATGAAGGGGGAATGAAATCCAAAATCAAAGCAGATAAAATTAAACCACCTGCAACACCAAACCCTCCAACGACAGTACCTCCTCCTCCTTCAGTTAATCCTTCATCATTCACTTTATTATATCCATTTCAAACATTAAAGAAGCAAAAAGATTTTAAAAAGGATTTCAAAATATTAAATAAACCAACTGACCCAAAAATTCAACCGTTAAAGGAAAAATTTAGTCGCCCTTCATTTGCACCATATCCATATTCATACGAAATCGATCATTTAGAATATTCAAGAGGAAACGTTACTTATTTATTTGCCATTAACATTAACACCAGATATTTATATTGCATTCCGGTGAAAGGGAAAACAGAACAGGAAACAAGAAGAGCTATTCAATACTTACTAGATCATGAAAGAGTAGATAATATAAGGGGTGATGGTGATAAAGGATTTCAGGCAGCTATGGCTCATTATTTCCCACAAATTAATTTTTACTTTTCATCCTCTCCATATACGTTTCATAATAAAATAGTTGATGCGGTAATGAGAACTCTTAGAGATGCGTTAGGGGTTAATGGTCAGATATACTGGGATGGAAATCATGACTCCATCATACAGCAGTTAGTATATTATTACAATAATACATGGCATAGAACAATAAACATGAAACCGGTGGAAATGAAAAATGATATTTCAAAAGAATGGGAATATATTAGAAAGCAAATGGAAAGGTTGAATGATGTTAAACGTGAACAAATTAATTCGGGGCTCATGAATTTTAAACAAGGGAATAAAGTTTTAATTCATCTCGATTATGGAAAAACTGATAAATCAATGACAAAAAGAAGACGAAGATTTGACACAATAGCTGAATTTGTTAGATATATTAACGGCAATGCATTAGTTGAAGTTGACAATAAATTAATAGAAATTCCGATTTATTTTATTACTCCATTATATTTAAATAATATTTAATTTTTTTATTTCGTAAGAAATGAGTGACAACGAAGCATCCAAGAGTCCAGACAATGAATATAAAAAGAAACTAAACAGAATTAAATCAAAAATATGCTATTACAAAAAGAAGCCACAATGCGGTGGGGTTGAAAACGATAAAGAGAGGAAAGAAATAATCGAAAAATTAGAAACTTACCGTTCAATCCTTAAACTGAGTGAAGCAAAAATAAAAGAATTTAATAGAATAAATAAATTGATTGGAAGAGATGAATTTAATAAAGATGAATTTTTAAACTCAATCCAAATTTAATTTTTATTCCTCTTCGACAACATCTCTCTTTCCATCATTACTGCATAACCACATTTTCTCAATTTTAGTGGTTTGTTATTTTTAACATGTTCTTGCATCATTTTTATCATTTCCTCCCTTGTTATGATTCGTGGTAAATTTTGAGCTTGTGGGGTATTCATTTATGATAAAAATAAAAATTTGTTATCACTTATTTTATCGTTAATGTTTTTAGGTTATTCAATAATTAATTATTTTTGAATAACTGAAGGGGTCACCAGGTCACCAGGTGGTCACCAGGTAATTTAACTTCTCTGAAAAAATGTGACAACATGACATTTTGACAACATCACAGGAGGAAGGCAGTTATGACTTATTTTTGAATAACTGGGAAATAAATTTACGTCAAATATGCAATTTATAAAATCTTATGTCGACAGGCTACGTAGCACAGTGGTCTAAGGTGGTGTTATGGAGGGGTCAGGGTCTGTGGTTCGAACCGCGACAGCGCCGTATTTTCTTATTTTCTTTGTTTGTCTTGTTTGTCGTGAATAAAAAGTGCTCTATCTTCCACGGGAATAAATAAAAAATTTACTTTATTTCTTCTTTATTTCTTCTTTATTTCTTTGTTCCCGTGGAAGAAGGGTTTTGCTGTTTTTTCTCAGCCGAAATCAATGATTTTTTCATTTTTGGAATCCTTAGCGAATGAGGAATAAAAATTTAAATTATGCCGTTCACTCTTTTGGATCTCAGGACTTTCAGTCCGTTCTAAAGTTTGTTTCACAAACATTGAGCGTTCATTGAACGCGAAACCATGCAAATACAGTCATAAATGGTGGCATATAATCTTCACCCAAACCTGTTGGATTTGTTGTGAAAGTATGGACATGATTTCCTCCTGGTTCAGTTGGTCGAAAAGTCTTTTTTGCTGAATGGTTATAATCTGGAGATAAAACATCATAGCCAGCATAATATTCTGAGTTGTATAATGGGTGGTCTCTTAATGAGTGGCTATGGTCGCCAGAAAAGTTTGTAGTTCCTGTATGAGTGTGCGGGGGTAAGTTTGCTTCAGTAATTTTCTTCGAACCTCCTGTTTCCTTTGAAGAGTTTGCACAATAGAGGAATTTATCTACAATCTGCTTCCACGTACCGAAACCCAGAACTGTTGCTGGATTTGTTGAGTTCATTGACGTATAAATAGAACCAATGGGGTAAATCATCTCAAGAATTGTATTTAATCCATTATGAATATTGAATTTATTATATAATATTGAATTTGGGTGAGTATTTAAAACTGGTCTTGTTATCAATATTAACGTATTATTTTTGAAAATTGCTTTTCTAACATCTTGAAATTTTGTGATTTCAGACCAGTTTCTTCCATCACTACTGATATTTACTAAATCACCACATCCTAAAGCAATGAAATACCCATCAATATAAAATAAATTTGTAAATCTATAATTTTGAGTAAATTTTGGAGTGAATGAATAAACCAATTCCCAATTTGATAAATCCTGTGATAAATAAATATGTCTGTTATAACTTACAGGATATGAATAGACCATTTCACCTGAAACGAGAACATAAACATTTGATCCATAACATAAAGCTTCAATGTCTCCATCAGCTTGAAAAATTTGTTCAAATTGACCTTGTGGTATTGAAGATGATCTATAAATTTTATCATTTTGTAGGATAAAATACATGCTGTTAATGTAATACCACTTACTTGTATAATCAATTTTCAAATCTGATGACATCATACTAAACATATAATAATTTATCCCATCCTCACTAATGAAAATTTGATTGACTTCATAAATTAGTACCCATTTATTATTAACGCATCTAATAGGATTATTTGGAAATTTAAATTTAGCATCTTGATTTAAATTACATTTGAACCATTGGATACAATCGAATGAATAACAAGGGCAAAAATCATCTCCAACCGTTATCATTCCCATAAATTTACCGTTATTATATTCAACATATAAAATTCTTGGATTAATGATTGGCTTTCGTGTATCAGGATTCAAAACAGATGGAGTAAATGATTCATAGTTTTTAAAATCATTTGTTTTAAAATAATAAAGCACTCCAGCTGTATAAAATAAATACATGGTCACTCCATCGAAACATATCCATTCAAAAGAATTTATATCAAAGGTTTTATCTGATGATTTCATAAAATTTAAAAATGGTGGAGTAAAATAGACCTCTGATTGTTTTATTTCTTCATTAACAAATATATCAGCTTTCTTATTTAACTCACTATCCACATATTCCTTATCTGCCTTCTTCTCTAACTCATCGTTAACATAAGTTTTATCTGCTTTAAGGTCTAAACATCCTGAAACCCATCCTGTATCAGCTTTAGTTTTAAGAATCTTCGATGTCCGTTCATGATACCATTCAACCCTTTCTATAATTTCATTATCTTTTTCATTAACATATTCCTTATCTGCCTTCTTCATTAATTCACTAACCACAAGTCCCTTATCTGCTTTCTCCTCTAACTCACTATCCACATATTCCTTATCTGCTTTCTTCATTATGTCATTTAGGAAACCTTTTATGAATTCCTCATTTAAATTAAATCTTCCAATCTTCAAAACTTTGGGAAATGCATTTAATGCATAATATCTTTGTTCTTCTGGTGGAATTGATGTTATATCATCCGTTATACCTTTAATTTTAGAATTCATAAATAAAATTTCTTTTATATTTGATATCACTGCACCACCTTTGCAAACGAATTCAAAATGGTCATTTTTCAATACTATCTCCAAATCTCCATATTTCAACCTTTGCGTTTGTTCTGCCGTCTTTGAATTATATGCATATGTGGCGTATGTAATGGTCTGTGCCTTAAGTTGCTGTGGTTGCTGTTGTTTAATCATTTATTATGATTTAAAAATAAATATTTAATCTGTTATCTCATCAGCTATTTTTTCTATTTGAAATTGCCATAATATTTCATTCATAAATTCTAAATCACAATCAAATAGGTCAGTTATTCTAAATTTAATATTTGATAAATCTTTTGAATGAAGAATAAATGAATTCCCGGATAATTGAAACGGATATGATAAAGAAAATGTGTTTAAGTTGATGGATAAAATGTTTTGTATTGATGGGTAAGAGTTAGGGTCTAATGTTTGATGTGAAAATCTCATTGGGGTATTAACTTTATCACATTTGATTAAAATGAAATTGGAACCAGTGTCAGAATACAAAACATCCCCAACATCTTTTTCAAAATTTAATATCCCCAACAATGAACGAAGATGAGGAGTACAAAATTTAATTTTCAGCGGAAATTTAATAAGGTTATTTATTTCATCAAGTTCAAAAAGTTTATCGGGTTTTGATTTAAAATTTTCTTCATACCATATGATAAATGATTCATTTAAATAACTTAAAATCATGTTAATATCCCATTTCGTTATCACATTATTTATATACATATCATACGTTTTTAGGTCTACGACCCCGCCGCTATGCGGCTCATGGTCATCTTTAATAAATGATATATAATCTGAAGGGTTTAAAAGAATGGGATTAAATTTACCACTCACAGAAACGAGAGTAACATTATAAATTCCGCTAACTGTTAAATTTAATTCACAGTTATTATTCGAAATAATATTGATAATTGACATTTTTTTATTACGATTAAAAATATGGTAAAGCGTTATTTTCCAGTGATAAATAAAACTAGAATAAGATTACCTCAAGAATTCATAAATTCAACGAATAAGAAATTCATTCATGTTATAAATTTTAGTGTTTTCAGAAAATATGAGTCGATGTCATATTCATCATCAGGTTATATTTCACTTCATTCAAATTTAGTTCAATCAAACCCATATAATGACCATTTCATAAGATTTTCAGATGGTATTAAAAATGTAATTGATAGATTAAAATATGAACAGATTGACAATATCGAATTTTTGGAATTTTGGTTTAAATATCCCGATGGAAAAAAGATTGAAGTTAAAGATAAAGCAGATACTATAACAAAAACAATTACAATGACTGATCCGGATAGTGGGGAACAAAAAGAAATAAAACAAACGATAGAAACTGGTGAAAGGTCAATTATTATCGATTATGATTCAAAGGATTATTATTCGATAATGTTAATGCTTGAATATTAAATAGCCTTAACAAAGAATTTTTCAAGTGATATTTTATATTCATCAACTATTTTATTATAAATATCATTATATGTTAAATGAAGTTCAGTTGTTGTTCCGTTCTTTGATATCTTAATTGTGCTAATATCCTTTATAGGATTTATTTTTGCAACTGTTCCGCAGCATGAAACCTCATCATCTATGAAAAATTGAATCTTCACGTCTGAATCTTGAACATCACAAAGAATGGCGATAATGTGAATTAATGATTCATAAGGTAAAATAATTAAACCGGATTGATCAATTAAATTTATTATTGAATCATAATTATCAGTTATTATATCGCGATATATTTTCATTAATTCAGAATTAATGTCTATTTTATATGGCGCATTGCGACTGGAATCGTAGATTCCTGGGTTATCAAGTGGTGCTGGGTATGTTGGATAAGTGGGAATTTCAACAGGTTCTTTACCAGGTTCAGATAAAATGATTGGGTCTCCATCTTCTTTATTTTGCTCTTCCTCATTCTTCGGTAAGTCACGAGTTAATAAATTTGGTTGAGTTGCTGACCTTGTTAATTCAGGACTAACATTAACTTTAACATTTTGAATAATTCGTGATTTATCATCATTTACATTATAACCAACCGTAATCTCTGCTTTTGCGTTAGTGTTCTTTTGACTAGTGAAACGTCTTCTCATTTATATTCGAATAAAAAAATATATTTAAACTTTTATTTTGCTGGAACTTTTGAATCTATTATTTCCTGTATTTGTTCATGAAGTTGATTTTTAGCATTTTCATCGAAATTAATAGACCGAATATATTCATTAATTGCATTCTTATAATCATTTGATTTCTCAAATTTTCTTTTATCTGATTCCTTAACTAAATCATAAGTTAAACCTCGTTGCTGATATAATGGTTTCTTAATTAAATCTTTGAATGCTTGAGATAAAGCACCTGATGCAATTCTTGCTACTATAATTGGTTGGAATTGCTGTTTAAGTTCATCTTTAACATTTGCGAAAACTGGATCGAATAAAGCAACTTTAAAGAATTTCTTAGCTGGAATTTCAGATCTCAAATTTGCATATTGACCATCAAACTGGTTAGAATATCGTGGTAATCCATCCGGTCCCTCTTCAATAGCATTTAATTCTTCATTGAAGTAAGAATATGGATTATGACGGTATGAATTAATTGGACCATTTTCACCTTCTCCAATGTATTGTTTAACAGCTTTTCCATTTTCATCAAATTGCATAGGATAATGTTCATTATATGCTTTACGTTTAGGATAATCCGTCATTGTTAATTTATACCCATTTATGACTTTAATATTTCCTTGACCATCAGTAACGAAAACTTCATTTATTCCATCAGGTTTTCCATTTGGACCCGTAATGTCTGCTTCGTGTGCTTCCCAATTTGGTCCGTGACGTTTGGCATATGCTTGAGCTTCTGGTAATGTTAAAACGTTTCTCATTTGTTTAACATCCTTTTGAAGACCGGCAACAATGTGGACTAATTCTTTCATTCCGTCTGGAACTTTCATAGTTCTATTATATGCACCCTTTTTGTTTGTTCCTTGTTTTAATGGAACCTGTAGAAGATTTGCAATTTCTGTCATGTTTAATTATAAATAAAAAATAAAAATTAATTATAAAAAGTTATTCGAATTTAATGGAACCTTTATTTAAATCAACTATTATTTTTCCATGTTCTCCTAATTGTTGATATTGTGTGTAAAGTTCATTAATGCTCATTGGTAAATTCACTTGATAAAGCATAACGTTCAACTGTTGACGACTAAAACCACTGAAAATGAAAAGGGTGGACAGGTTTGATTTAATGTTTGTGCTTAATGCTTTGAAATATTGAACAGCCATGAAGAATGAACACTGAATGTGTCGACATTGAGTTAATAACTGATTAAAATATGATTTCTCATTTGTTATTAGTTTTGATTTCACTGCATCATCTAGAAAAATGAGTGAATGCAAAAATTCTCTATCAAAATTTGAAATAGAAAGTGTTTCAAATAATTCATCTCGTTGTTTATCAATAATTTTATCCTCTAATCCTTGCTTCTTGATTGTATTATATAATTCTTTATACATTAAAAAGTTTTTTAAATAATCTTCTGCTTCTTCTTGTGATAAATAAATAATTGGAATTTTGATTAAATGCTTTAAAGATTCAAATGTATCATCTGAAGGTGAACCTGAACGGTTGATATAAATTAACACATGTGAATAGGGTGAAGTGTTAGCAATAATGATAATTTGTTTTAATATCGTTAATGTTTTACCTTTATTTTGTTTACCAATTGCTGCAGTGATTGAATTTAAGTAACATTCAGAATATGGAATTTTCATTAATTTTTCCTTAGATAGAGCATTTCTATTATCACTCAATGCTTCATTAATCATATCATCTACGTATGTATTATATACTCCTGCTAATTCTTCATAAGGGGTGGATGAATTTAAATCCATTTAATCAAAAATAAATTTATAATTTTAAACATTTCTATTCATCAATATTTCATCATATGAACTTCTATACTGTGGTGGTGTACCTGTTGGATGATATTTCAAACCTTCATCCGGTGTCCATGTCCAATATGTAGTCCTAGTAAACCAAACCTGAGGAGGATTTGTCACCTTTGAACAGTAAGTGTCATTTTCACCCTGAATGATTGGATAAGCTTTCACTTGTACTGTAACTTGTGAGTTGAAAGTTTCTAATCCATCAAAGAATATACCCGCTCCATCACGTTGAACTGGAATAGTGCATAAGAATGAAGTTTGGTCTTTCCATGTTCTAGCTAATGGCGTGCCATTATCATCATTCAATGGTCTAGTTAATGAGTCCTCGTATTCTTCTGTGCATTCATTCACTCCATCTAAATCAGAAGCTTGAAGCATACGTGTAAAGAATATGTCGCCCACTGTGGTCATCGCTTGATCGGGGAAGTTTCTGGAATCTATAGTGACCTGAAGACCTCGAAGCATTGGATTTTCTAAAACCGTTCTTTGCATTGCATTCTTCGGAAATGTTAACACAACATCTGTAACATTATGAAGAGCGTATGAGAAATCTGAGCTGATACCTTCAGGAGTGATGCAACCTCCATTTAGTGAACGAACGTCAATATGTTGAGCTGGAATCATGAATGGATCTTCCTTACTGAATAAACGTGGTATTGCTTTAATTGATTCTTCAATTAAACCGTATCCTGGTGTAATGCATTTATCCTCTAAAACTTCCATCTTTGTGCATGAAATAATAACGTCTTCAACTGTTGCGTCAGCAGATGTAGCGGCTAAGCTTGTAATTAATTTGGCAGGAAGTCCGATTTGTTGGAATTTGCGATCATATTTATAAACATGATTCATAATCTTTTCATAATTTTCATCAGTTATCTTTTCATAAACGTAATTTTGTAAATCAGCAACTCTTAACGGGTCAACCTGACAAAATACTAAAGTATCCCTGAAAACATAATATTTAAGAATGATATCACCAAATGATTTAGGATAATCATCGAACGCTTGAAATGCTAACAAATCATTTACCGGAATAATCATATCAAAAGTGACATCAACTTCTTCATTTGCTTTCTTGAAAACTTCTGAAGGGTCAATATATTTACCACATACTGAGTTATCATATTTTTGAACATTATTATATAACGAATGAACAAACTTTTTAACTTTCCTTTCTGATTTTGGTTTATATGTTGCAAATGCAAAAGATTCACGGGCGCAATCCATCTGAAGATAACCGGCATCACCTCTTTCGGTTTCTACTTCTAATTGTTTAAAGCTTTGATTTGATGATTTGTAACCAACGAATAAACGCATACATTTAAAAGCGGCATCACATGTGAAAGCTTTATTTGAAACTAGAGTTGCTTTAACTTTGCGTTTAATATATGTGTCACCTAATTGGTTCACATCATGAGCTGGATTTGTAATTCTTAAATGAGTTTGTTTATCATCAAAATATGGAGTATCAGAGTCATAACATGAACTTTCAAGTTCTCTATAATATCTTCTTCCGTCATTCTTTGCGAATATTTCATTTATCTTTTCGAATGAATGAAATACATTTCCATTAATCGGTTTAGTGTTTGGCATCAAATAGTTAGTCGTCATTTATGATGAAATAAAAAAATCAAAATTAAAAGATGAAAATGAATTTTTAATTTTAATGAAATAATCAACTATGGCTGCAGGATTCTTTAAAAAGTTATGGGATAAAGTAAAAAGAGGAGCGCATAAAGTTTGGGAAGGGATTAAGAAAGGAGCAAATTGGATATTTAAGAATAAAGAAGCAATTAGTGACGTTGCTGAATCAATAACGCCAAAAGCTGCCCCAATAAGAGAAATTTTAAATAAAGGAGAAAAAGTTTATCAAAGACTACAACCGATACTAAGATAAAAATAATATTTATTTTTCCACTATCTACCCCCTATTTTATTAAGTATTCCTTCAGCAATTCCACCAATTGCGTTACCTGCTTGTGCTCCCATTGCCGGATTACCTGCTTTTGTACCTAATACTCCACCTATGATAGTTCCTGCCGTTTTCGCTACTGGTGCCAAAAAGTTTGCAACAGGTTTAATAACCTTTTTATAAACCCAACCTGCAGCTTTCTTAATTCCATCCCATAATTTTTTAAAGAATCCTGCCGCCATTTCTGATTTAATATTAATTAAAAAATATATTTCATCACTTATATTCTAATTTTTATTTAATGATAAATGAAACCGATTTTAAAAATAAATGAAACAAAGGAGGAAGAAATAAATGAAAGTGAAAATGTTCAACAAAAAATAAACGTTGTTAAACCAATTACTGAAATAAAAATTTTTTCATCTGTTGAAGAATTTAATGACTATTATGCTAATAATAAAAAATTATTTGAAGAATTGACAACATGTAAATTGAATAAAATGTTTAAAGTTGAGGACAGAGTCCAAGACCCGGAGGGTCATGGATTCAAAATTTCAAAAATAAAAGGTGTTGTTAGTTTAAAATCTATTCCTCAATCAAGAATCACCTCATTAATGAAAATAGATGATTTAACAAAAAGAATAGAAATTATTGAAGAAAGAATGAATCAAATAATTGATTTCATAAATCATGACTCGTTGAGCCCGGGTCCTTAAAGCCCAGGACTTAAAGTCCATCACTGAGTTCAAGGTTATATTCATCAAATATTTCATTATTAAATGCAACTTCTGCTAGTTTATTTATTTTTTCAATACGATCATTTGAAAGTCTATCGTTTAATTTTTTCTGAAGTTTTTCATTTTCTAGTTCTGAAACTTTATTTGGATGATATTTAAACCCGTTAAATTCTTTTTCCTCAGTTTTGATCATTAATTTACAAAGAACTTTTGTGGTTGGAATTCGTTTAAACCATTTATCATTAATATTTGTTATAAATTCAATATCTGGAATTAATTCACAAATTTTTGCATTTTCAATTAATTTATTATCAAATGCAAAAGCAATAGGTTTAATATTAAACTTACCTTTATAATATATACTTTCTACATAATCATCGAAATAAACATCTACTTGTTTAACATTTTCAAGAATTGGTGAAAGAACATCCATTAATTGATTGACGGTTACGAATCTTGATCCACTCATTTTCATACGAATTAAAAAAATAAATTATTCAAAAAATGTAAGACATGAATTTTTAAAGTTTATTTTTCATTCATGAATGATAATTATATCTGATTTCTTTTACTCTCTCATACATACTAGATTTGAAGAATTCGGAACTTTTACCATAATCTCCTAAATGTTTTCTTATCCCTAACGTGTGCCAGTTATTATATGAAACTGTATAAACTTTATCTTTATCTTTACACCTTTCATCACTTCCAATATATTTATATCTCAGTTTTGATTTAGCATTTTCATATTCATTAGCGTTTAATAATTCACAGTCTTCCTTTTTAAATATATGTTTAAGATATTCAGGATTTAATACTCTACGTTTATATGCTCCTAACTTAGTTCTAAAGGTTTTTCTACAAAATTTAGGAATTCCATCCTCTTGAATGTCATCAATGATTTCCATTTCATTATTTTCAATTTCTTCTTCTCGTTTATGAGGTCTTTGATTATGACTCCATTGATTCCATGAAATTAAATATTCTTTATCATTATATTTATACCTCATTAGCTTATTTTGGCTTTCATATTCATTTAATAATTCACAATCTTCATTTTTAAATTGAAGTTTAACCCATTCAGGATTTAAACAATGTTTAATTAATCGCGGAATATCTGACATCATCTATATATAGCTTCTTTTATAAAAGATAAAAAAATAAATTATTTTAAAATTAATGTTAATTTTTTTAATGTGTTTATAAATAAATATATTTTAATGCATCGTCTATATATAGATGTAACAAAAAAAGTCACACAACCCGCACTCATATACTACTTTTAAAAGTCATCAATTTGTATTGTATTCTTAGCATTTTCTTTTCCACTTAGCTTAATCATTCTTAATACTAAACTCATTTTCCATATAAAGTTATTAAAATTTGAATTTTTTATTTTCCTACAAAATAGAGAAGAATGATGAATAATATCTATTGAAAAAAAGAATTACTAGCTTTGTAGAATCTAGTGTTATCAATATTTACTCAGGATTTAAAATTTTGAATATATTTTAGGAAAAAATAAGAGAATTTATACTATGACTAGAAAGTACTGGAATAATAAATAAAGCTGATGATTAATTATTCATAACGTATAAAATAACCAAAAATGTTTAAATATATTCACCCGGTGGTAAGTCATCCATAATTTCGATTAACTTAATCTCAATATCGTTGCTCTGCTTTCCATGGAGCATGTCGCTGATCAAATTGACTTCGACATTATAGTGAAGAAGACCAAGAGATGTCTTAATAGCACTAAGTAATGGATTAAGATAGATTAAACCTTGGTATTCAGGTGGAAGAATAACATAGCGTGTGATTGGGTTATCAGAAAAGCTAATAACACAACGAGTTTCTGATGGTTCTTTAACAACAGCATTAATTCCGAGATATGTCTTGAATGAGTAGTCAGCAAGCATATCGCAAGCCTCTTTAAGAGATTTGAAACGGCATTTATCCGCATGAACGACAAATTCGTCAGTAATTCTGTTGCCAATATTTACACCGATTTTGCTGAGCTTGTTATTTGCGTCACTGATGTTATTTGTTTCGGCGACAATGGAACGGACAAGGGAACCATATGTCAGAGAAAAGAGTTCTACGTTCACAGTCATTTATTTTATCGTTGCTTCACTTTTTTTTAGCAAATCATAAATTTATCGCCAATTAATAGACAAAAACGAAAATCTCAATATGAAAAGATTATATTTACTTTTAAATAAAAAACTTCATAAGATTGAAGAAATTTATCCTTATCTTTTAGTTACTTGCATAATGAAATATAGACACATATACGCTGTAATAAAAAACCTAGTACATGTATTAGTTATTCATAAAATATCAAAACAATTTTATTCATCAGTTTCTTTTTCTTGCATTCCATCAATTTCATGAGCTGCTTCCAAGAGTCTGTTAATTTTAGCAATATTTTCACCTCTGCATGGTGGGCCAAGCTGAAGGAATTGAGCACCACAAGCAATTGCGATATCAACAATCCAAGAATCCTGTGTTTCATTCTGGCTTGTTGAAAATACACAAAGCTTTGAAGCCCCATCAATTGCTTTGGCCGCATCGCAAGCAGTAGTTATAGATCCGGTTTGGGATGGACGGACTACAATAGCTTTAGCAGGAACTGAGGTACTTATCTTATTGACTTGAGAAGAAATACCTTTACCTAAAGCAATGACCATATTTTCACTGGATTTTGCAATTAAATTCTTAAGTCCACTTGAATCTTCAAGAGGAAGAGGATCTTCGATGTATGTGATTGCAGAAGATGTATCAAATAAATCTGTCCAGAATTTGGCGTTGGATTCTCCTCTACCTGCAAAACCAAGGAATACATCATCTCCAAGAGTATGTCCACCGCCAGAAACAGCAATTTCTGTAGTTTGAAGGATATCATCAACTTTGTCTCCTTCAATTGGGAAGCAGCCATCGTTGCAAACGGCTGTTTTCATTGAAGTTGTGTAATGCAAGTAAATTTCACCTATAATACGAATTTGTTCTTCAACTTGAACATTAGCCGCCGGAATTAAGTAAACCTTCGATATAGGGCCATTCATAAAGTTGAAAATTGCGAAGATAGGACGTGGAACAGTAAATTGTGTTTTCTCTGTTACTGTTTTTGCTAAGTGGAGAAAGAGAGGTATTCTCATTATTTTAGATGAAGCAATTGCAATTGTTGCGGAAGTTGCTATCATTGTATTTGAGCCTGATTTTCTTCTGTTAGGAGTTCCATCAGCTTGAATTAGCCATCCATCGACTTCTCGTTGATTAAAGAATTGTTTCTTTTCTAAAACTGGTTGATATACGGATGTTACAGCTGAAACTGCTTGTCTCATACCTCTTCCGCCATAGCGTGGATTAGATGTATCAACAAGAACATAAGAATCTTCTATTGCACAATTATCTACACTTGGAGATGCAGCTGTTGCTAAAAATTCAGATTTACCATGGACTTTAGCCCAAACTTCAACTTCAAGTGTAGGGACCCCACGACTTCCGAGGATTTCACGACCAATTACCTTATCAATTGTTGGAGGAGCTGCTTTAGGAACAATTTGATCATATAAAAATCCCATTGGATCGTTTGGATGAGCAATAAGAAGATTGGCAAAAGCATCTTCAAATACAGTTTGTAATTCCCACTTTTCAGCATATGCAATTGCTTTATTTGTTTCCTCTTGTGCTGACATCCCCAATAAATATTTTTATAAAAAAAAAAACGATTTTTTTTCAAGCAATTTTTTGGAATGTGAAAATGACTGAAGCACTATAATTACGATATGCTCAACGCTATCATGGATGAGAAATCAGCAAAAAGGTTGAAGGGGAACATACCAAAACCCATTTTAAACTTTCAGATGTTTATATTTAAAAAATTAATATCTATCGAAAGAACTAATTTCGCAATTTCAAATCATAGAAATATACTATAACTAAATACAGTATTATATCAAAAATGAGGGTTTAAAATCCTTCTAATTTTGACCTTTGATTTTGTATTTCGTTTCAGATCCCTAATCAGCGGCTTGATATCGGCTCTTAATTCTATTTTCATTTATCCTTGTCTCTTCTCGAAAATGTGAAGTTAGTTTCCTAAATTCAGAGATTGATGATTCTTTTCTTTCTAAAGATAAGTCATGGATTCGCAATGCCTCTTTAACAATAGATGGATTTTGAGAATTCTCGAATGCTTGCTCTGGATTTGCAAAATGATGAGCCCAATTTCTCTGGAAATAGTCTTTTAGTTGGTGGGTTTTATCTATCTGCGAATTTGACTTCTTTTCAGTATCGAGATTTGATTCCTTGCCTTTCACAGCAAATATCAACGAATTATTTTTGATTTTGTAAAACGCAAATGAGAGAGCAGGGTTAAGTATCATGCCATTGTAAACAAATCGATAACCTTTGTTATCCATAAATTCATCAATTATGGAAATCGGTTTATAATTTGAAATTGATATTATAGTTTTCTCCCTTCCTGTTATTCGAATAGTGATAGTTTCTTCGTTAACAGAGTTGGAAGAATTATCAATTTCAATGTACCTGGCAGCCATCTCAAATATGAGATGTGAAAATTATGAAAATTTTCGAAAAAATTTTTGATGAGAAATTTTATTTCAATTTATTATCGTGTGTCATCATTAATTTTAGCTTCGAATCCCATTAGATAATGATATCAGATGTTGTTTCTGATTACAATTAGTTTCATTATTTTCATGTTGAGAATCACATTAGTCACTTGGTTATTAACCGAGAGTATATATTGCTTTTACACACGCACTTTTTTAAATACTGACATAATTTCATGGCGGAAAATAGAACAAATATAGATTGGTGTTGTGCTGTGCGTTTTGATTTCTCATATAGAAGGTTGAAACTCAACACCTGCTAAAACTGTCAAAACACTCCATGCACTATGCATTGAGATGAGAAAATTAAGAGAATTTCAAAATTTTTTCATTTTAGACTTTTAACTCAAATACAACAATTTTTTAATTCTCTGAAATGATGCTTGCAATCTAATTCTAGATCATAATTGATTTAGGTTTAATATTCTGTCGAACGTTATGTATAGGCAAACAATCATGCTACCAACTTTAGTTTCATCATTAACTGTGCATCCTCTTCCAGTAAGAGTCATCTCTGTTGCAGCATCCACTGATGGGGTTCATGATTATTGTGTTCTCGCCGATCACTACTTGTCAAGAATTATGTATCTGTCAAGCTTCGAGCTTTTTCCAATTTTAAGATGTTGGCCAAAAAAAAACCTCGCCACCAACGTGAACTCCTTCGTTGAATGTATGTGTTTTGTCAATGGCTGCATTTTGATGACTCTAATATGATTCTCTTTCTTTTCAAATTAATCAAAAGAAATCTGAATAATTTGGAATTAAAATAAGGACAAAAGATAAAAATAAAGATATGAACATAATTAACATTTATAAGAAACAAACAAAAAAATAAAAATAAAGGGATCAGCTTAAAGCTTGAAGCAGCTGGATGTGGAGAATATTGAACCAGATGTCTGGAAATAGTGGGTAGATTGGTATCTATTGAATGGACAAATCTCTTGAAGGGAGATATTTGATTCCTCAGCACTATCTTCGCTGATGGATCCAGAATATGAATCGTAAGAAAAGAAGGAGGTAGATCCTGTAGAACTAATTCCGTATCTAGGGGTACTGTTGAAGTTGGATCCTGGTGTGGAGTGGTAGTCATTATGGTATGAGTACATGGCTAATTTACTGAAAGTGAATAATATCAAACCGTCGATTTCGTAGAATTTTATAAAACACAATTTGAATTCGATGTTTTAGTTCTGAAATTTTTGATGATGGAAAATCTAATTATAGAAAGTAAGATAAGCATTTTTAAAAAGATAACAGCCGAAGTAAAACGTCACTTTTTGTGATAAATTTTGAGATGTCTCGAACTAAATGGGATAGACTCTAGATATACTATTTAAATATCAATTTTTTTTGAAATCATTTTTTAAGAGGTATAAAAGTTAATTGAATTTTATGTGCCATAACTTATGAAAAATTTTATTATGCATAAATTTCTGAAATTTGAAAGTCTCATCACACTTTTCAATGCTCGATTTTTAAAAACTGTTTAAAAATGGAGCTTATATTGAAATAGTGTAGAGACTAAAAATTACCACAGACTATTTCAGAGGATTGAGTTGCCACTCAATCCTCTGAAAAGTCTGAGGTAATTTGCAAAATTATGTAGTAACTACAAGAATATTATTTACAATATTTAATAAAAATAAACGAGTTTAAAAATTGAGAATAATGATTTTTTACTAGTCTCACAAATATAGTTGAAATTTTGAGAATCATCGGTAAAATCCATCATGAATAATTATAGCAATTACATAGTATACTAGTAAATCTTCAATTTTTACGAACTGTACTCATAATTTCTGCTTCAATTCAAATTTATTTAATCGGATTTTTTAAGACGTTATTTTTACACGCCTTTTCACAAAGATTTAGTCGGAATTACAGTAAATTGATGATGGTTTCATTTTTCCAATTCGAAGTTACTTTGAGAGCTTTAAAACGTCCAGATACTCTCAAAAGTTACGATTTAATCAAAACAAAATCAGCTCCAATATATAAATGCTGCATGAATTATCCAACAGATAATTTTTTTTTCAAAGATTTACTTTCATTTATTAAATAGATGGCATAAATCATCGTTAATATCCTTCCCTAAGTCAAATATCTTTATTTTATATATTTTTCAGAAATTTCTTCATTCAAAAATAATTTACTTTGTTATTGTAATCCGTCCTAAAACTAACTCTTAACATTCATTTCATAGATAAATATCTATTAATCTGCTTTATCTGCCGAAACTATAAATTTACTTCCATTTTTTGTATTGAAATGTTCGTTATTCATTTGAAATCATTGATTACTTTATTGAACTTACATTCATTAAATCAATTTATTATCTATAATATTTGTTCAAAATGAAATCTATACTATATTTGACTTCACTTATTTCCAAAAGTTGATATTTTTACCAATCAACAATAAACTTCAATGACCTTTAAAAATATTATTCTTTGTTCAATTTCACTTTGATAAATTGATAATCACAAAGGAACATCCACTAGGAATTAGAGTAGGTGACAAAAGTGCATACTCTTAAACAACCATCGGATTTCCGGGTGAAATCGTGACACACTTTCGTCTTTCGTAGGCAGTGGTGGTTGTTACAAAAGGTAACTTCGAATGTAGCGTGAAATCTGCAAAAAAAATTCTGAAATTTGAATGGAGAACACAAAAATTGAATAGTTTACGTCAATAAAAAAGAGAAAAATGAAGCCAATGTGTCTCGAACCTAGGACTTAGAGCAGCAATCCCACTGTTTATCACATTACATATTACACTACATGCATCTCTCACCTCAGTGAATGAGATCAACTATATGATAACTTTTTCCCCATTATATTCTTGTGGAAAAGTGACAAATAGCAACTTTGACCCTCTCTCCTAGGAATTAACAGCAAATGGGGACAAAAATTGACCCAATATCATCTTTATATGATGCTTATTTTAATTTTGAAATATAAGAGTTTTGGAAATTATCAAATTTTATCTTCTCAAAAAATTAGATCTTAAAAACTCTAAAAGAATGACCAACCACGCGTATATTATTTAATACAATTGTGCAAATCACACTGTGATTTATTCTTTATTCATTGTGTTATTTTACTTTGTTGTTAAAAATAGTGACAGAACCTTTATAACCATTTTCGATGCGTTTATTATTCCTTAATGGTTCAATGAAAATTTTTAATCTGTTCACCTCTTTGCTCTTTATGGATTTTTTTTTCAAATTGAATTATCTCCATCAAGAGTCATAATTGATTATATCATTGCATCACATTTTTTTAATTTATTATAATATATTTTACTTTACAATATTTTGCTGTTTGCTTACATTACCTCACAAAACTTCAAATATATTTTAAAAATGACCTAATTTCAATAATGATTATAATCTATAATGAAACAATTGAAATTTATAAATTTAAATTTATACTTATTTTGAACAATTTCTAAAATATTTATCTATTGACAACAAAATATAATTATAATTATATAAGAAATTTCAAAAAATAACTTTACCGTATTTTCATTTTAGTCATCCATTAAATACTTTCATTGATACAGAAATTTACGTAATTATCTGATTAAATTTCTCTTTCAATTAAAGAATTCACTTAATAGAATGTTGATTGTACAGTTAAAATTCATCAATTTTTCTTAATGTTTAATGATTTTCGTCAATGTCTTATTTTTTATGATCCAGAAAAACCTTATCTCGTGAAACGAGATGACTACCGTTGAGGATAATGTAAAATTAAGTGATGACGTGTGAAAATTAAGATCAGCTTTAAAATTGTTCATTCCGATCAAATATTTTCAAACTCGTTCATCATGATTATGAACAGGAAGAATGCTTGAACGATCCTGTCTATTTAAGAAATTTACGAAAACCAGCAAACAAAAGCTGTTTCTAAACGAATTGTGGAATTGGCATCAAAGAGGCGATATCTTGGACTTAATTGCTACTAATTCTGTGCATTTGAATCTTATTTTTTTAGAGTGGCTCATTCTTAACTTGCGTTTTAACAATTAATTACGCTAATTATCAAAACCCATAATTTTTGACGTTAGAATCAATTTTGGCTATAACAAAATACAAAAACGACGATACATAAACATTTTTAAATCGACCTTACACCAATGACTAGTTTTTTGACGATAGAAAACTGACGATATGCTAACAATTCTGCCAACTTACGATGTTAGAAAGTTGTAATATATGGTTTTGCTACCTATATTTTTTATTTATCGATCAATTTTGATTTTGACTTTTTGCTTAATTTCATGTTAAATTTAGCATTAATTTTTATTGTACTATTTAATTTTTAAAGAATCGCTAATAAAATAGTTTTGAATTCATTTTTATCGAACAAAAATTGACACCATTTATTTTTTATCTCAATTATTTTACGTAACTATAAAATCCAAATAATGATCCTAACATTAAATTCCAAAACAAAATAATTCAAAATGTTCAGCTAAAAAGAAAAAGTTAATTGAAAAATAGATCCTATCGTTTTGGTGACCATTTAACATAAATGGGCGCTCAATTCAGCCAAATCTTTAAGAAGTGGTTCGGTAACAGAGAAACTCGTATCCTTATGCTTGGTCTCGATGCTGCCGGTAAGACAACAGTTCTCTACAAACTCAAACTCGGTGAGCATGTCACAACAATCCCAACAATCGGTTTCAACGTTGAAACCATCGAATATAAGGGCTTCAACATGAACGTTTGGGATGTCGGTGGCCAGGACAGAATCCGTGCCCTCTGGCGCCACTATTTCCACAACACACAAGGCCTTATCTTCGTCGTCGACTCTAACGATGTTGGCCGTATTGATGAAGCCCGCGATGAACTCCACAAGCTTCTCGAGGAAGACGAGCTCCGTGATGCAATTCTTCTTGTCTATGCTAACAAGCAGGATCTTCCAAACGCTGTTAAGCCACAGGAACTCGGCAACAGACTCCGCCTTAACACAATTACTAACCGCCCATGGCAGGTCCAGGGATGCTGCGCTACAACAGGCGATGGCTTATATGAAGGTCTCGACTGGCTCGGTGATCAGATCAACCAGCACTTCTAAGCTTTCTAATCTGTCCCTAGCGTGGAGTTAACTATTTTTGATTAAAACTTCAATCATTAAAACTATACTTCCACTATTTCACTTACTTGATTCGGTATTTTTATTCAGGTTTAAATATCAATATAAATCAGTATACAGTAAAAAAATTCAGCCTGTCATTTTAAAATAATTGCCTATTTTGTTAACAGTTACGAATACGACCATTGCTCATATATTACCTAATATAAACTAAAACTAATAATTTTTATTGAATCATTTTCCTTAACTCTTCGAATTTCTGATCTTCCGATATCCATATTCCATACTTCTATCAATCATCGCTTCAATGACTTTGTTATAAAGGCAGTGCGAAATAAAGAAATCAATTTCATAACTAAAAATGATAACTTTTATGAGTGAATATACTAAAAAATAATAATAAAATATGACAATCTATTTCCTAATCTGTTCGACTTGCTGCCAAAGACTAATATTGTTATTCAGAAGCTGCAATATAGTTTTAGCTTCTGGTAGTGAACTAGCACTATTTTGTTCTACAATTGGTGAAACTAAACTTACTGTCTCTCTTGCCATCTTCACAGCTACATCTTTCTTATCACAAATTTCATATAAGAAAACTGTGTAATTGAGCATCAATCCAAGAGCGGTTGGAGTGTACTGCTGAAGAGCAACTTTCGATTTTTCAAGTGCCACTTCGTAACTTTCCATACCTCTCTTAGTAGCAACTATTCTTTCGTTACCATCTGTAGCTTCGCAAATATAACGATAATAATCTCCCTTATTTTTATTGTAGAATACAATAGAATCAGGGTCAGTATTTACAGGAAGTAATTTTGAGTTAATTAGATCAATGAATTCTTCACATAAGGATACTAATTCTGTGATGATTTGCTTTTTGATAGATTTTACTTCAGCTTGAGTTTGTTCTGATAAATTAGCAGTACTATCGTCCATTTCAGACCGGAATATATTACGAATACCTCTTCTTTTCGGTGAAATTGTGAATTTATATGCATTAACGAGAATTTGGCGTTCATCATTTGATAAAACTGGATTTATTTCGACAGCTCGCTTCATATAAGATAACATTTCTCCATATCTTTCAGCTTGGCTCATCGCCGTTGCCATAATAACGCATTGTTTCCTTTCGTCGTTCATTTTCCTTTGGCGTTTTTTTCCTCGAAAACTCAGCTTGGAAGGAATAATTGATACTAATGAAATACAAGTGACTCAGATGCAAAAATTTAAGATAAATTTTCGAATACTCTTACATTGATATCAATTTATCCATCGATAATTTGCTTCTAATTAATAAACATTTACCATAAAAAAAAAAAAAAAAAAAAAAAAAAAAAAAAAAAAGGTATTGGGGCTTCCAGGGGCTGCGCCCCTTCTAGCCCTGAAGATGTTTAGTATAAATGAAGTTTTTATTCGGAAAATTGTTAGTCTTCTGGTGTGAATTCGGAGGACTCTTCTTGGATTGAGTCTTGTATTTCCTCCTCCTCTTCTTCCTCCTCCATTGCTTCTGGGAAGAAGTCTTCTTCTGGGTCGAAGACATTATATAATGTGTAATTGAATGACACATTATATCTTTCTTTGAGTTCGCTCCTGACAAAGAACTTAGTTCCAGGAATACAGAAGACTTCTGTGCGTTGGAAAAGCTGATGTCCTGGAACGAATTTGGCAATTAGAGACTTCTTTTTTCCGAATTGTTCAGGAGTTTTCATGACGACAGTAACAACATCTCCATCTGCGAGGTCTTGTTGTTCTTCGGAAAGGTAAAGAGCAATGATATGAATGGTTGCTGCGTTGAATTCGAGAAAGTCGAATTCAAATTGTGTTGTCGTATAACATTCAAACCATTTTGTACAGTTGTCTCCGAACTCGTCCTCGTATTCATCTTTGTCATATCCGTAACTAAAGACTTGAAATTCGGCAATTCTCTTGTCGAATGACCGTTGGATGGAACGAGGAAGATTTTGACGAACTTGGTATAAAGTTCTCAACATTATAAGCTTAGTAAATGTTGGAAAATACTGAACTAAGACATCGCTAAGCTCAATTGGACTTGGAATTGTCTTAGTAAGTTCAATTGAACTAGTAATTGCTTTGTTCAGAACTTCACAGAACTGAGTATTGTATGTAGCGTCTGGTTGTGTGTTTTCTTCGGCGTCTTTGAGATATTTAGAGCAAATTTGTTGAAGAATTTCTCTTAATTCGCTGTTAGACCTTTTGGCGGTTATTCTAACCGCTGTGCCGGTTCTTGGAGGTTGTGGGGCTTTGGCTTTGGTTAGCGGTTGAGAATTGTTAATGTTTGAATTGTTTGCGACACTTTTTCTTCCTTCCATTATGAAAAATGAACTTTTTTTTCGGACTACTCATAGAAAAGTTTAAAATAAACCGTTTTCGTCAACGGTAACCCCCTCTATTTTTTTATTTTATTTAATAGTTACCGTTGGCAAACCGTTCCATCTCAAATATTGAATGAACTAGAAACGTTTTTTGTTTTCTATATATACTTTTTTGTCCAACGGTAAAACTTTTTACACAACGGTTTTTGAGAGTCGTCGCCGTTGACTTTTTTGTAGAGCACTCAAAATAGTATAACTTTGTCCGGACAAGTAAGGGTCTATCGTCGCTACAGGAAAAGTTACAGGCGTTCCAAGGAAGTATACTTTGAGAAGCCTTTTCTCCCTTATAGAATGAGAGAGGACGGTTATTTTACAAAACCGACAACACTTTGACCGAGTAGTTTTTTGTGCTGAACAAAAAGTGTCATATAAACATCTGTCAAAAACCGCTTTTTAACTTCACTTAAAATGCCACGTAAGCTACGTAAGAATATACGTAAGAGGAAGGGAGCATTGAAACATCCAAAAGTAAAACTGACACCACAACAACAGTTGCAACAACAAATGATGAATGACCCCACTATGTTGCAACAAATGTCAAGCAACCCTATGCTTTTAAACCGAGTTATTGGTGCACAGAGTGGAGGTTTAAGAGCGGCACTTTTAGCGAAAATGGCAGGCTATGGTGGAGCTGCAGACGGAACAGCTTATAACCCTCAAAGTCAAATGAATTTGAGTTCACTCAAAAATCAAATAACAGATGTCAAAAAGTCAAACATAGACATACAGAAACAAATAAGTGAAAACGAAAAGAAACTAGAATATGACAGACACACAAAGAAACTCAATGAGTTAAACGTAGAGAAAAAGAAGAAAGAAGAACAACTGAAAGAACTAAGTACAGAGGAATATGCGAAAAAAGTGTCAGAAAAAGCAGCAGAAGTAGCAAAAATGGAACAAGATGTCATAAATTTGAAAAACCATACTACTCAATATAAAGTACTGAAAGATGAAGAGATAAAACAAAAAGCCCTGAAGACATATATGGATAGCGATGAGTATAAAAAAGAAGTTGAAGCAAATGTAAAGGCAGAAAAACTTTTACAGTTGCAAAACCAAACCGTACAGTATGAAAACTTAGCACAAGAAAGTAAAAATAAACGACGCAGCCATGCAAAAGGCAATGAAAAGCGCGGAATATATAAAAGCTAACAATGACTGGTTAGATGCCCAAGCCAACGCTAAAGCAGCCCAGCTTATAGGGTCAATAAGACAAAAATACAAGCGGATGAAGACAGTTCAAATGAAGCTTTAACGAATGCTGACTTTAAGAACGCCTTCGAAGCTCTTCATAGTAAGGTGAAACAAGTGAACGACTTCTCATCTGGAAAGAAACTGAAGTCTGAAGGTTTCGACAAAGAGTTAAGAGAAGTAGCACAAAATATGACGAAAATAACAGATGCAGCAACGAGACAGGCAGTTCAAAGTGCCTATGACGCCGTTAGAGCAACTGTTGTGAAAAGTCAAGAAAAAGAGTTACAACAGACCAAAACAGACCTAGTAAATGCTTTCTTAAGAACGAAAAGTCAGGTAGGACATTACGCTGCAGATGGAACACATGTGCCAGCTGGTGGAACTTATATACACCAAACCCTCCAAGAGAAGCACCTGCACCAGACTACCTAAAACATTTACATCGTCACATGGACACAGACACAGGCATGCACCAAACCAACACAACAACCAACACAACAACCAACACAACAACCAGCAACAACAACACCTCCACAACCAGCACAACAACCAACACAACAACCAGCACAGCAACCAACAGTTCAAAACCCTGCACAACAACAACCACAAACAGAGCAAGGACATAAAAGAAGTAGAGAACAAGGAAACCAAGAATTTCTTAAAAATGCTTAAAGAAGAGTGGTTTCCCAGATATGTTGACTTTAGTGACAGATATAAAGATGCTATTGGAAAGTTCAAGGATGGAAATACTGACCCGAACCTATTTAGCTTTATGGCTCAGCACCAAAACGGATATAATCTCAAACCTGGAAAATACAAGCTCGCTAAGGGATATGATTTAATAGCATATCATCCAAATGACATGGATGAATTTACTCCGAGATATTTGATGTCAGAGCTAAATGACAATTCAACTTTCGTCATGAAACGCGTAAAAAATAGAGACGGAACGAAAGAACAAAAGCTTATGAATGCGGATGACGTAGATAGGGAAATTGTTAAAACGGTCTCGGAATATATGAAATGTCAGCAGATGAGGTACAAGAAACTCCACAGGAAGAAATAGTTCAGATACAACCAGACATGGAAGAAATAGTTCAGCAACAACAGCTAGAAGAGCCTGAAGGAAACGAACAAGTCACTCCTTGGAAACTAACTTCACAGAACTAGATGAAGATTTGGAACAGCCGAAAAATCTTGACCCTCAACAAGAGTATGCGGAGAATATGGAATATTTCCAAGAGTCTAAAAAAATTCGGCTGACATAGTAGAAGAATATCGAAAAATGTTTGCCGACATACAAAAGACTCCAACACCAGATGAAAATATTCAGCATAGAATGAAGTACTGAAAGAAAATGTACACAAATACAACAACCCTTTTTACTTACGAGCATTTAACGTTCAATCTTCGGATGAACTCGGTGAAGATAAAAGGTTAAATTTCAAGAAAACATATAGAAATGAAACATTGTTTAAAGTTCATTCAGAACCTAACCAAGATGGAAACAAACCTACTTTTGTTTCTGCAGACGATGGAACTACAATGAGATGGGGTCATAAAGCTAATCCGGATAGGTGGTTCATAAACTTACAACCTCAATTCCAAGAAGTTGTAGACGCAATGGAAGTCAATGGTGAACGAGACATAGCTGGTATTTAAGCGCGGCTTTAATGCCATTGAAAGATATGAAAGATGCAGATATTTTGGACCAGTATGAAATGAACATGGCTGATGGAAATATAACACCTGACGTTCTAGAACATTTATCTCAAAGAACTACACAGAACCATAAAGATGGTATATTTGGTGAAGAGTTTAGAAAGAAAGTTAGGGAGACAGAAGGAAGAGAACCTATTGTACATGACCTTGCAAACGAAAGTTTACAAAATGTCATAAAACTTACTTTGCAGACAATGAACCGAGAAGGGATGAATATTTAAGAAAACTCAAATGGACAGTACCAAATGAAATGTTAGTATTGAAAAACATGTTCCTTGACAAAATAAAACCAACTACAGAAATAAACGACGCAAGACTGAAAGATTGGGTAAAAGCTTTCCCATTCACAAAAGATATAGTTGGTAACATGGAAAGAAAACCAGAATGGCTACAAAAACATATATTTGGAAACGAGCATATTCCATATGGACAGGCACTGTTTGAAGAGCTTGAACCGGAAACTCAGGAAAGAGTCATGCAAACAATACGCGAAGACTCAAATACAGACTATGACAAACTCTTTCTAGGATATAGGTTACCTGAGATGGGCGACCAGAGCCAAAAGGCAAAAAGGACATGGGAAATTTGCAACATACTAGATGAACATAATGCAAAGATGCAACAACTTCAAGCAGAGGGCAATGAAGGAAAAAGAAGAGTTAAAAACTCAGTCAGGAAGAAAGTAAAGCTTGGTCCACGTGGGTTCTATTATGACATATAAATCCAACTATTCTATATTTTTACTCATATGAAATGTACGCCGCTCAGAATATAACGCCAACAGTTTTGGATGCTATGAATGGAAATGTTTCCGAATGGTATAACGAATGC